ATAGTGTGGTCATGTATGTGTGTGTGGTTGTGGTTTAAATTCCAAAAAATCCATTGACCACTTGGATTCATTTCTTCTTTTACACTGTTCAAGAAATTTTTCTACTTTTCAAAAAAGCGTGAAATGAAAAAAATGATGATGATGACACACACAGCATGATGTCTTGATGATGGTAAAAAAATATTTGTTTGCTTGTCATTCGTTTTTCTATTAATTGCTTTTCACAAGGGTTCTTTTTTTGTCTTTGTCAGTCCACTAACATTGACCACAACAAAAACATGACCCTTTTGTTCCTATCGTTTTTTTTGTTGTTGCTTTTCGTGCCACTAATCATCTTCAAGTCCAGTCAACAAACGAAGAACATATGCGAAACCAGGTGAGAAAATATATAGTCCAAATGGAATAAACGAATGAATTGTTTGTTTCTCTTGTCGAAATCACTAGATAAGAAGCAAAACAAAGCCAAACAAAATAAAAACCGTATGTATTTGTTTTTGATCCAGAAAAAAACACTCTGACTATTCATATTCTCTGTTTTTATCTATAGTGATTGATCTTGATCTTATCTGATGCCGATCATCATCATATTCATAAGTTTCAAGTGACCAGTTGTCATCATCATCATCATCATCATTATTCTTATTCTGCTATCGATTTTTTTGATTTGTTTGTTTCAAATAAGAAAAACCAAAACCAGTCAGAAAAAAAAATCAAATTTGCATTCATGTGCAACAAGCTTCATCATCGTGATTTGTTTGCAAAAAAAAACAAACAAATTTCTGTTACACGTCAAAACAGTATATTTATTTATTTTGAAAAAAAACAAACAACATTTAAATTGATATATAGAACACGGTGTAGACAAAATTCCACAAAAGATCTCACCCATTTTGTTTGCTTTTTGTTTTCGCAAATAAGAAAACCAAAACCAGTCAGAAAAAATCAAATTTTTCGTCTTTTTTTTTTTTTGGTTTTGACATATTATTCTCGGCTTGAAGCTTTTTATTTTGTTTTTACTGTCGGATCATTTCGTCCATGTGTGTGTGTGTGTGTGTGTCTGTGTGGATGACTTGTTCAAGATATAAATGTATCGAATCTCTAGAGAGAATAATATGTGTCTGGTGCTTGTTGGTAGCATTTTTTTTTTGGATCGATCCGAATAATGGCAAGAATGGCAATGATAAACAACAACAACAACAAAAAAATCCGTCATTACAGAACAATGAGAATTGTGAATGAATGATGCCTTTATCTTTGCGGATTTTTTTTTTTTTTTTTGGTTTTGTTTTATCTTTATATGAATTTCCTTGGGAATTTTTTTTTCTCGGTCCTTCGAGATTTGATACATATATTCAGTTTATTTGTGTCGGATTTTCTTTCTTTCTTTTTCTTTTTGTTTGCAAATTCTGATGCAATGCAGTTTTGCCGATTAAAAAAAAAATCAGTCATCATCATCATCATCATTGATCTATGTGTTTGAATTATTATTATTATTGAATGTTTACAAACAAAATCAAAAAATCCAAAAAGATCGTGATCAACACTTTTCGTGTTTGGTGAAAAAAAATTGATGTTTTTTTTCTATTTCCATCAGTTCGTGTTGTGTGTTGTTTTTTCCCCACATTGCTAACATTCAATGCTGTTAATCGCATCATCATCATTATCCTCATCATCATCATCATCATCATCTCATTGATGATGATGAGGATAATTTCTTTTAAAACCATAATATTCGTAATTTTCCATCATCATCAATAATAATAAGTGTACGGAAAACAACAAGGAAAAAAAACAACCGTTTGAAATGGATTGATTTGTTTTTTTCCGCCAATCGAATGAAATTTTTTTTTTTTTGAAAAATCAAATCAAAATAATCATTTGGTCATCGCATTCCTTGGGTGATTAGAAAATAAAATTGCAATTAACTTAGTATATACTTGTGATGCTAACTTACATATATATATAGAGGCCTATTACTACCGGTTTTTTTTGTTGGCCTTTTTGCTTAATAATCTCTGTACCTAGGTCTTTTTTTCGGTATACGAAAAATTGATCAATTCGATACACTACTTTCACATTTGGATTTTTTGTGTGTGTGTGTGTGTGTGTGGTTTTCACACCGAAATGATTTTGATTTGATTTGACAGTAATCATCATCATCATCATCATCATTATCATATCAAATATAAAACGAATACGAACCAAGAAAAAAAACAACTCAATCCAATCCAATCAAATTTTGATAACCGTAATATTTTTTTTTAAAGCCTAACACGCGTTTATCACGTGACGCGTTATCACGTGACCATCATCAAACACCAACACAAACACATCTCATATTCAAGAGATAATCGGGGCCAAGAATAAACTATACGTTTGAAAATGGTGATCCACACACATTTCTACCTAATTGACACTTTTGAATTTTTTTTTGCCGACAATTTTTTTTTCTGTTCCATTTGAATCTAGACACTCAAATTGCAATCCCTCAAGTTTGGTTGTTGTCAGTAATGAAAACTGAATGAATAAATGAATGGGTGGATGGATAGAAAAAATGAAACTATGAAATGTGCGTAGGCACGTGTTTATTTTTATTTTTTTTTCGCAAAACTCGTGTACACATGAACATGAATTCGATACTCATAATCATCATGATAACGGTGAATAAATACTACTATAGTATTTAAATGAATGAAAATTATTGCATCACTAAATTCAAATAACCGAATCATCCATAAGTATCGTTCGATTTTTTTTGGTTGATATGATTGTGTTTCTTTGTGTGTCTATTTGCTGACTCAACATTCATTTTTGTTTCATGAAAACAGTTCATTCAGAATGCGTGTGTAGTTTTTTTTCGAGTATGGTATCCCATGGGCTAACCATCAAGGGAGATGTGATATTTAGATTTATCAATCCAAACAGCCATTATGGTTAGGGTTATTCGTTGATCCACAAAGCAAAAAAAGAAAAAGAAAATTTTTGCAGAGTAATACACAGACACACAAACACATTCATTGCATTGGGTAAAATCCAATGGTTGTATTATACACCTCATTCGATGCATTTTATTTCATTTATGATTCTTTGATTGTTGTTGCCACGATGATGATGATGATGATGATGATGATGATCACAACTTTTTTTTCCATTGTTATCATTCACATTGTGTATGTGTGTATTTCACCATTTTTATTCAATAAAAATGGTGATACTTTTAGCTGGCCAACAACATGATAATAATAACTTGATGGTTACAATTGCAAATACAATAATCATCACCAGAGAGATAGTCTGAGGGAAAAAAACCTTCAACATTGAATAGTATCGATACATCGATTGTTCCCATGTGAGAGATACAAAATGTGTTTTATGCTTGACTTGAGTGTTACTCACAATGTAAACAGAGAGATTGAATGTGAAATGTTTACGACCAAAAAAATGTTTAGATTTTTTTTTCTCAAAAATTTGTTTGTATTTGATTCTTTAAATTGCAAAGAAAAAAAAACGACAACAACAAAAACAAACCAGTATTATTTGCACGTGTTTTTTTGTTTCTTGGTTTTCCCCAGATATACGATGATTTCTTCTTGTCTTCAGTATCACTTTGTTCGTTCGTTTTTTTTGGTAAGAATATTTGGTAACCCGTTCATTGTAACCTTTTAAATAATGAATTGTTTTGCATACTTCATCATTCATTCATTCATTCATTAACCAGGCAAGAAAAAAAACAGGCATGTGACCCTCAACGTTTCATTAGATATCCGGTAACAAGAAAAAAAAACAAAAACGAAAACAACAAAAACAACATGAAATATTAGATGAAAATAATCGCTAAAAAAAACCTCATTGTTTATTCATTCATTTGTTATCCAAAATTGGAAATTCAAGTTTCATGATGGAAAAAAATGTGAAACAACAACAACAACAACAAAAAATCAAAATATTCAGATATCACAATGTGGATAAAGTATTCTTGAATAGAAATTTTGCATTTCTCTTTAACGACAACGAACGAAAAAATGAATGAATGAATGAATGAATGGCAATTCACATGTGGCAATATAACTTTGGATGCGGCCAAAGCTCTTTCTTCTCTCATTTACTCATCATGGAATTAAGTCTTCAGCAATAATTAATAGCACTAATTACGATGAAATAGTGGAAAAAAACACTAACCCAACCAACCAACCAACTAAATAACGAAAAAAATTGAAACAACGACAACGACAATGCTATAGCTAAAAGGCAAAACAACAACAAAAAAAAACTTGAAAAAATAGCAATATCCATTGTAGATCCAGATAGAGAGAGGGATACACTTTGTCAAAGTCAAATTGAGTACAATATATATATATACATTGAGAATAAAATCAACCAAACAAACCAACGAACCGAAAATGAAAGAACCAAACACACAAACACATAATAATAATTCAAAGTTAACTCCTTTGAATCCTTATAAAATATATAATAATGAAAGAAATACCATATATACACCAGTATAGCAGTATTATTGGACTTAATCTATCCTATCCACCATCGCCATCACCATCACCACCATTCATACTCTGTCATTTTTAAAAGTTCAAAACATTCGAAAAGATCAGAATATATACAACAGAATAATCATGGTATTTATATAATGAATACTATACTATACTGGGAAAAAAAAGACTCTAGAGAGACAAATGACAATGGCTGGCTTGCTTGCTTATCATGAATCCTGTCAGCTTTGACTAACGATAAAATTAATTTTGGCACTGTGTGTGTATGTGTGGTCCGTACACATATAAGAAACAAAACAAATGATGATGATGATGATGATGATACAATGACAACATTTGTGTCCGAATTCAGAATTTTGGTTCAATTTTTTTTTTTGTTTCAATTTCATTTTCAAAAACAAATTTCAATCAACCAGTGCCATCTATGGTCATGATCAGAAAAAAAAGTTTTAATAAACAAATGATCGAAAATTCTTTTGGATAAAAAATTGCCACAACAACAACAACAACGATAACGACCATGGTAATGATGAACGCGAGTGGAAATTAAAATAAAAAATAAATTCAGTTTTTTTTATCTCAGATCTGCTATGGTGTTTATTTCAAATATAATGGTGATTATATGATCAACTAATCGTTATCATTAACATATATGCTTCTGGTAAGATTTATTTGGAATCTTGTGGTTTTTTTTAGAAAAATTTTCGGTTTTTTTCTTCCTTTTTTAAGTGTCTAAATGAATGAATGAATAAATTTTGCCACCATCACCGCCAATGACATCGCCATATGTATATATGGCCATGAATTTATATATTTTGTCTGGACAAAAAATGTCATCGTCGTCTTGTTCTTCATTTGCTTTTTTTTTCTTTTTGGTTGTCGACATCCAAAATGATCACATATGAAGACGATGGTAATTGTAATTTGCGAAATAATTTATGAATCTTTTTTTTCATTTTTGTTTTTTTTTCTAGTCTGGTAGGTTGTAAAAGATGTTTTTTTTGATTCTCGCTTTGGATGGATAATAATTCAAACCTTTTCTTGTTCATCTTGTACACCATTTCAGGTAGTAGTAGTGTGGTGATCCTCATGATTTGGTGATAATCGACTGATGAACAATTAATTCTTCCAATAATTTTCTCTATTGCCTCATATCATCATCATTCATTAGAAGATATAACACGAGTGAGTTAAATTTTCGGAATCTAAAGAATTTCCTTTTTTTTTTTTTTTGGTTAAAAATTTCACAGCGGTAGCCAATTGATGATTATGATCGTATTCGCCAATAATAATAATCCAGATAATAATAATTTTTGTATCAACCATTGACAATTATCGTGTTTGGACTTTTTTTTTTTTACCTTTGAACCTCATCAAATTCCATCCCGAATATGAATGAAAAACATTTTTTTTTCTTTTTGCTTTTCTCGAAAATGTCGTCAACTCTTAGTTGGTGGTCAGCCAGTTTTTTGAACATCTTCGTATGGAGAAGAGAAAAAAAATTCAAAAAAAAAACTAAACCATTTGGTAGTCGATTGGTTGGTGGCCTGCGGCCTGGTCATAAATAAAACAAAAAAAAACGTTTTGAAAACAAGAGAAAAAGAAGAAAAAAAACAAAATATAAATTCAGCGGACGAATAGAAAAAAAATTGCTAAAAATGTAAATTTGATATCGAATCCTTTTTTTCGGCTAATGATGATGATGATCAAATGTGAAATACGATTCGATTCACGATTCTCATTATTGTATATTGACAAACCGTAAATTCATACAGATGATGACGATGATGATGATTTGAACATCAATTAAATGTCAACATTTTTTTTTTTGGTTTATCGCTTGTTCACCATAATGATCAACATTGATATCACATCTCGATATTGATCGCGATTTTTCAAATCCGATTTTATTTTATCATCATTTATTTATTTATTACATCATTTTTCGTAAGTTCATCAGTTTAATCAGATCGTTTTGCAAATGTTGATGTTTTTCTTCTTCTCCTTCTTTTTATTTAGAAAAATCATTATCATCATAATGATCAAGTCATAAATTATAAAATTTTGTTTCATTTTTTTTTTTTGATCATCATATCGAATTACAACGCAAATGTGGATGGATGGATGGATGGATATCCATGCTCTCTTGAAATTTTTTTTCCTGATTGACAATCAATCAATCAAAATGAAATTTGTTTTGCAAATTTTATCCGGTTGCTCGATATTTTATACACACAAGATGATCATTATGACCACCAAGATTGATATTGAAAATGAAGAAAAAGTGAACGAAACCAAAAAAAAAAAATCAACTCAAATCTCGGGATATGAATGAAGAAGATTTAATTACCGACATATTCAATAAGTTTATTTGTAAATATTATATTCCCGGACACACGACACTACTACTATCGATCTAATGATGATGATGATGATGATGATTAAAATGAAATACCAGCCATAATAACCGTAGACTGTTTTTTTGTGTTTGTGTGTGTGTGTGCCACGATAATCCATTGCCATAAGTCCAGTTTTTTTTTCGTCTACTCTCTATTTCTAAATCCCTTCGTTATAATATCGAACAAAAACAACAACAACAACAACAACAACAACAAAAAGTCAGAAAAAAACGCCAGCTCTATTCAATATCATCACATTTTGGTTTTGGTTATATTGTTGTGATTGTTGTTCATTTTGGCGATTTTGGATGTGAGAGGAGGGTTTTCACGCTTTTTTGTTGTTGTTGTTTTTTTTGTTGAATCAAGATTTTCCCACTTAATTCGATAACTCCTCTTTGATACCAATGCCTATTCTATCTATCTATCTATCTATTGTTGTTGTTGTTGTTGTTGTTGCTGTTGCTGAATCCCCTTGTTTTAATCCGAAATATAATGGTCAGGAAAAAAACTCTGCAAAACCACTTGAACCATTAGGATTAAACTCTCGACGACGATTGACGGCGACGACGATCCAAACAGAAAAAAAACTGAATTAATGTGTGTGTTAAGCTTTCATATACACACATAACAAGGACGAATGAATGAATGAATGAATGGACAGAAAAAAAATTGAAACATATAAACCACAAAAATAGTGGATCGGACAAATTATACCTCCAAAGAAGGTTCTTAACACACACATACATACATACATACATTGCTTCGGATATACAATTGCGGTTTTTATCCAATGGATCTATTTCTATCCATATATATATAGACAACGTTGTTGACGAAATAGAAAAAAAACCAAAACAAAACAAAAGAAAATGAAATAAAACCAGTGAAAAAAAAATACCACCAAGCTTGATCCATGATCCTGTAAGTATTCGTTTTTTTTCTCTCTCTCTCTCTGGTTTTGGTTTTGGTTTTCATTTTCAAGTAGTTGTTATTTTTTTCTGGCTTGTTGTAAGTTGTTGTTATTGTTTATTGTTTATTTTGTCATGGTTGTGGTTTCAATTTTGTTGCAGCAAAAAAAAAAAAAGAAAGAAAGAAAGAAATGCTATAGGTTTCCTTCTCCTCCTCTTTTTTTTTCCATTCTTTCACGGCTTAGGATTATATGATATTGGTCATGGCCATTTTGGTCATATAAACGGTAAATCCCACACACACACACACACACACACACACACACTTACAGTAAAACTATTGAATTGATTCAATCAATTATTGATCTCTTTATTTGCATAAAAAAAACTATTGAACCATAATATGGCCCACCAACTTTGTGAACATTTTTGGTGATCTCTTCTTCTTCCTTCTTCTTCTCCTCCTACTCCAGCATTATCCTGTGTGTGTGTGTGTGTGTGTGTATGTGACAGGTATAGCCACAAAAAAATTGTAATTGAAATTTTCAATGTAAACAGTCCTTGAAAAGATTTTTCTGCTGTCTTTTTTTTGTTTTGTTTTTTTTTTTTTTTGCCAAGTACCTTCGACATTTTTTTTGTGTCTACCAAGAAAAGATGAAAAGAATACAAAAATATTTCGAATACAAATAATTAATTTAAATTGAAACTTTTTTTCTGTTGTTGTTGTTATGGAACAATATGCAAATAGAAAGCCGAAAGAAACCGCAAATACAACAATGGATAATCTCCCTGTGCGATGATCGAAAATCGAAAAAAAAGGAATCAAAATCAACAAACAAAGGTCAAATAAAGTTGTGTAACATTTCTATTGTAGTAGACAACAACAGGACAACAACAAAAAAAAACAAAATCCATAGGATTTATGCCTCAAAAAATTCATCATCATCAATTGGTGGCTCAATTTCAATTTGATCAATTGCAATCGATCGATCAGGGAGGTATAATGATGATGATGATGATGATGATGAAAACACGCAATGTAAAATGTCTCTTTGCTTTATGTATCATTTACCGATCAAAAATTGTTTAGTGATTGTTTCCGATAACAATGAAAATTTGTATGTTGATGACCACCAACATTGATTGATTCGATTTGAATATTTTTAATTTACAAATAATGAAATCTTTTTGAAGTTTTTTTTATAATAGTTTGTCATCAATTGATTTTTGTTTTCATTTCAAATATTCGTGATTCACAACAACAACAACAACAACAACAACAGCAACTGTCAATCAACCACCAAGTGATCAATCCATTATCGATTCATAATGATAATATCCATTTACGATTATTAAATTCTTGAATGCTTGAATAAACAATGTGAAAATTCTTTAATTCCAATTTATTCTTTTTTTTCTGTATAACATGTGTGTGTGTGTGTATGTAATTTCCGGTTTCATTTTTAGTTGTTATTTTGTTCATTGATCGATTGGTCAAAGTTTACTTTTCAATTATAGAATGTGGTGGCGAAAAAAAAGTTTGCAAATTTTCATTGTTAAAATCGCTTCCTAGTAGGTTTCCATTTACAAGTTTGTAAAATTTTAAACAGATTATGTCCACAGTATGTGATTATACACACACACGGTCACCACTGCCAACAACAACACCAAAACGAATTGACCATCAGGTTTTGTCAACATTGATCCTTTCTTTATCTCTCTATGTATTTATAGACCCCCTTTGAAGGACAAATGTATTGATTGACATTTCAGACTTAACACTTTTTTTTCTCAATGAAGAAGAAAAAAAAACAGATCACAACAAACATTCTGGAAAAGATATTCACGTGAATTTGACATTGTCTTGTCAATTATTGTCAATTTTGAGCTGCTGTTCATTCATTCATTCATTCTCATATTTCATGTGTCTTGATTCAGTTAAAAACGCGTGTGTATTCATGCATGTGTGTGTGTGTGTGTGTGTGTGTATGCGGGTACATATCATCTGACAAAATTGAGGAACAACGACGAGAAAAAAATCCTGGATTCATTCAAATAAAATGTTTGAATGACAGCGACAAACCAAACCAAACCAACCAGACCAAAAAAAACGCTTGCTCGCAACTTGTCCATAGAAACATTCACAATGGTCAATCAAATGTAAAATCAGCGAGAGTGTAATATCAATCACAAAGTTGTTTAAAATGTTTTATTATCTATATATAGATAGAAAAACCAGAAATAACCAGAATGATAAAAATAAAAAAAACCCCTTTTCACGATAGGGTTGTTGTTGTTGTTGTTGTTGTGACACATTTATTCGAATCTAGTATTTCAATTGTGATAATGATGAAAGCAAAGTAGTATAGACTTAAATTAAATTGTCAACAACAACGAAATATTTTGGCTTCTAATATGTTATTGTCGGCTCGTCAACGAAAAACTAAATCCAATCCAATTCAATCCAATCCAATCAAATCGATTCGTTTGAAAATTTTTTTTTTTTGAAAAACCGATTGCCTAACACTACTAACTAAAGGGTTTTTTTCTGGAATTCAATGTTCAATTTTCAAAAATCAACCTGAGACCAAAATGTTCAAAATATATCAGAATTGAACAAAAAAAAAAATGGAGAATGACTCATTCAGAAACTGGACCACCATCACCATTGACTGATAATAATAAAATTAACCCTTTGTTTTCGTTGATTTTATTCTCTGTATATTGCAGTGAAAAAAAATGATCCGGAAATTTTTCTTCAATATAGTGACTGTTGTAGAATTTTGCACCAAATGATTTGATTTGATTTGAATGAAATGAATTGAAATTTCCTGTACCACACACTGTACTGTAATTCAATGTGATGACTGAATGAATGAATGATTTGAATTGAAAAAAAAACAACAACAACAACAACAACAGACAGACAACCTCCATATTGAATTTGGATTGAATGAATAAATAATCGATTTCCATATATATTCCAAACAAAACAAAACGAAAAAAAAAAATAAAACACCAACCAGCTAACCATGAAAAAAAATGAATAACATAGGAAATTTTCTTCATTTCCGTTTGTTTTTCTTCCTCTATCTCTTCATCAACAGTGTGTGTGTGTGTATGTATGTGTGAATGAATCAAAATGTAGAAAAAAAGTCGGAAATTGAAAAACCTAAAAGTTTAAATTAAAAAAAAAATTATTATCATCATCATTATTATTAATATTATGACATAAAGGTAAAGCTAATGTCATCGTCATTGTCGTCATCGTCGTCGTCGATGATGATGATGATGATGATGATGACAATAATGAATGACAATTCAATTATTTGTGAATGTCGTTGTCGTCAATCTAATCTAATATTTTTTTTTTTTGGATGTGAAATTTTTTTCCATTAAAAAAAATGGATGCACCGGATCAGTTCACACATTTCTTACGCGTTTACAATGGCCATTATTTGACCGGTAAATATGCGACCAATGAAAAAAAAAATATTCCATCCAATCAATCAAGACAATGTGAAATTTTTTTTTTTTGTATTCAAATTTCCTTCCTGCCAATCGCATCAATCATTTTTTTTTTTGATTTTGTGTCTAAAATTTCATATTTTTCATTTTCTGCCCATATACCATTATTATGAATTTATTTATTGGCTCATCGATATATTCTGTTTATTTGAAGAAAATCCCAATAAGAATAAAATGTGATCAAATCAGGGCGAGGGGGTAGAAAACGTTTTTTTCAGGATTTGATTTTATTCTTCCTACAGAAAAAATTTAAAAACAAACGTGACAAAATTTCCACAAATGCTGAATTATTACTTGACCATTTAAAAAGTTCAATTTCAGTTTGAAATTTGTTTATAGATTGAAAATAAAAATAAAAATTTTTTGACATCGATCAAATGAGAAATTCAAATTGGAATCCAATGACGATGACGATACGGTCAACTGATCAGCATTTTTTTTCTATTCAAGGTCCATAGGGACTGCCTTATTGCATGGCCAAAAACCATTCAATTCATCAGCTTAGTGCATCACATGTGTGTGTGTGCACAGAATGCATAGAATTTCATCGGTTTTGATTACGACTACCAGTACTAATGTAAGTAGAGAAAGACTGCACAACATGAAAAAAAATTGGAAACAAATTCTGTAGACCAACAAACAAACAAAAAAAGAGAAGAAGAAAAAAAAACGTTTCGAATTCAGAAAAAAAAATTCAGCTTAAAATAAATATATCTGTTATATAATAACTTTTTGTTTTGTATTATTCGTTTTCGTATTAGATTTTCGATGAAGATCCGGATTTTCATCTCTGTTTCTCTCTCGCTTTCTATCTGATACACTGCCCGATGACGACAACAACAAAATCAGAGATAGGAAGAAAAAATGAACCAAAAAAAAGAAAAAGAAAAAGATTTGAAATTACCGAACAAACAAACAAACAGAAAAAAATAAAAAGAAAATTGGCAAAAGCAAGAATCCATGACAGAATAATAATCTCTTCGTTTTTTTTTTTTGGTTTGTAATTTCTTATTTTTCGTTGTCGTCGTTGTTGTTGTTGTTGGATCCAAAGAATAAGAATATGAAATCCAGAAGCAGCAGCAACAGCAACAGCAACAACAACAAGCTTAATTCCAAATTCTTTTGTTGTTGTTGTTGTTTTCGTCGTTTTTCGTTTTTTGATTCATTGATGTACACAGTCAAGATAAACACAGTGATATTATTATGGTTTTCTGATTCTTAAAATGTTTTCAAAAATTGCAATACCATCATACAGTGACAACAGCATCACACAACCAATTTTTTATCATAATCATGATGATGATGATGATGATGATGATGGTGAAAACAGCGAAAAAAAACCAGCATAACTAAATCTCGATAGAGAAACGTTGAGAAAAAATAAATTCAACGTTTTCAAAACAGAATTTTTTTTTTTTGCTTCATTTCTTCAATGAGAAAACTTTCTATCTCATTTGAGATTCTTTGAGTTTTTTTTGTCTACTTTCTACTATGTTTTGTTTTTGCTTTTTCGTTTTTTTTTCGGGCAAGTATGTATGTATGTTTTTTTTTCTCTTCTCCATCTGCATATAAATAACTTTATTAAAGATCTATATGTTTTGTGTGTGGTGTGTGTGTTGGCTTGGTTTCGGCTCAATTTCAATTCTAATTCGATCGTAGATATTTTTGTCTTTGAATGTAATGTTTCAAAGTCAAAATGTATGTGTGTGTTTGTGTGTGTGTGTGTGTGTGTGTGTGGGCGTTTGTTTCAACCCAGAATTGACGTAAACATAACTTTATGATGATGATGATGATGATGAATACGTTCGATGGATTCACGAATTCAATGGAATTGAACACACACACACACACAGCCGGGACAAACAAACAAATGATGGAAAAAAATGATTGAATAAAAATGGACAAATTTCTTCTATTGAATGTTGATAAAGTAAACTAATTCCCGTAACAGAGAAAAGTAAAATTTTTTTTTTTCATTCTCCAGAAAAAAAACGATGAAAGAAATACAAAATCAAATTTATAAACGTCAAGTAAACATTCTGCAGAGATGATGAAGACAATTTTTTTTTTTTTTGCTGGCCATAGCCAGAACCGATTCAGATTTTTTTTTTTATTTTATTTCATTTTGAGAACCAGACTTTAGAATACTGATGAATCATTTTCTCATTCATTCGGATCGAAATGAATGAGAAATTTTGGAATTAATTTTCATTTTCTTTTCAATTTCATTCATTCATTCATCATTTCACCATCCAAATCCTATTCATTTTTATTCAGTAATAATAATGATGAAAAGAAGAAAAAAAATTAAAACGATTTATCATCAATTTGAGCAATTCAAAAGCGATTTCGATTCAAATTGTTAATCATCATCCATTGGATGTTTGTGTTTATGTCAATATTTGTTTTTGATTTGCTAATTATCATCACCATCATCGCCATAATGTCAATGGTCATTCATTGGACCAATTCGATGTATGTGTGTGTGTGTGTTGGGACAAGTCCATTGGAATGGACATTGGAATTTTATTTGAAAACATTTTTTCAAATGATTACACTTGAAACATAGTACGACATCTATTGGCCATGATTGAAAAGTTTGAGAAAAGAGATGAGAATCAGAATTCGATTTGATGATTGTATATTGAATTCCGAATTTTTGATGCTTCGATGAATATTGAATATTGAATTTGAATATATTTGAATTTCACGAATAGTCTTATGATCAACAACAACTATTCATTATAAAAATAGTTCTTTGTTTTTTTTAGACTCTAAAAAAACTGAAAAAAAATCAACGATCACAACGCCACCTCTTTGTAAAATAACTTTTGTCACTCAACATTTCGTCATCGCTCTTGATCAGGTATTATCTCTTTGTCACCTATTGTTCCTTGAAAATTTTGAGTGTTTTTTCCATCGTCAATAATGGCCAAATTACCGTCAGAAAAAATCGATAATATATTATTTCAAGATTATTTTAAATCTATCGATCAAGAATTTCTTCAATCCGTTGTTTCAGTTTTCACAATAACAACAACTGATGATACAAACCATAAAATAGAATTTCTATTGATGACTAAAAATGCTACTTATGCATATGGCGAAGAAATATGTTCATGGTTATCGTTGAAACATGATCCAAAACTTGCACAACAGATATCATTTCTGAATGAAATGCAAATTGTTCAGGTGGATTCTGGCCAAAAATTTATTGCCGTATTAACTAATGATGGCCGAGTGTATCTAGCCAGTAGTAGTTCTACTTGGAATACAAACAAAACCTTGAGGTTGATCTCTACTAGTAATGATGAATTCAAAATGATTTCTTGTGGATGGTCTCATATTTTATTGTTACGAAAAGATGGTGCTCTTTTTGCAATGGGGGATAATGAATATGGCCAAATAACGGGTAATTCTTCATCATATATAACTATGGTTAACACAGGCCTAGAAAATGTTATGCTTATGGCTTGTGGAGGGTACCATAGTCTTGCAACAACTAATACGGGAAAAGTTTATTCTTGGGGCAACAATGGATCTGGTGAATTAGGTTCTGGTGATGATACGAAACGAAACACCCCAACCCTTGTTGTATTTCCTTATGATTTGATCAATAGTCGAATTAAAAATATTGCTGCCGGCTATAATTATTCCTTATTCTTATTTAAAAATGGACAGCTTTGGTCCAGTTGTGATGACAGAGGAGACGGTGATTCTGTGAATCGATCAAGACTAACAATTATACCTATTGAAAAAGTACAAAAAGTAGCATGTTCGATTGTTTTTGGTTTTTCATTAGCTTATGATGGATCATCATATTATGCCTGGGGTAGAACCAAGAATGGCGATTGGATATCACCTACAAAATTGGATGATCAACCGGCATCATTTGCAGCTGCATCGGAAATGATACTAAAATCACCAATCACATTTGGTCTTACACCAATAACCTATTTATTCGGATCACAATCAATATCTCACAAATCAATCATCCGATTATTTGACAATCCAGATAATTATGATGTCGAATTTATTATTGGTAAAAAACGTATACTGGCATCTAAATGTTATTTGAAAATGGCATCGCAATATTTTAATCGAATGTTTTCTGGCGATTGGAGTGAAAATAATCTGGTAACCATCAATGCTTATGATTATAATACATACTATACCTATCTCCGTATGTTGCACTATGACTGCATTAAAATTGATAAACAAAACATTGCCCAACTTATTGATATAGCCAATTGTTATTGTGATCAACGATTAATAGGATATTGTAAAACATTCATACGATATGATCTCAATGAACAAACAATAAGCACATATCTTCCATTAATTATCAAGTATGAACTGAATGATGTGCACGATAAACTTATCCAGATTACTATTGATCAAGTTTTGCCGAATCTTACTGACATTTTTCTTAAAGACGACAAAAATTCTATTGTTAAATTTCTTCAATGGTTTTGCAATCAACAATAATATTCTTGTGGATGAATCCTGATTACTGTTTTTGCTTTGATTATCCATTTTTTTCTGCCAAAAATTAATCACAAAATGTAAAATATTCATTAAAGATTCTAATTAGAATCTATTCCATATATCATAAATCATCTCAATAAATTGAATTTCACCATCCAAATCCTATTCATTTTTATTCAGTAATAATGATGAAAAGGGGAAAAAATTAAAACGATTTATCAACTATTGAAGCAATTCAAAAGCGATTTCGATTCATATTGATAATTATCATCCATCGGATGTTTGTGTTTATGTCAATATTTGTTTTTGATTTACTAATTATCATCACCATCTTCGCCATAATGTCAATGGTCATTCATTGGACCAATTCTATGTATTTGTGTGTGTTGGGACAAGTCCATTGGAATGGAATTTTATTTGAAAACATTTTAATTTTATTTTTAACATAGTACGACATCTATTGGCCATGATTGAAAAGTTTGAGAAAAGAGATGAGAATCACAATTCTAATTGATTGAATTGAATTGATTGAATTCAGAATTTTTCATGCTTTAAATGAATATTGAATTTGAATATATTTGAATTCCACAAATGGTCTTTTGATCAATAACAATTATTCATTATAAAAATAGTTCTTTGTTTTTTTTTGGACTCTACAAAAACTGAAAAAAATTTAGCGATCACAACGCCACCTCTTTGTAAAATAACTTTTGTCACTTAACATTTCGTCATCGACCAGTTTCCACGTTTCTTTTCTGTGACTGTTGATCAAGTATCATATGATTGCCATTTGCTAATCATTGAATATTTTTAGTGTTTTTTCCATCGTCAATAATGGCAAAATTATCGTCAGAAAATATCGATAATGTATTATTTCAAGATTATTTTAAATCTATCGATCAAGAATTTCTTCAATCCGTTGTTTCGGTTTTCACAATAATAACAACTGATGATACAAACCCTAAAATAGAATTTCTATTGATGACTAAAAATGATACTTATGCATATGGCAAAGAAATATGTTCCTGGTTATCGTTGAAACATGATCCAAAATGTGCACAACAGATATCATTTCTGAATGATATGCAAATTGTTCAGGTGGATTCTGGCCAAAAATTTATTGCCGTGTTAACTCAAGATGGGCGAGTGTATCTAGCCAGTAATAGTTCTATTTGGAATAAAAACAAAACCTTGAGATTGATCTCTACTCGTAATGATGAATTTAAAATGATTTCTTGTGGATGGTATCATATTTTATTATTACGTAAAGATGGTACTCTTTTTGCAATGGGGTATAATTCATCTGGCCAAATAACTGGTAATTCTTCATCATCTACATCATTTACAATTATAGTCAACACAGGCCTAGAAAATGTTATGTTTATGGCTGGTGGAGGGCTTCATAGTCTTGCATTAACTAATACGGGAAAAATTTATTCTTGGGGCATGAATGAATCTGGTGAATTAGGTCTTGGTGATGATAAGGAACGAAACACCCCAACCCTTGTTGTATTTCCTGATGATTTGATGGATAGCCGAATCAAAAATATTGCGGCAGGCTATGATTATTCATTATTCTTATTTGAAAATGGACAGCTTTGGTCCTGTGGCGATAACAGTGAAGGCCAACTTGGTCTCGGCGATGATGTGATGAGATCAAGACCAACAATTATACCCATTGAAAATGTACAACAAATCGCATGTTCATCATTCCATTCATTTTCATTGGCATATGATGGATCATCATATTATGCCTGGGGTAGAACCAAGAATGGCATTTGGACATCACCTACAAAATTGGATGATCAACCTGTATCATTTGCAGCTGCATCGGCAATAATATTAAAATCACCAATAACATTTGGCCTCACATCAATAATCCGTGTATTCGGATCACATAATTCAATATCTTACAAATCAATCATCCGATTATTTGACAATCCAGATAATTACGATGTCGAATTTATTATTGGTGAAAAACGTATACTGGCATGTAAATGTTATTTGAAAATGGCATCGCAATATTTTAATCGAATGTTTTCTGGCGATTGGAATGAAAATAATCTGGTAACCATCAATGCTTATGATTATAATACATACTATGCATATCTACTTATGTTGCATAATGGCTGCATTAAAATCGATAAACAAAACATTGTAGAACTTATTGATTTAGCCGATTGTTATTGTGATCAACGATTAATAGGATATTGTAAAAAATTCATACGAAGTGATCTCGATGAACAAACAATAAGCACATATCTTCCATTAATTATCAAGTATGAACTGAATGATGTGCACGATAAACTTATCCAGATTACTATTGATCAAGTTTTGCCCAAAATTACTGATGGTTTTCTTAAAGACGACGGTAATTCTGTTGTTAAATTTCTTCAATGTTTTTACAATCAACAATAATTTTCTTGTTGATGAATCCTGATTACTGTTTTTCTATTTTTTTCTGCCAAAAATTAATTATATAATGTAAAATATTCATTAAAGATTCTAATTAGAATCTATTCCATTTATCATAAATCATTCATTCATTCATTCATTCATCATTTCACCATCCATAATAATGATGAAAAAGGGAAAAAAATTAAAACGATTTATCAACTATTGAAGCAAATTCAAAAGCGATTTCGATTCAAATTGATAATTATCATCCATCGGATGTTTGTGTTTATTTCAATATTTGTTTTTGATTTGCTAATTATCATCGCCATAATGTCAATGGTCATTTATTGGACCAATTCGATGTATGTGTGTGTGTGTTGGGACAAGTCCATTGGAATGGACATTGGAATTTTATTTGAAAATATATTTTTTTATTTTTATTTTTTCAAATGATTACACTTGAAACATAGTACGACATCTATTGGTCATGACTGAAAAGTTTGAGAAAAGAGATGAGAATCAGAATTCGATTTGATGATTGTATATTGAATTCAGAATTTTTGATGCTTTGATGAATATTGAATATTGAATTTGAATATTTGAATTCCTCAATTGGTCTTATGATCAACAACAATTATTCATTATAAAAATAGTTCTTTGTTTTTTGGACTCTAAAAAACTGATAAAAAATTTTGCGATCACAACGCCACCTCTTTGTAAAATAACTTTTGTCACTCAACATTTCGTCATCACTGTTGATCAAGTATCATCTCTTAGTAATTTGCCAATCCTTGAATATTTTGAGTGTTTTTTTATCATCAATAATGGCAAAATTACCATCAGAAAATATCGATAATGTATTATTTCAAGATTATTTTGAATCTATCGATCAAGAATTTCTTCATTCCGTTGTTTCGGTTTTCACAATACTTCATTATGATGATACAAACCCTAAAATAGAATTTCTGTTGATGACTAAAAATGCCACATATGCATATGGCGAAAAAATATGTTCATGGCTATCGTTGAAACATGATCCAAAACTTGCACAACAGATATCATTTCTGAATGATATGCAAATTGTTCAGGTGGATTCTGGCCATAACTTTATTGCCGTGTTAACTGATGATGGCCGAGTGTATCTAGCCAGTAGTAGTTCTACTTCTAATACAAACAAAACCTTGAGGTTGATCTCTACTATTAATGATGAATTCAAAATGATTTCTTGTGGATGGTCTCATATTTTATTGTTACGAAAAGATGGTGCTCTTTTTGCAATGGGGTATAATGAATATGGCCAAATAACTGGTAATTCTTCATCATCTCATCATTTACAATTATGGTCAACACAGGCCTAGAAAATGTTATGCTTATGGCTGGTGGAGGGCTTCATAGTCTTGCATTAACTAATACGGGGAAAATTTATTCTTGGGGCAAGAATGAATCTGGTGAATTAGGTCTTGGTGATGATATGAAACGAAACACCCCAACCCTTGTTGTATTTCCTGGTGATTTGATCAATAGCCGAATCAAAAATATTACTGCTGGCTATAATTATTCCTTATTCTTATTCGAAAATGGGCAGCTTTTGTCCTGTGGTAATAACAATCGTGGCGAACTTGGTCTCGGTGATAATGTGATGCGATCAAAACCAACAATTATACCTATTGAAAAAATACAACAAGTAGTATGTTCGAAAGTTTTTGATTTTTCATTGGCATATGATGGATCATCATATTATGCCTGGATTAGAACCAAGAATGGCATTTGGACATCACCTACAAAATTAGATGATCAACCTGTATCATTTGCATCTGCATCGGCAATGATACTAAAATCACCAATCACATTTGGCCTTACACCTAAAACCTATTTATTCGGATCACATAATTCAATATGTTACAAATCAATCATCCGATTATTTGACAATCCAGATAATTATGATTTCGAATTTATTGTTGGTAAAAATCGTATACTGGCTTGTAAATGTTATTTGAAAATTGTATCACAATATTTTAATCGAATGTTTTCTGGCGATTGGAGTGAAAATAATCTGGTAACCATCAATGCTTATGATTATGATACATACTATGCCTATCTCCGTATGTTGCACAATGGCTTCATTAAAATTGATAAACAAAACCTTACCAAATTTATTGATCTAGCCAATTGTTATTGTGATCAACGATTAATAGGATATTGTAAAACATTCATACGATATGATCTCAATGAACAAACAATAAGCACATATCTTCCAGTAATTATCAAGTATGAACTGAATGATGTGCACGATAAACTTATCCAGATTACTATTGATCAAGTTTTTCCGAAACTTACTGACATTTTTCTTGAAGACGACAAAAATTCCGTTGTTAAATTTCTTCAATGGTTTTGCAATCAACAATAATATTCTTGTGGATGAATCCTGATTACTGTTTTTGCTTTGATTATCCATTTTTTTTCTGCCAAAAATTAATCATATAATGTAAATATTCATTAAAGATTCTAATTAGAATCTATTTCATATATCATATATCATCTCAATAAATTGAATTTCTCTGTATGACATTTTGTGTGTAATTTTATTTTTTGTTTAATTGTTTTGACAGATGACCATCATCATAGATATTGAAAAAAAAATTTGAATCATGAAAAAAAACATTGACGATGATCTGATGTGAAAATCCTCTTTTTGTTATATGAAGAAATGTAGATTTTTATGCCATTGGATCGCCATCTCATGTGTGTGTGTGTGTGTGAAAGAGAATGATGCACTAAACATTGTGGATCGATTGTGGATTCGGTTCCAAATGCAAAAGTGAGAGAGAAAAAAAACAGTGGAAAATTGCGATTTGTTCATTTGATAAATGTCGACAAAAATGGCAAACACATACATGCAATGCATTAAACTGGAACTGATTTAGAGCATTTGTTATTCATTTTTTTTCTATTTTTGAAATTGATTTATGGCAATTTTAAACATTTTACAACAAGAACGTAATGAATGTGACAACAAAACCGACCATCAATTCGATATGTTGATCATCGGGACAATAAAACAAAAAGTAATGGAAGATAAAAAAAACCTTGAAAATCTGTCAGATTTGATAAAAAATTTTCATTGTTGTTGTTGTTGTTAATCAAACAGAATGAACAAACAACAACAACAACAACAAGCGGAAAAAAAGGTTGGGTGTATAATGAATTGTAATAGTTTAAAAATTTTTGAAAATTAAAATTCAAACATCGAATATATATGTTTTGTTGTGTAAAAATTTTGATCAAGGTTAAAAAGGATTATCATCATCATCATCATATATTCAATTAAATCGTTAAAAATTGATTCATCAATTTCATTTCATTTTATCATCATCATCGCCATCATCAATATATGATAATAATTTCTATATTCATTTACAAGCCAGATGATTCTTTCAACCTAAACATTAAATACATACAGACTTGATACAGACACACACAAACAAACAAAAAAAAAAATTCGACAAAAAAAAGCCTTGAAGCAATATGAATGTGAATGAATTTATCATTTATAATCATAAAATGATGGATCCATTTATTGATGGATTGGTTTTTCGATTGATTAATAGTCAAAAATGAAAAATTTCGACGATGTACATTGAAATTATTTGATAAATTCGTTCGAATAGCATGTATTTTATTTTGGATTTTGAAAACAAAAAACATATTCAAACTGGCCATTATCGTGATAAACATCTTGTTTGTTTTGTTTTTGTTGTTTTCGTTTCTTTTTATTCGATTAATTTTTGTTTTTTTTTCGTTGCTGCTGCTGCAAATGAAACTTTGTCAAATATTGATTTTTTTTCCATGTGTCGAATGCAAAAACAGACAAACACAAGAAGCGAAAAAAAATGGTCAGTTGAAGATAGATCTCTCTCTCTCTTCAAAATTCATTCATTCATTCGTTGCATATGTTAACTAATGGAACGGGTGTAGGTGTGTGTGTGTGTGTGTGTGTGTGTTTCGAGACAAATAAAGAAAAGAAAAATCTCCACCTACTTTTCGCAAGATATCAATTTACAATTGGTGACCAATCATCATCATCATCATCATCAGCATCATCGGATAGATGAATATATATGATTATTATACAACTAAATACAACAACGAATAGAAAGACAAACTCAAATTCGAAACGAATTGAATTGAATTGAATTTTTTTCAGAAACACACAGAAAAAAAGGTAAACAAGAAAAAGTGAATGAAAAAAAAGCTCAATATAATTGCTATATCACCATTTTTTTTTCTTCTTCTTCTTCTTCTTCTTTTATTGGATTCATTATCACCACCACCATCACAATAATCAATTGCATATAAATAGAAGGAATCAATTTGATGTCCATTTCGTTTGTTTTGTTTGGAATTTAATTTTTTTTGCAACGTATCAAATTATCTTAATTTGTTCGTCGTAATCACCATCATCATCATCATCATTTATTTATTTATTCATTCATTTTTAAGTGCCTGATATATCTGTTGTTGTTTTTCTTATTCATCGATCGTCAGTCATTCGATTCATTTTGAATTTGAAATTCATACGATTCATTACGTTGTTCGTAATTTTTTTGTTTGTGTGCGCAATTTATTAACATACTCGATTCAATAATGATGATGAAATTTATTATGATTATGATCGCCACAACAGTGGCATTGGTCAATGCTGCACCAAAACCACAGATACAATATTCACAAACATATGGTGGTGCTGGTGCTCTTGGTCCATTATCAACAGGTCATTTTCAACCAGTATCACGATCATATGTTGCTTCGGTCGCTCCAGTAGCACCAATTGCTATCACAGCAGCTAAACCAATTGTTTACACGGGTCCAATTGTTGCACCAAGACCAATAGCTGCACCGGTTGCCGTTCCAGTTGCCTATACAGCTTCAGCAAAACCAATTCGATATTCAGCACCAGCAGCTGCAATAGTCGAACAAGAAGAACAATATCCACCACAACCATTCAGTTATTCATATGATACTGTTGATGAATATGGTACACAGATGACTAGACAAGAATCCGGAGATGGTGCAGGAACTGTACGTGGTTCATATTCATATCGTGATGCAAATGGTATGGCTCGTATCGTTAATTATATTGCCGATCACAATGGTTTCCGTGCTGAAATTCAAACTAATGAACCCGGTACACTTACATCAGCACCAGCCGATGCAGCTATCGTTTCATCGAATCCACCTGTTTATAAACAAAAATAAATATCAATTCTCTGATATAAATTTCAAAATAATTAACCGGATTGATTATCAATTTATATCAATGTAATTTATGTTGCTGGTTTTACATAATCAAAAAAAAACAAAACTTTTTTCTCAACATTCGAAAAAATTGATCATCGATTGATTTTTATCCAGATTCTTTGTTCTAAATTTTTAATTTTTTTCTTGAAATTCTAAAACAAAACAAAACAAAAAAGAAATAAATTTTCAAAAAAAAACTGCCATGTAATTCAGTATATATACTACCTGAAATTTCATTTTTTTTCTGTTGATTAATTGATAAAATAAAAGAAGAAAAACCATGATTATTGTTTTCTGGTTGTAAGAAAAAAAAATAAAAAAATAAAATGTTTGAAATATCCACAACAAGATGGCCTTACTTACTTTGTTGTTCCATTGAATCAAATTTTAATTGTCGACGACAATGAAAAAAAAAAAAGAAAAAATTGATATCAAATCATATCAGATAATCTGCATCGTGTGAAAAAATGGATTAATGGATTAATGAATTTTTTTGTCGTTGATCATCATCATCATCATCATATATGAATATTACGAATATTTATGGCATTCAACCATTATCAATCACGATCAATTTTTCTCTATATGTATGTGACCTTAAATGGAAAAATCGCTTGATATGGCAACAAGGTTGGATATAATGAAAATGAAAAAATTAAAAATAAACTTTTTAATCACAAAAATAATAATAATTCACATTTGTATTCGAATAATTTGTTTGATTGATTGATTGGTGTTCGAATAATTTGTTTGTTTGATTGATTGATTTGATTGGTGAAAAAAAAAAAATATTTGAAATTGAAAAATTCTTCACAATTCATTGATTATTGATTTTTTTTTCTTTTCATTGTTGAGACAAAAGAAAGCTTTCTTTCAGAATTTTTGTGTTTGTGTTTGTTTGTGTGTGTGTGTGTGTGTGTCTGTGTTTATCATTGAAAATCTTTTGGGTTATTTTTATTTATTTGAAATAAAAATTTATTTAGTTTGAAACTAGATTGTTTAAAAAAATAGATTCTTTATCCATGAATTTATTTTGGTGGTTGTTGTTGTTGTTGTGAAGCTGATGATCGATATACAGCATCAGCAGGTGCTGATGTTGCGGTACCTGGTTCATTTGTATCAACTTCAGCACGGAAACCATTTTCATCAGAAACATATTTAACAAGACGTGTATAACCTTCTGGTGTTGTGAATGAATATTGACCAGTAACGACACCATTTTCGCTAACTTCATTTCTTTGTAAATTCATGCCAAATTCATCAGTTTCATCAAAAGAGAATGCATAAGGAGCTACTGGTGTACCAGGTTCATTGTAATCTTCTTCAACGACTCTAGCTACTGGTTGTACAACTGGTGCGGCAACTTGAATTCTTGCTGGGGCCGGAACTGGAGCTGGTTGTGGAGCTGCAGCAAATTGAATTCGTGGTTGTGGAGCAACAGCAATAGTTTGTGGTTGTGGAGCTGCAGCAAATTGAATTCGTGGTTGTGGAGCAGCAACAAATTGTACGGTTTGTGGTTGTGGTGCTGCAACTAATTGAACGGCTTGTGGTTGTCTGATGAATTGAATACCAGCAGTAGCTGGTTGAATACCACCAGCAATCACAAATTGAGGTTGAGCAGCGGTTAAACCAACGGTTCCAAAATTGCCAACACCACCACCACCGTAACCGATTGGAATCAATTGAACAGTAGATGGACCTTGTTGAAGCAATTGACCATAAGCAACGGAAATAGTTGCCAAAACAAAAACAACCTAATTCAGAATAATAATAATAATTCAGAATAAATAATTGAATCATTTTCGATAGAAAATATCAAGTTTGATCTTCATTCAAATTTATAATAAACAAATTTATAATCGAACCTTAGCGAACATCATTTTTTTTCCCGCAAATCAATGAAAAAATATCACACCAGATAAACACACAAAAAACACGATATAACGACGATGATAATGATGATGATAAGAACAACAAAATCTTATAACTAAAATTAGATTGTGATAAAAACATTTGATTTATATAGTGATGCTGATGATTACAAAATTCACACGTATTTTTTTTTATGATGATCCATAATTTTTTTTTTTAAAGTTCATAAAGATGGGATGGGATAGTTGTATCTAACTTGTTCTTATTCTTCTTCTTCTTCTTCGAGAAGATTAAATTCATTATAAACATTCCTGTACCTGTAAAATGTATCATCTTCAATGTTTGTTTGTTTGTTTTTTTTCACGTAGAAATAATTCCTTGAACATTATCATCATTTTTATCATCTGAAACAACATGATTTCAATTACAATTACAAAAAAAAAAATTTTATTAAAAATCCATACTGGATGGTCATCATCATTATTATTAGAGTATCCATCCCATCCTACATTCATTCATTCATTCATCCATCCATCCTCTCCAATGATTGTCGTCATAAGTATATGATGATGATGACAATTTTCAAATAATAAATCCATCTGATTGAAATGTTCATTAAAAATTTTAATTTTTTCTCATCTTTTTTTTTGTTTAAAGAAAAAATCTGATGAAATGATCATGGAACGAATGCTATAAAGATGTATATGATATGCTAGATAGTATGGTTGTTGGAATTTTCAGAAAACTGAAAAGAATTAAAAACTGCATTGGGTTTTTTTTCCATATATATGGTCAATGTTACAACGTTTTTTTTCACTCATGATGATAATTTCGGTTTGTTTGAAATGTTCCAACAGAAAAAAAACAGGCAAAACACGTCACAAGACAGCAGCAATTTTTTTTATCAGCGGCAATATTTTTCCGTCAACTAAGAATATCAGTATACAATTCATCATCATCATATTCGTTATCGAATGAATGGAATCAACAGATAAGCAACAGGTGAATCAATAGCTGATGATAAGTTTTAAGAAGGAAAAAATAATTGAACCTGTGATTTTGGTGGTAGAAGCAAAACAACAACAACAAGAAAAACAAATTGACATTGATAATCGAAATGAATTCAACCTATCTATCTTGATCTTAAAATACTTGCAACGATTATCGTCAACAACGTTATCATCATCATCGCCGTCGTCGTTGTTGTCGTCGTTGTTGTTGAAGACGGCATTTTTTATCAAAATTAAATTTTCAGATGCAGAAGAAAAAAAAATCATCAATCTTTTCAATCAAAAAAAATGAAGTCAACTTTTCTTTTCTCTGTTCTGTTGCGGCAACTTTTGAAATAGCAAATGAAATAGAAAAAACACAAAAAACAATTCACATTGATAATGGATCATTTATTCATTGAAATTGGAAATAAAATCTTATCAAAAATTGGATCTCTCAAAGTTGTCAAATCTTAATTCAAATTGGAATGAAATAAACAGAAAAAATTCTCATCAAAAAAAAAAAAAAAAAAAATTTTTGTTTGTGTAAATAGCAAATGGTTTTATTTTCTCATATATCCGTAAACATTTTTGGATCTGGAGAAATGAAAATATTTGTACTGAAAAAATTCAAATCAATGATGATGATGATGATGATGAAATTGATTCAGATAAAATATAAATCCTGGATTATAGTAATTTAAAGCGAATTTTGATTTTTTTTTTCTCAAAAAAAATCCATTCAAATGAATGATCATTATCGATTCTGATTTAATATATGCTTCATCATTTCATGGATCGAAAAAAATGGAAACAGATAAATAAAAAACACACACACACACACACACATGACACTGACTCAATCTCAAGAATTAATCTTAAATATATTATTATATTTATGATTCGTATCTTGAAAATGGATCCTGATATCAATTTAATGAATTTGGATCAATAAAATTCGATGTGAAAAAAACACTGTGTTCTGTGCACAAAATTGCCAAGACATTGATTTATTTGCAAAATTTTCTTTTAAATGATCTTGAATTTATTAAAAATTCAACAATTTAATTTTTTTTTCTCTGTGTAATAAATGTATTTATATTCCATGTTTGTTTACATTCTCAATGTTGTTGATGGCAGAAACGGTGGCCACACTGATTCATATTTATATAGTATTGACAATTTAAACATTTTTGCTGATGAATGTCAACCTTGAACATTTTTTTTACGATGATGATGAAGACGACATTTTGACAACAACAACAACGAAAAAAAAATGTTTGGATCAATGATGATCAATCTTCATACAAATCGATCGTCATCATCGGTTTCAAACATGATGATGATGATGATGGTCTCGTTCTTCGTAATCCATTCATATCGTCGAAATTTCGAATAAAAAAACGATAATGATAGTTTTTTTTTTAGATTGCGATATTAAGTTAATGTGAATAAGTTAAATCGCTTTTTAATTTGATTCAAATCTTGAAAAAAAAATGAAATGTACATCTTCAAATATTGACAACAGATTTAAGAAAACTTGAACAAGAAAAAAAAACAAAACAAAAAATCAAATACATCTTCATCATCGTTCAATACAATTAATTTTTGTTGCACAAATAATCATTCAGAGATTGATCCAAAATCAATCCGTATTCAAATTCATAATCGAAGTGTTCCATTTTAATCCATTTGAACAAAAAAAAGTGTGTCTGTAAACCTAAATAATTAATTCATTTTTACAATAAATCAAAATTGAACTTTGTAGCCACTATTGTATATGATGATGACAATTTGAATAATAATTGAAATAAGAAAAATCGAATCACAATTATTGTAGTCACAAGCTCGTATTCATTAGCATGGCTATGAGATATGGATATTTTTTTGCTTCAATATAGCATTGTATTCAAATCAATACGGAATTGTCACCTTTTGTTCTTTCATGGATTGTCATTACAAAAGTTCAAATCTAATAATGAATGATTATTTGTCCAAATATAAAATGTCCAATATTTTTCAATGACTTGTCCATATGTAAATTGATTTTTTGTTTTTCATTTGAAAATCATCCTACGTATTGAAAAATTGCATTTTGCGGATATATTTCAAAGAATCCATCAGAGAATCGGATTCCCTATTTGGATATTTTAACAACAACAACAACAACAACAACAACAAAAAATCCTACAATATTGAAAATTGGATCGAAAATTTCTTGTGAAATTTTATTGTTCATCAAGGATTCATTTTGGATTTTGATAGTATAGTAAGAGAAAAAAAACAAGTATAGAAGAACCTCAACAGGTGAACAAATTGCTTGAAGCTTGAAATTTTTTTTTTTTTTTTTTTTTTGCTTCCCAGAAATACGATTAACAAAATAAATAAATAAAAATTTTAAATTTCAAAACAAAAACAAGTAAGGTCATTATTTTTTGTTTTTTTTTGTTTTGTTCTTATTGTCCTTAAAAAATGGAAATCGTAAAAGATAAACATTACATACGTTTTTGTTTGTTGTTTCAATGATAATTTTTGTTTTTTTTTTTTGGTTTCGTCCATTATGGAATGTAGTAAAACCTAATCTTAGCAACTCATACACACAGTATGTTGTATGGAAACAATAATCGTTTCGTTATATATACTAATACAATGTTATTCAGCAATGGCTTACACAAACCATACTTAGTGGACCAGCATGGGCTTGTTATCATCATAACCATTTTTTTCATTGAACATTCACAAACTATTTTTTTGTCGTTCTATTCATGGTTTGGTTTGATGCCATTTTTTTCTGTGATATAAATATTCGACCAGATTGCCTGATTGATCATCATATTCATCGACATTCGATTAGTGAAAATATTGTCATTCGAAATTTGAATTATATTTGAACATTGATTGATATATTGTTGACAAAATGAATCCGATGATGATTATATCGTATATTGTCATTTTGACTTTTATTGTTTTGATTGACCATAGTCAACAAAGACCTTATGATGGATATGACGACAGTGGATACAATGTTGATGGATATGATCGTACCGGATATAGCAACAGTGGTTACAATAACTATGGTAATTATGGTGATCATGAACCTAGCAATTATGACGTTTATAGTGGAAGTGGTATTATGAGAGGACAACAAAACCATCAACAACAATCTCATAATGGTCATTCTGGTGGAATCTTAGGAATGTTGAGTAATGCAATGGGTATGATGGGCGTTGAAAAAGAATCGAAAGCTTCAATGGCCATTTTGAATCGTGAACGTCGTCATGTCCGAAAACATCAACAAACACCACAACCGGCACCAACATTTATACCAATATGGCCATTATGGCCACAACAATCTCAGAATAATGATTGGATGAAATTGTTTCTGGCATTGTTGCTCCTGCCACTCAGACCATTCGGTTACATATAAAATCAATCTGATTTACATTCGAAATTTTTTTTCCTTATTTTTTGCTTATAATTCTGTATATCTTGCATTCTGCTTCTTAAAATATTCTTCGTACATAATTGTAATGACTAATAATTACAATAATTAAATGTAGAATAAAAATAAACTTTTCATTAAAATTTTTCTCCAGTAGCAAACTCGTTGACTAATTTTTTTTTTTCAAAAATTTGCCAATTCAACTATCAACTATCAAAAGTAAAAAACGCGTTTGAACTTTCATATGATAACAATAGTCATGATTAAAACATTTGACATTTGATTTTTATGGCAGTATAATTGGTATAAATTTTCATGCCAATCATTTTGCCAAAAATCATTCTATTTTATTATTTGATCATCTACAACAGTCCATCATCGATCTCATCCATTTTTAATAGAAAATTGTTTTTTTTTATATTTCAAAATGAATTCAACAACAACCACCATTGTATTGTGTGCAATCATTTTCGTTATGATCGTATTTCTCATCGATTACAGTGAACAATATCCATATCGTAATGGTGGTGGATATTCCAATTTTGGTTATGGTAATAATGTCGGTATGATGAATCGTAATGGTGGTGGTGGTACTGGCTACTATGATCAAAATCGTATGATGGGCATTGGCATGGGTCAACAACAATCATTTGGCCGTGGTAATTATGGCGGTTCTATGCCAATGTATGGACATGGGATGACTATGATGGGTTTCGAACAGCCAGAATCAAAAATCCGAATCTTAAATCGTGAAAAACGAAATTCAAGATATAATAGTGAAACACATCAAGCACCACAAATTGTTCCGATTATGCCATATCAATCTCAAAATGATGATATGGATTGGTTTACCATGTTTTTGGCTATGTTACTTTTACCAATTCGTGGTTTGTTTGGTGGTGTTGGTCGTCCGATGTAATTTTCTACCAGAATCTTGATTTTCTTTTTTGACATTTTTTGATATAAATTCATTAATATCTCTATGTAATTGTATTAGACCACGAAATGACATGATTTTTTTTGTCTACAAATTCAATATTTGATTTTAAAAATTTGAAATAAATTCACAAAATTTCTATTCAAGATTTTTATTTGCAATAGATTATCATAGATGGAATTGGTGTCGTTTACAATTTGAAAACATTTCATTCAACCGATGTTTATGTAATGTCAAAGTATTTTTTTTCCATTTGCCATTGATGTTAATTTTGCAGCCATTTGTGGTCCGGTTTGTTGAATAAGATTATAGAATATTCCATGTTTATCTTGAAGTAGATTGAACGGTGTATCGTATTGTGCTAAACGACCAGAATCCAATACTAATATTCGATCCGAATCGATAATCGTATTCAAACGATGAGCTATGGTTATCACTGTACAATCATTGAAATTATCACGAATAGTCTGCTGTATTAAAGCATCAGTATGAAGATCAACATTGGCTGTGGCTTCATCCAAAACTAGGATTTTATTTTGTCGTAATAGTGCACGTGCCAGACAAATCAATTGACGTTGACCTAAGCTTAAATTATCTCCTCCTTCTGATAATTGATACTGAAGTTTGCCAGGCATTTCATTTACAAGATTTTTCATTTGAACTTTTTCCAATGCGTCCCAAATTTCATCATCATTCAGTTCATCAAAAGGATCGAGATTTTTTCTTAACGAACCAATAAATGCTACAGGTTCCTGTGGAATAATTCGACATTTTTGATCGAAGTTCATGTAAACCGATATCACAACAATCGACGCCATCGATTGTGATTCTACCATCAATTTCGACCATTCGAAATAATGCAGCCAATATTGAACTTTTACCAGCACCGGTTCTTCCAACAATACCAATTTTTTCACTACCACGAATTTCAAAACAAAGATCCTTTATCACTGGTTTTTGTGATTGATTATAATGAAGATAAACATGATCAAAAATAATTCGACCACATTCAGGCCAATTAGGTGGAAATTTATAATCAGATTTCAATGGTGCTTCAGATTCTAAATCGGAATATTCCAAAATTCTTTCTACAGAAATCATTTGATTTTCAGCTTCTATAGTTGCTCGAATACCTGGCTGTGTCAATGAAATTAATCCAAGTATGGTTGTTAGGATTAATCCGGCCGTACCACTTTGAATCTCTAAATAATAATAATCATTATTATTATTAACAATAAATGTAGATAATTCAAAAAAATTCTATATACCTTCATAAGAAATCATCACAAAAACGATTACAATGATCATATAAATCATACAAATTAAATCCAAACAGATGCCAGGAAATTTCATCGAAGCAAAACAAGTAAAATAAACAGCCGTATGATCATTTTGATAGCGATAATATTGTTGAATAAATTCATCGCTTACATTGAATGAACGTATCGTTGAAAGACCATTCAATGTCATTGTCATATGATTGAACAAAGGATTTCGAGCAATATTTTCATAACGATTTAAATCTTGTGCAATAATAGTATAGACACGATGAATAATTATAATGGATAAAAACATTATGATGGCTGGAAATATTAGATACCATTTTGTTATGGCTACAATGATGGTTACACCCAATAATGAAACTATGAACTAGACAAAATTTGTTATCATTATTATCATATTTTCAAATATAAAAATATAATAGAAAAACATACATTAAGAAAATTATCCACTGTTTGTGGTAATCGTTCATCAATGATTCCAATATCTTTAGCAAAACGATTCATTATCCGTCCAATGGGTATAGTATCAAAAAATGAAACTGGTACACGAATCAAACTGGAAAATAATCTATTATGCAAATTGATCGATGATTTGATGCACATAAGGAATATGGTTATCGATTGTATAATCATAGCGATCAAAATGTTGATAATTAAAATGGAATAGATAATCACATCATCAAAACGATGATTGTCCATTTTCAAATTAATTATATCTGAATTATTTTTCAACATCAATTGTTCATTTTGATTTGTCCATTGTGCAATCCAAATGTCCATGTAATAATATAGAAATGATGTACAAATAATTGTAACGATCATTAATGGTGATCGAATTGGTCCAGAACCGGCTTTAATGTAATTTAAATATACTTTACTGTTGATTGATCCTTTACTTGTTTTAATTTCTCCGATAATTTTTGGTTTCAAATTTTTTTGTTTAGAATCCATATCATATCCAATCACCATTGATTCATTCATTGGAATTTCGGATGCGACAATTTCAATGGAATTTTTCTGTTGAAACAATGATCCAAGATTAATCAATTTTGATTTGATTATTTCATCATAATGATCGAATGCTAATTGTCGTCCATTATCTAGTACAAGTATTTTTGATGCATTCCTTATAAATTGGGATTGATGTGTAACCAAAATGACTGTTTTGGATTTCAAATAATCCATTATGCATCTTTTTGGAAAAAAAAATTTCATTTTTTTCATAAAATTTATCCATTCAATATTCATAGAGAACATACCTTTCAAATATATGATTGGCAACATTAACATCAACAGCGCTCAATGGATCATCCAATAGATAAATATCCGCCTCGCTATACAATGCACGAGCTAATGTTAATCGAATTTTTTGTCCAACACTCAATGAAACGCCTCTTTCTCCAACTAAACTTTGATCACTATATGGTAATTGTATTAGATCATGATGCATTCCACAAACATCAATGATGGTTGTATATTTTACAGCATCATATTGTCGACCAAATAGAATATTATCACGAATACTTCCATTCATGATCCATGGATCTTGAGCTACATATGCAATACGACCATTCAATTGAATTGAACCATTTATGATTGAAATTTCATTCATCAATGACATTAGAAATGTTGTTTTGCCTGAACCAGTCGAACCAATAACCATGATCAATTGTCCATGTTTGATTTGCAATGATATTTTATCAAGTGATGGCTGTTTAGTGGTGCCCATTGTCCAATCAGCTGAAACTTTTTCCATTTTCACAACAATTTTATCTTCATTTGATACCGAAATGTTATTATGATATGTTATCGTTTGATGATTGTATTCATCGAGGAGAAGAAAATTCTAAATAGAGAATCAAAATGAAAAAAGAAAAAAAAATTATTCTTTTACGACCATTAATCGATAGAGAGTAATAAAAAAAAATACCTGTATACGATCACATGAAGCTAACATTTCAAATGATAATGTTAATGCTGTTGGCAATGCTCTTGATGATACAGAGCTAGTTATTTTGATTACATTCATTATGACAAATACTTGATCGGCATTCAATAGATTTCCAGTATATATTACATAGGAAGCAAACATAGCAAATACAATTATATGGCTAGATATGAATGCTATGACCAGGTTGATTGCTTTACAAATTATACTATATTTAATTTGAATTATTTCACGATTTCTAGCATCATCAATAAGACTACTGAAATGATCTTCCCATGCATACATTTTGATTACACGAATTCCTTTGATTATATCCGAAATGATACGTAATCTTGTATCGGATGTTTTTGCAACTTTTGTTCGCAATAGCTGAAAGATACGGCCAGTTAATAAATTCATTGGAATGACTAATAATAGTAGAAATAATCCTATGAAACAATATGGACCAACATAAATGTAACAGATATACATTCGTATGATGAAAATTATGGGAGAAATAATTATGTAGCATGCATAATTGCAAAACTTTAACAAGATTTAAATAATAATAATAATAATAAACATCTACATAAATAAACAATAAAACATACCTGATCAACACGTGTAACATCATTGGATATTAGATTCAATATCTGTCCGACAGTGGTACGACGAAATGCCGAATGATGTAGACGAATAGCTTTTCGATAAATTAATGAACACCATGCAACACGAATTTTAATTGCCAATCTGAATGCTAAATATCGATCTGGATGTCTTAATAGAATACAAAATAATGGTATGATCACCAAAGCGGATGAATTTAGACAAGCTGATTGAAATTCTTCAGCAGTTGGTTTGGAAAAAAATTGAATCACACGCGATAAGAATAATGGTTGTAACGATCTAAGAATACATTCTCTTAGAATAATTAACAAAGTACATCCAATAAAATGCCATGGAAATGAACGAAATGTGGCACGAATAAAATTCGGTTTGCTACGTTTCAATTCTAAACGCCAATAATGTTCTAAAATATTGGATAATTTTCCAGTATCATCTGATTGTGAACATTTGGGTAAATCGGAAAGATGAATTTCATTATTGATGCCATGAACAAACAATGGTAGCACCCATCTTTTGGAAAATGTGACAGAAAAAAAATTATTTATTAAAATAATAATTCAAAATGAATATGGATATGGATATGATATGATATATTCTTACAGGTTATAGATTCGAACAAATAAATTACCATTATCCAATGGTGATTTTTTTGTCATAATCATTTTCGTTTGATTCATAATGGAATTTTTTTTTTTTGATGATTGATTGGATTCACATTCATTAAATTCACATAAATTGTGTTGTGATGAAAACAGAGAAAAAAAAACAACAACAAACATTTGTGATGACTGTGCGACAGAGTGTTTTATTCATTTTGTTGACATTGTTTAGTTGGTCAACAAAAAAAAAACGTGATTGGCTAATTACTAATCAACTAACTCTTCTTTATTAGAAGGTTATATATATACTATATTCTATTTAATAGAATTATTTTGTGGTTATTATAACAATATAATAAATTACACACATTGGTAATTTGTACTTTTGATTTTGTTATTATCAGTTTAATCGTTTTTTTGTTTTGTTAATATTTTGATTTCAACACGTGCTGGGAAAAAGCCTATATAGATAATGAAATTTTTATTATTTATTAAAAAAAATGTTCCAGATAGATAAGAATAATTGTTTTTTAAATTTCAAATTTTTTTTTTTTTGTAAATCGAGATCAAGGATTCTATGTATATTCTATGAGATCCATGCAAGACGACATGTCACATGTTTTGATCATCAATTTTATTACCTAACAAAACATTGAAAATTTTAAAAAAAAAAAACCATTTCATTTCATTTCAAAACCATAAACACTAATAATAATAAATAAATAATTTGTCGAATTGTGAACAATGTTTTCTTTTTTGTTCAAAGTTATCTTTAAGGATATGCCGAAAGATGGTAGTACTATCGTTGTTTATATATAGTTTTTTTGTTTGATAATTATTTTCATTTATAATATATTGCCTGCAATATATATATATATTCGTTCAATCGTTTTTTTTATATATAATAATGATGATGATGATGATGATATCATCAGTCGCGATTCTTCCAATGTTTAGTTTGAATTGAGTTGACTGGCATTTTATTCAGCAACTCAATTCGATCGATGAATCGAAATCGAGGGGGAGGGGAGAAGAAATCGAAACGATTTCACAAGAGAGATATAAAGAGAAAGTGAATAGATCTATGTGTAGTATTACGTTGTCACTATTTCTTCGTTCGTATAATCATAGAAACCTTTTGTTTACCTTTTTATTTCGAATCATCATTGACAATATATGTTTTCATCATCATGTACATCAAATCATATTTGATGATCAAATGAAACCAAATCAAATTATGTTTATTCAACATAATCATCTTATCATTTTCAAACATTGTCTTAATTTGATATGCTATCATTTATATATTGGCATTGAAATTGTCAATTCAAAAGACATAATTCATTAATTCGCATTCGCTTCTTGAACACATTGGTTGAATTCTCTCAAACAGAACAATGTCTTATTTGAATGATAAATCCAAAGGAATTTCATCTGTATTTGGTGGTTTTCTTGTCCATTTGATTCTTGGAACATTTTATACTTTGGGCAATGTTAACACATATTTAACATCATATATTCGTGTACATGTCGATCCTACCGTTACATATGCATCATCCATATATATAAATGCAGCATTTCTATTGGGCCAAGGTACATTGATGATGGTCGGTGGTATATTGGAATCTAAAATTGGTCCCAGATTCACTTGCTTAATTGGTTCATTTATATTCAGGTAAATTGTTTGATTATCCTAAAATTTAATAAGTATTTTGGATTTTTAATATTATCATCATGTTAACATAACAGTCTTTCAATTGGTTTAACTTATTACACAATCAATTGGGGTTTCATATGGGTCGTATTTACTTATGGATTCTTGTCAAGTTTGGGTGTCGGTATGGCATATGTTGCACCGTTAGCTGCCGGTATGAAAGTATGTTTTATTCAAAAGCCTATGGCTTTACACTAATTATTAATTTTTATTAAAAATTGTTTCTTTAAATGGATTTTTTTTTATTCTTTTTTTTTGTTATAGTGGTTTCCTAAACGAAAAGGCCTCGTTAATGGATTTATTGTTGGTGGTTATGGTCTTGGTGCATTGGTTTTTAACTATGTTCAAACATCATATTTAAATCCATTGAATCTATCTCCGAATCCGGATGGTTATTTCTATGCTAAATCGATTCTTTCACGTGTTCCAAATTTATTCATCTTATTGCTTGTAATTTATATTATAATCCAAATAATTGGTTGTTGTTTGCTATTCACACCACCACGTCAACCGAATGAAATTATTTTTGAAGAAGGTCGATTTTTGCTTATAAGTTCACCAGATGAAGAAACAACATTTGAAACACCATTAACCTATAATAATGGTTATGGTTTGAATCCAAATAGTAATGGCAGTGGATATAGTAGTTGTGAGGATCATAATGGAAATATCATAATTGGACATCCATCACAACAAACGGATCTTACATATAAACAAGCCATTCGTACTAAAGAATTTCTATTGGTATGCTTTTATTATTATCCTATTGAAACTTATCGATAAATTTATTGATTAATTTTTTTTCAGATGTGGCTAATGTTTGCATTGTGTACACAAGCCGTACAATTTGTCAATACAATGTACAAAGCATTCGGATCACAATTCATTTCTGATGATTATTTTCTTGTATTTGTCGGTTCAATTGCATCAATATTTAATGCTGGTGGCCGTTTAGTATGGGGCATATTTTATGATAAAACATCATTCCGTACATGTATCACTACAATGTGCATCTTATTATCGTTATTATTGTTTACAGTGCAAATATCTTGCTATTATCAAAGTAAATTATTATACTTCATATGGATAATTTCCATATTCTTCACATTTTCCGGTATTTTTGTGATCTTTCCAACCGCAACTGCACAAGTATTTGGACGTTTACATGCTGGTACTATCTATGGATTTTTATTTACAGCTCCGGTAAGAATTTTACTTTTGTATAACCTTATTTTTTATATAAAATTATCACTGATGATTATCATTGATTTTTCTATAGGCAAGCATGTCTTTATGTGGTGCATTTCTTATTCAATTTATTTTGAAAAATTTTGGCTGGTTTGGATCATTTGCTACGATTTCAATATTTTCATTAATGGCATTAGTATTGGCGTTATATTTTCCTCGTGATGTAACACATCTCCGAAATCGTGCCAATTTTACTTAAAAACCAAAAAAAAAAAAAAAAAATCACAAATTTCAAATGATTTCAATGCATAATCACAGACCCTATTCTTTCAAACTAGTCAAATCGTTATATGGTTCCGGAGCTTTGACTTTGAATTTATTTTTTTTTTCTCACAATTCATTTCAATGATGAATAATGTGGATATATGAAAATTATTATGATTGAAAAATCAAGTCTATTTGTTTGTTTTTTTGTGTTTTTTTTTTAATTGTTATTTGCATTGCAAAATTGTATGAAATATCATTCATTATAATAAAGTACAAAAAAAAATATTCATTCATATATAAATATAATAAAAGTTATTATGATTAAATAAATGAATTATCGATACTTCCGATCAACTTGGTCGTATCATTGCTAAATTTTATTGGTCATACTTTGGATACAAAATGCAAAAAAAAAACAAATTGATTGACTTTTCATTCATTTAAACATTGATAATGATTTATTTTTTGTCAAACTGATTGATTATTCCGGCAATAATAATAATAAATATGATTATTTTCTGTGTTTCGTGTGCAAAATGAGTGCATCATTTTTTTTATGATTATTTCCTTGTATTTGTCGGTTCAATAGCATAGCATCAATCAATCAATTCAATCAATATTTAATGCTGGTAGTCGTTTAGTATGGGGTATGTTTTTTTTTGTGATAGATAAAACATCATTCCGTACATGTTATCAATATAATGTGTGCATCTTATTATATTATTGTTATTATTATTGTTGTTCACAGTCCAAATATCTATCATATTATTATCAATGTAAATTATTATTCTTCATATATATGGAAAATTTCCATATTCTTCAAATTTTCCGGTATTTTTTTTTTTTTTTTTTGTTATCTTTTCAACCACAAAAATTGTGTGAAATATTATCATCATTATTATAATATTAAGTACAAGAAATATTTGTGCTTTAAATATCATAACAGTTATGATTAAATGAATTATCGTTACTTCCGATCAACAGTTGTATGAATTGCTTGATTTAATCGGTCATACTTTGAGTACGAAATGAAAAAATAAATTGACTGATTTTTCATTCATACAAACATTGATAACGATTTGTTTTTGTCAAACTGATTGATTGTTCCGGCAATAATAATAAATAAGATGATTATTTTCTGTGTTTAGTGGCACACAACAAAATAAGTGCATCATTGATTTGTTTGACAAGATTATTATTTGGCTTCTTGGTGTTTTTGTTAACAAAATCACCAATCGAATCGTCTGATAATGATAATTTATTATTGGTTCAATTTATCTTTAGACATGGTGATCGTAGTCCAATACGATTATATCATAATGATAAATATAAACTATATATGATTTTAAAATGGGACTTGGTGAATTAACTAATCGTGGTAAACAACGTATGTTTCATTTGGGCCGCAATCTACGTGAACGATATCGTGAATGTATCTGGATTCGATGCCAATTAAAAATGTTCATGCAAGAAGTTCATCACGAAAACAAGAATATTTTGGCACCAATTATATCAAAGTTGATTGGATTGATCGTATGGGTAATGATACGATCCAGAGAATAAAACAATTTCATGATCTTGAATTCTCCGTATATGGCCAATCGAATACATATCTTAAACTAAGAATCGGATCATTGATTAAAGAATTAATCGAAAATATGAACAAAACTTTGGATTCGAAATATTCTTACCGTTGGGATAATCATATCTATCTATACAGTACTCATGATACATTGTTGGGATATCTATTATCAGCGATCGGATCAAATATCGGTCAACCAAGTGGTTTGGCATTTGAATTGATAACGGATGATCAAAACTGGCCGTCCATCCGCAAGTACTATCTAAATGGAACGGATAATTTTTTCATAAATTTGCTCGGAAATGCATTAGATTCAAATAGATATCGCTGTAAATGTAATCGAAATTGTTCTTATGATAATTTTATTCAAATGTTAATCGAATTAATTCCTGAGAATATTGTGCAAGAATATTCAATTGATCCAAAAATGCGAAATAATAATTGTACTTGTTCGTAAAATTTTGAAATTTCATTTCGGCACGTCTTTTATGAACGTATTATTTTATATTTTTTTTATTTTTTGGCCGTGGATCGAGTTTATTTTTTGAAGGATCGTTTTTTTTTGTTTTATTTTCTTCGTTATTAATTGATTTTAGATTTTATCTTAATCAATTTTCTCATCGAAAAATGGCTGACGAATTGAGAACGACGATTCCACAAGATCTACGTCATCTTCGAGCATGTTTACTATGCTCACTTATCAAGGTAATAATTTTGAAAAATGATTCGAATATCTTATAAGTTTGACCATGATTTTTAATTAGTCATTCGAACAATTTGAATTTCATGGCTGTGATAATTGTGAAGATTTTTTGGGAATGAAAAATAATCGTGAAATGGTCTATGATTGTACATCGAATAATTTTGATGGTTTAATTGCATTGACAAATCCCGAAGATTCCTGGGTGGCTAAATGGCAAAAAATTGGTATTTTTAAATATTACAATCTTGATTTATTAAACTAACTTCATTAATTGTTTCATCATATATAGGTCGAAAATGTGTCGGTATATATGCGATTAGCGTATCTGGTCGTTTACCAGCGGGTATTGTTCGTGAATTGAAAAATCGTGGTGTCGTATATCGTTCACGTGATCGTTCATCAAATGTTTAATTTTATATTATAATAATTTTCTCATGAAGCAAAAAAAAATTCATACAGATCAAAGCATGTGTATAGATGTGTGAAAAAATATTCTGTAAATTTCAATTCCTATTTTTTCATTTATTCATTCATTCATTCATTCATCTTTTTTTTGAATAAACATGGAAAATTTTATTCATAAATTTTCTCTTTGAAAATGCCTTCGCTAACAAATTTATCGATGGGATTACGATCAGTAATTTTTTCATTACTAATCGCACGTACACGATTACCAACGGCAACCATTGCCTCGATTTTATAATCATCACTATTCAAACCAATTGTACGTGCTATTTTTTCACGATCAAAACCGGACATAGGATGAACAACAAGACCACGTGCTGTACCTTCTAGTGCCATCAACATCCATGAAGCACCCGTATCGAATGTATGGCTTTCAACCATCTTTTTCTCTCCATTACGTATTTGATATTTATTCGATAATACAACAATCAATGCGGCAGCATGGCGAGCCCATTTTTGATTACCGGGCACTAATGCATCAACAAATTTATCCCAATATGGACCATCACGCATTGCATAAACATAACGCCAACTTTGTACATTATAATATGATGGTGCCCAACGTGATGCTTCAAACAATGACATTATTGTTGATTTTGATATTGATAATCCATTCATTTCACGTAATGATCGACGTGCCAAAATCATTGGATGTATTGGATATTGAACTTGTCGTCCTTTCATTGCCATTACATCATAATGATATACACCGAATCTGCCATCCCTCAAGAATGGACTATTATTATTATTATTATTATTACTAATACCTATTTTTGAATTTAAATGACACAATATTTATAATCAAATAATAATTGGAAATTGATACAAACCTTGAGAATTAACGATAATGATGAATAAAACTGTCGATATAATTATGGAATGTGGATGATACATTTTTATAATTATATGATGATATATGATATGTATTATGTTGTTTAATAAAAATCAAAATGTTAACTACTATCGTTTGCAAAGAGGTTTCTTCGTTTTATATATATTAAAAAAATAATCATTCATCGAATCATTCTGTTTCTTCTGTTGTCGCCAATATTCAAAATAAGAAAAACGATTTGTTTTTTTTTCTTTGAAATTGGTGGAAAAAATACGTGCAATTATTTATTATTATTATTATTATTGTGGTAAACTAAATGATAATTCCAATTTGGCTGGAAATTTCATATTGTCACAAATTGACACCATTCATTCATGTACACACGACATTAAATGTTGTATATATACAGAATTGAAATGGATTTCTTCTTTGTTGAATGCCATCAAACTCATACATGATTATTAAAAGTTAATGGCAAATTTGTAAATTCCCACCTCCTGTTTTTTTTATAATCGTTTTTTTCTGTACCTAATATTTGTCAACGTGTTCGTTTTATTTTTGCTGTAGCCAAACCTCCTTGCTTGTTAAATTTTCCATCACCAACATCATCATCATCATTGGAGCAATGATATTTTTTCTATTCCATTAAAATCGAAAAAAAAAAAAAAATTAAATCGACTTCTGTTATCCTCATCTTTGCTTTTTTTTCGCTATTGCTACTACCATATAGAATGCAGATATTAATAAGTTATTTATTTTTTTTTCGTTGGAAACCAATGAAACATTTATGAATGCAATGAAGCAATGATGGCCAATAATGATGATGATGATTGTACGGCTATCAACAATTTGAATTGAAAGACAAAAAAAAAAAAAAAACAGAGACATAATAATCATAGAAAAAATTGAATTGAACGGAATCATAATATAATGACATACACACACACACACACACATCTTCATTATCCTTGAATGATCATCGTTTTGTTTGATATTAAAAAAATTTTATTTTTTATTGTATTTTAACTTTGATAATTATTGAATGAATGAATGAATGATGATGATGATGATGATGATGACAATGAAAATGATAACGTGAATCGTTAATGGTTTTTAAACTGTTTTCGATTTTTTTTTACTGTCGTGGTCAATGATCATTTGGAATGATGAAAAAATTTTGTGAAAAATTTTACACACAAAATCGCAATCATTTTTGGGAGTGGATTTAAAAAAACAAACGAAATTGGAAAAAAAACCATTTTTTCTGTTGCTGTCACCAAATTAAACACCATCACCCTCTCTCCCTCCACACACACACACACACACACACACACACACAATGAGGAAATATTTAAAAATTCATAAATATGAATCATTACGACAAATGACGCTGGATGTGTTCATTAACACTAAATTTAAACACAAAGTAATTATAAATCATTTTTTTTCGCCTAAAATTGGACAATAAATACTAGCAATTTTAAAATTTATTATCATCATTGTGTGTGTGTGTGTGTGTATGACAAAAACAATATGTAAAAGAAATGTACATACAAACAGTGACAAAAATTGTGACGACATTCAAAAACGTTAAGGGAAAATTTACATTCATCTCAATTCATTATCAATAAATCATTCTGTTATATCATAAAGATCTTGGTCCATGAGTTCTGCGAACAATTTAGCTAAAATATGACCATTGAAGAAGAGGAAGGTAATTTATTCTTGGTATGAATCAAAGATTTTTTTTCCATGTTCGTATTTTTATCTACTTTTCAACATATAACAATACATCAATAAACAAATTGAATGATTGATTGATTTATTTTATTGTAAATTCATCGTCATTCAATGTGAAAAGAAAAAAATATGAATTGAATGTCTGTTGTTTTTAAAAAGGATAAAATCCATAAGTCAGTATATTAGCACATTCACATTTGTGGCTATTTGCAAACATTTATTTTTTTTTGTTCGTTGATTTTGATTGATTTTTTTTTTCGTGAATTTCTCATCATTATATTGGGGTTCATTGTTTTATTAATCATGATCCAGAAATTTATACGTGGCCTACCAATGTTATTAGGCTCAATGATTGTAACATTCGCATTTATATTGTACGTGAATTTTTTTATGATTAAAATTTTTTTGTTGTTGTTATTCTATAAACTCTATAATTTTTTACATTTTAGATGGATATTTGCCATACGTCTGGAACAAGTGAATCCAATATTTCCATATATAAGCGATCTAGGCCTTCATCAACCTGTATTATCAATGTTTACATTTTCACTTTGTTTTGCATCACTTTTATTATTGTTAGTTGTCGTCATTAGATATCGTTTAACACGTTATTATCTAGATATTTATAATATGGATTTACGTTGGGCAAATTATTCACTGGCCACCGGTATGATTATGGTTGTCAGTATGTGTGCAACTGGTTCCATACAAAATGATAAACCATTTTATTTACAAATTCTACATAATATATTTGCAACTATTTTATTTACTTCCGTACAATTTGATATTTTAACTGAATTTCTTATTGCAAGACAATTACCGAATCAAACACGTATATCGAATGGACGAATTATTATATTGATCATATCAATGACGGCTGTCATTTTATATTTACTTACAATGATTATTTCATTTCAAAAATATCCACAATCATTTGCAAATAGTTCACTGAGATTATGGTGGTCAACCAATGATCCAGGATATTATTGGCATGTTGCAAGTTCAATATTTGAATGGTTTATCGTTATAATGCTTGGTCCACATGTAATGACATATCGATCGTTATTTGAAACCGATATCATTAATTTGGATGAAAAACGTAAATGTTTATAAAAAAAATAAATAAATAATGTCGACGCTTTTAATATGTTTTTTGGTAAAAACAAATTATGATTTCTTGTTGTTTTTTCGTTATGCATAAAAACCCCAGAAAAATGTACCAATCATAATAACAATGATGGCAATTAAATTGGTTAAATGAACAAAACGTTTATCATCCTTGGCAGCTGCAGCATGCAATTCGGCATCCGATTTCCGTTTATGTTCATCATCACCATCCACAATTGGACAATTATCATCCTGACGAATTTCTTCACTATGACGTGTGTTATATGTCAATCTATATAACTGGATTTTATTCGATAAAAAAAAATTTATAAATAAAAACAACTATTGTATCCAGTTGAATTTTACTTACACGTTTGGAATCAATTTTCTTCGTAAACAAACTAATAATAATAGCCAATAACATAGAAATCGAGAATGAAATGATACCAAAATGAAGGTAATGTATTTTAGTAATGATAGCTGGCCTTCTATCAACAATGTCAATTGTTCCACATGTTGGCACTGGATAACTATATTCCAATATAAAACGTGTCATACCAATTAATAGACCAATGATTAATGACCAAAATGCACCGGATTCAGTGATCCGTGGCCATAATATAGCTAAAACATATATAGCACATAATGGTGGTGATAGATATGATGTAACGCTTTGTATATAAGGAAATAATTGACTATTATGTGATTGTTCTAATATTGGCACCCAAATAACACTGATGATGACCAATACGACAACAAAACAACGACCAACAATAATCTGTTCAATTTCATTTGCTTTTCTACGGAATCGTAGATAAATATCCACGATAAAAATTGTTGATGCACTATTAAATATGGATGTCAATGAGCTCATCAATGCAGCAACAATAACGCTGAACATTAGTCCAGTTGCACCTGTTTATCATCATCATCATCATTAACAATATTATCATATAAATTAACATTGAAATTAAAATTATCCTCTACCTTTCGGCAATAACTTTATGATTAGATATGGATATGCGAAATTCGTACATCCTGATCGACTATCGCAAACTTTTTGACAATAATCAGGATTCGAACAACCAATTTGATCTTGAAATATGAAATCAGTATTTTTTTTTTTTTTTTCTTTGTTCAATGAAAAACAATCAGAAATGAATCACTTACTTGGCCAAAGCATACGTGCTGCCATCCCAGGTAATACCAATAAAAACATTGGTGTAATCTTCAACAATGATGCCAAAATACAGCCAGCTTTAACATGTGTTAAATTACGTGCCGCTAATGCACGTTGTACGATGACTTGATCGGAACAAAAATACCATAAACTAGAGATGAAAATACTTATGATACCGGGCCATGGAATTTCTGGATCAGTAGCTGGTCGAAATAAATTACGATAATATGGTGTTATCGTACTACAAGATACGCAGGAATTATTGACTACTGAAGCATTACAAGCACCGATAAATGATTGACAATCCAATCGATCAGGTAAGCCATCTATAGCAAAATTTTCCATTAATTTCTCGTATCCACCAGCAGCTGTAACACTTTTCATGGACAAATATATAGCACCAATAATCATCAATGCGGTTTGTATGGCATCTGTCCATATAACTGCGGTCAATCCACCAATAATCGTAAACAATGCCGAAATAACAATCAAAATAATACAACCAATAAGGATATTATCAATATTAAGTAAAAGACGAATAAATAAAGCACCAGCATAAAGATTGGCTGATATTTTCGTAAAAATATACAGTATCAATGTCAGTACTGAAAGATAAACACGAATTCTTTGACCACCAAAACGTTTCTGAAGATATTCAGGTACCGTACTAATATTACTAGCCAAATAGACGGGCATAAAATACCAGCCAAGTATTAATATTGTATACAAGCCAATATATTCAAATGACGCGATACCGATACCAGAACTAGCACCGGAACCAGCAAGGCCGATAAAATGTTCGGAACCAATATTACTGGAAAATATGGATGCACCAACCTAGAAATATTAATGATTAATTGAAACAAAAAAATTAATGACAACAAAAAAACCCCCAATCAATTATTAAATGGAACAAAAATATTTCACCAAAATCCAATGCATCCGTCTTCCGGCCAGAAAATATCCATCCACCGTATTTTGATTGTTTGTTCTTGAAGACTATAGTGCAAAAAAAAAAATAAAAATACAAATGGAAAATTTTAAATTTCAAATTGAAAGCATTGCTATTTTTTTTACCCAGAAACCGATGGCCAAAATAAGTACAAAATATATGCCAATGGCTAGATAATCAGTCCAACCAATCGAAACGGATAGATCAAGTTCATTTTCATCATAATGATTATTTGATGAATGACAAATGACAAATGTTGATAATGATGATATCATATGAATCATCAATAATAACAAAAACAGGAAGATAAATTTTGAAAATTTGGATGCTAAAGTCATTGTTTTTCTGTTTTGAAAAAAGGGAAAAATCTTGACTGCAGAAAAAAAACGATTTACTGGCAATAAAAATAACAGGATTTCTTTATGATGATTATGATGATGATCCATTAAAAGCATATGATCATGAATCTACAATTCTTTTTTGTCATTGATTGTCATAAAATTCCGATATAATTAACCATCCCCATTATCTCTGGCCAGTTTTAATGTGGCTTTGTAATTACAAATTTTTTTTTTAAATCTAATCTTCAAATTAATTACCACAGTCACATTGATTAAAATTTTTTTTATTTTTGCAATTTATTATTATGGTGGTGGCCAGATCAAAAATAAAAGAAAATTCTTGTGAGAAATTAAATGATACAAAATAATAATTGTGACACCAAAAAAAAAAAAAAAAAAAAAAAGAATATCAATACAGAAATTATCAAAAGAAAAAAGAAACCTTGATGAGAGACAGAAAAAAAGTCTATTCAAATATATAATTCATCAATACGATGTCGACATTCGATTTGTTTTTTGTTGATGATGATGATGATGATCAAAATTGATTGTTTTCTACTTATGATTATTATCGACAACATTCTGATTGATCATATTGGCCATGTTATTATTAATTTCTTCATCTTTAACACCATTTGTTTTCATTGTTTTTGATGGTAAATTTCTACCATGAAAATTGGCCATAAATTCAAAACCGCCAATAAAATCATATACAATTGACAGACAATTATGTGGTAATGATGGAACAAAACATAAAACCCAATCAAAATAGTTTGGCACAACAACCTGAACAGAATTAGTAAGAATTGCTTGCATTATTTTATCCACAACAAATTCTGGTTTAAGAAATTCAAATATTCCAGGATCAACACCGCCAAACATTCCGGTCGTAATGAAATATGGTTGAACAATTGTAGTATTGATATGTCCATCTAGATTAGCTTTAGCTAATTCCATTCGTAATGATAAATCCATGCCAATATTTGCGAATTTAGATGCACAATAATCACTAAGACCACAGACACCAATACGACCAGCAACCGATGCAACTGTAACAATGTGACCACTACGACGTTTAATCATATCTGGAAGAAATGCTTTAATGGTGTAAAAATGTGCCAAACAATTCACTTTGAATGTCAAATCGATTTTTCCGTCAGGTATATCGAGAAAATTCTGTCCGGATACAACACCAGCATTATTGATCAAAATATCCAATGGACCTAGCTGTTGTTTGACTAGTTCAGCTACTTTATAAATGGCTGTTGAATCACAAAGATCAACTTTATATAAATGTAAATTTTTCACATTTAATTTCTCTTCTTCAGCCATTTTTTTTGTTGTTTCCATTCCTTCTTGGTTTACATCCCAAACTATTACTTTGGCACCTAAACGTAAAAATCTTAATGCCATTGATTGACCAATACCGCTACCACCGCCGGTGATTAATATATTTTGATTTTCAACATTTTTCTTTTTCATCATCGATAATGGTATAAACATTTTAACGAAAGATTCCAATAGATAATAGATGATTAATATAGCATTTTTAAACCGATTTCCGGTCGTACGAGTGGATATTTGTTTTTGGACCATTTTTGGTATATATTTTTTTTATTATTTTTTTGTTGACGTTTTGTTCACTTGTCAATTTATTATCTATAGAAAAAAAATGAAGAAAAAAGAAAATCAAAAATGAGAAATCATAAATAATAATAATAATGAAGGTCACGTGTAAATGGATGGAAAGAAATAAAAATTGTGATGAAAATTATTTTACAAACATATCTCGTTTATATAAGAATCGATCAGCATAAATCAATGTGTTTGTGTGTGTGTGTGTGTGAATGTTGGATTTAGGTTTGGATTATATCAATTTATTTTTTTGTTTCTGGGTACAAAACCACACAAGCACATGAGCAAAGAGATTTTTTTTTTTAATTTCGATAATCAATAGCAAAATGAAAACATTCTGGATGAAATCCAAAAAAAAAATGTATAGCTATTATCAACTGGTAAAAAAAATCAATCGATCAATTATTATGGCCAAAACAAAAGCAAAAAAAAAAAAAATCGATTATATCGAATCTATGTGTGTGTGGATTTATTTCGGTTGATGGAAGAAGAACAAGAAGAAGAAGAAAAAGAAGGAGTTGTGTAGAAAAGTGAAAATCAAATCAAGTAAGATTAGATTGTATACAATGCATGACAACAACATTTGCACAAAAAAACGATGCAATTCAAATTTTATTGATGATGATGATGATGATGATGATTATTGTTCAAAATCAAAATGAATAAATAAATTTTACATATATGAAGAGTAAATCGATGTCAATATCAATATTAATGATGATGATGATGATTTGACTATGAATGAATGAATCAAAATGAAATGAGAAAAAAAACCTGAAAATTAAATACCCTAAAATCTTGATTACGAAACACGCATGTGTTATATAGAAAAAAAAAGTATAGCCATTTCATTTGGATAAAGTTATCGAGACATAATGTATTGAACAATAAAAAAAATGGGATGAAAGGGTATTGTTGAAAATTGTTTCTAAAAATAGCATCAAGTCGATTTTTGATCATGATGTTGTTTATCAGTTTTTTTTTTGGTTGCAAAACAACAACAAATGTGAAAAATTCCGGATTCTACGGTAAAAAAAAACACTTTGCAGTGGATGAATATTTAACAAAAATGCAAAAACAAAGATGACGTCAATACCTATGAATCTATTAAATCATCATCGACATTAAAGAAGCAACAGATGAAACAAAAAAATTATTTAAAAATTAATATATTCATCCATATTCATATAGAAAGATTATGAGATTGACAGTTAGTTTTTTGTTTTTTCATGATTTTCAACAGAATTGAATGACGAATTCAATCTAATAAATCAATAAAAACAATGAAAAAAAAATAAAATGTTTGATTGATTTAAACTTGAAAATTATTACTTTGTTTTGTTTGCAAATCACATGTACACACACGCACACAATTGGTTGAAATTATTATGAAATGTAACTAACGAATGAATGAATGAAAAAAAAAAAAAAACAAGGAAAGAAATCAAAAATAAAATAAATGAAAAAATTACCTCAAGATGGACGATGATGATTGATTTATTTTAGTGATTTCGAAAAAAAATAATTTTCTTTATCTTTGTTCTAAGTGGATAATAGAAATTGAATTTGTCATAAAATTCAAATTACGCAAAAAAAACACAAAGTTAATTTGAATGAAAATGATGTTTTTTTCCCTTGAAGATTATGATCGAGAAAAAAAATGAAAACGAAAACAAAACAAACAAACAAACAAAAAAACCAAAGTCCAAAGCCTCGAAGCGACGATACATACAATACACAGGCACAGACACAGCAACAATTATCGTTGATAATTTGTTGGCCAGGATTGAAATTCGATGACTTTTATTTCTAGCCGATGTCAACGAAAAATTCCAGATATAAACAAACTGATGATAGATCAGTGAGAATGGCAAAATCAAAAAAAAAAAAAAAAAAAAAAAAAAAAATATTCGATTCGTTCTCGAATGTTGTATTTGTGAAATGTATGGTTAAAAATTTCTATTTCTATATTTATATAACTACCAAGAAAATTGAGATTGGTCTCGTAAACAAACAAACACACACACACACACACACACACAATTTATTAAAATGTTGGTATTGATTAGCTAGAAAGGATGGACTGATCGATCGATCGATAGGTCGATCAACATTGTTGTTGGCTGTTGACACGCACGTTATCGCCAAAAAAAAAAAAAAAACGCTTTAATATTTTATATGATATGATGATGATTATTGTTGTTGTTGTTGTCGTACCTAATTGTATGTCTGTTGTGTGTGTGTGTTTGTATGATCGTTATCATTTGCCATTTGTTACAAACATATGGCGATACATATACATTTGAACAAGATTTTTTCAAGGTTTTCTACTTTGAAATCGAAGAAAAAAAAGAAGAAGAAGAATCTAAATATGATGATTAATTTTTATTTTTATTTTTTGGTTTTATATACAATGATAAACAATGTATATATGTGTGTGTGTGTGTGTGATTGACCTAGAAACTATAAAGAAAATTTTTTTTTCTGTTGTCGTTGTTGTTGTTGTTTTTATTGCAAAACTAATGGATTGATGGATAGAATGATAAATTCGAATAAATAATACGCTAAATGGTTATTTTGAACTGGTAATTCCACACAAACAAACACACACAAAAAAAACTCAAAATACGTGAAAAGAAATTATATTTCAATATAATACAAACAACAGTGTAGTTTTTAATTGCAATCACATATTTGTAATTAATAATGTGAAAATGAAACAGATCAAAAAAAAAAAAGAATTCGCACATCAGATAAAAAAAAAGTTAAGCAGAAAAAATCTGGAATTTTTCCATGTTCAAATTGCAATTAATGGAATAATCGATAATCGATAATCGATGAAAAAAAAAAAAAGGGAAAAGAAATTTATATACTCGCACATCTATAATTAGCGATCGACAACTATGGAAAGAAAGAAAGAAAGAAAGAAAGAAAAAACCAAATTTTATAATGCAAAAAAAAAATGTTGAAATTTTCTTGACTCGAAACGATGATAATTATGTTATTAAGTGGCTAATTGATGATTGATTGGCTAATAATGATGATTAATAATGACGTAATTTGGCAATAATGAAATGAAATTGACGATTAATTACTAGATTTTTTGATTGATTGATTGATTTAATTAACACTTTTATGTTATGCACAACCACAATTTTTATTTTGACAATGTGAACGGAAAATTTAAACATCTTGATACTTTAAAGTTATTATATTTGACATCAACGACGACGACGACAACAACGACGACTACAATGACAAATCGAATGACAATCGGAATACAACTACAATGGTGAAAACAAAAAAAAAAAATTTGAAACATCAATATAGAAAAAGAGAGAAAAGTAACAAATATTTGGAAAAAAAATTCAAAAATTTGAAATAAAGAGACATCGGGAAATGTTCCTTGAGATCAATATTCAATAACAATAACAACGGAACAAAAAGAGACCAATGCCAATGTATAGTAGTGTGTTTGTTGATTTGTGGATGTGATGATGAACTAAATTTTCGTATAAGAAAAACAACAACAAAGATGATGACAATTGAGAATGAATGGATCCACTCATATCTTTTGTTTTGGATTCATTCGATTTGTTTTACTTAAATCAAAATGATTATAAATCATAAATCATCATCATCATCATCTTAATAATCGGTTTATTGAAATTATTTCAAAATGATGAATTTCAGCCATCAAATAGAGAAAAACGAAAGGGAAGATTTTTTTTAAAAAACAACAACATACCTATGTGGAATGATTTCAACACACACACACACATGAAAGATGCCCAAGCTTGATTCAAAATTGCAAAAAGAAAAGAAAACAAAATTGAGAGAAAAGTAAACGAATGAATGAATGAATAAATAAATGGACAATGGACAACAAATATGAATGTGATGTAATAATCTTTATGATGATTGAACAAATTTTTTTTTTGTTTTGTTTTGTTTAAATCACCAATACACAAAAACATACTGGAAGAGGCTGTTTGAATTTGCGAACACACAAAAAAAAAAAAACAACCAATGTTTGTTTGTTTTCAATATATTCAACAACGACTGGCCATTATGAATTGAATTCAAAAAAAAAGTGAAAGTGTCTAAAAATTTCAATTGAATAAAAAAAAAATTTAATGATAATAACCGGTTGAGATCTGGTTTTTTTTTTTTTGATCGATGGGCTTTGCTTATGAAAGACAAATGACGAGTGAATAATAACAATAACGACAACAACAAAAACGACGACGTACGAACAAAATTCAATTCAATTCAATCATCATTATTATTGCGTGTGTTTGTGCATGTATGTATTGACCATCGATAACAACAACAACAACAACAACAACAACAACAACAACAACAACAACAACAATAACAACAACAACGAAATTTTGAAACTCATTTCCTGATATCATTGATGATGATAATGAAAAATTTTAATTATAATGACCATTGTTATCATTTCAAGGCTAAAATTAATAATAAAATCATTATTATTATGGCTATGATAACAATGATGATGAATATTGTTCATCATGTCGATGGTTGCTGGTGTCTTCCAGAAAATTTACCTGGTCATTATTGTGGTGATCAACTTGGTGATAATTGTGATGCAAATATTGTCTATGAATGTGATGATAATGGTCGTGGTGGTGGTGGTGGTAATAATGGATTAAATTTTAAATTTGGCCAAAATCAACAACGACAGCGGCTACAAAAACGGCCAGTACGAAGACAAGTGGATGATTGTCGCCAAACAAGCTGTATACATTCAACAGATCGAATGCCAGCATCATGTTGGCAAAAAGTAACTGCTTCAATTACTGTTATGGCTAATTGATGATCAATCATCATTGGACTAGATTTGTAATAGAAAAAAAAATTACATTGTAAATTTACATTGAACGGAAATTTCAAAAAAAAAAAAAAAATAAAATCTCCATTGAAAAAAAACGTTAAATTACACTTTTTTTTATGGCTTGAAATCTAATTAATTTGCTGGTTTCCATTTTCGAAAAAAACCCACATACAGACACAAAATGAACAACAACAACAACAAATTTATTGATTCATATTTTGTCTGTTTTGTTTTGTTTTGTTTTTTTTTTGTTCAAAAAAATAATCGTAATTTCATAAATGCTCTTCGTATAGCGTTTTTATTTGATTTATTGCATTCATGATGATGATGTTGATGATGATGATTGGATTTTAAATTTGTTGTTGTGCCACATTCATCATCATCATCATCGTTGTTGTTGTTATCATGTCCTAAATTTGCCAGTCTATCATCATCATCATCATCATTGGACAATGATTTAATCATATCCAAATCTTCAGTCTTTTGTAATGTTGATGATTTTTTATTATTTACAATCGATCCATTGGTCAATCGATCATCATCATCATCATTATCATTGTGGTCAATGTTGGTCATTTGATTGCCATTATCATGGCCATTGTTATCATTGTTTGTGGACAAACTGGATTTTTTAAATAAATTTTTTACTCGATTCAATTTAATCAAATCATTCACTGTTGATAATTTTCTTTCATTTTGTTGTTGATTATTGTTGTCGCCATTTTCACTATTGTTATTAATCTCAATTTTGACCGTTGACCTAATAATTGTTTGATTGCGTGGTTGTTGTTGCTGTTGTTGTTGTTGAATACCATTGTCATCGATTTTTTCATCCTGTTGTTCCTGATGATGATGATGATGATGATAAAAAGGAAAAAATGAAATTTTTTAAAATCAAAAAAAATTTCCATGCGAAAAATAAAATCATAATAATCTTACATCTTCTTCCGGTATCACATCTGTAATGATATTTTTTCGTATCATTTTTATCACTGGCTTTGTATCCAATACATGAGAAGGCTATCCATCGATCATTAAACAATATGGAAGTTGAATTTTGAAATTTTTTCCAAAAAAAAAACACAAAAAACACAAAAACATACCATTGTTTCGTTGAGCATTTGTTTTGATGATGATGATGATGGTGTGGCCATTGACGATTCGACATTATCATCATTATTATTATTACTACTACCCCAACTAATACCACGTTTAATCCATTTACGCCATAATTCAACACTTGTTTTACAACGGATACCGAAATTTCTTCCTTTTTGTCGAATTTTTACAAATATTGATCTTGATCTTAGTGGTACACGAAAACGACCATTATTTGTGGTTTTTCGTTTCATACTACGACCATTTCTATTTCTACCTACAATTGATCGATTTTCATCATCATCATCATTATTTTTATGTCGAGATAATCGATGATTTGAATTTTTTGGAAATTTTGATTTAGAAAAACTAAAACTATCACGTTCTTCTCTAGCAGATGCTGCTGCTGCTGCTGCTGCCGAAGCACGACATGGTCGATGAATTCTGTGATTATTCTTTGGAGATCGATTACGAATTTTTATTTTAGATTTCAATTTAGATGATGATGATGATGATTGTGATGGTGTATCATCATTAGTTAATAATTTACTAGCCAAACGTGGACAAATTTCTTTAGATCGGTTAACATCATCATTATTGTTGTTTTTGTTGTAAGGCAATATTTTTGACATTTAAATTTTTGTGTTACGATAAAATTGATGGATATATTCAATTATGGAGATTAATTAATTAATTAATTATTATACACCCAGTATGAGAGAATTGATAATTGATTTTTCATTTTTTTTTCTGTTTTTATTTTGTTTAACTGAATTATAAAACTTAATTATTAATATAATAAATGGTCAAATAAATAAAACATTTATCGATATTGAATCACAGATTTGACTTATAAATGAAAGAAAAAAATAAATAACGAAAAACAGTGAGAAAGTTGAAAATGGAAATAAAGATTTTCAAAATGATCTTGGTCATTGTTTGCCTGTGCCTGTGTCTGTGTGTGTGTGTGTATTCATTTTCAAAATTCAGCCATAGCTTTTACAATCACACGATCTATATAATGGCAATAATCATCATAAGAACCAAAAACCAAAAAAATTATTATGGATCAGTCGGTCAGTTTAATGTGATATCTTTGGATTTTATTTTTATATTCACGTTTATATTACTGCTGCTGCTGCTGCTGCTACTTGATCCAAGAATCCAAAAAAAAAAAACCAAACAAACGAACGAAAGATAAAAAAAATGACATACTAACTATGATGAAATGAAATGGAAAGAAAAAAAAATTTTTTTTCCACCACCACCACCCCCTCATCATAATTCTTTTCATTAGGAGTTGAAGAAATCTTTTTTTTTCTGGATCAATCATATACACGCTATGTAATGTGTATGTGTGTGTGTATGTGTGTATTATGTTCCAGAAACATAATTTTTTTCTTTCTTTTTTTTCTCTCATTCGATATACGGATATATGCTTGGATTTTTTTTTCTATTCTGGTCTGGATAATAATAATTTTGCCTGACAACGTGGTTTTTTTTTGATTAAATTCTACCGAATATTGTGTGTGTGTGCGTATTCATTTACTGACTGACATACTGACACACACACACCACCAACAACAGACCTAGCATATAAAATGCAAGGACTTTTGCAAATTGTCATTTGAAACTTATGCAGAAGAAGAATTGAATAATAAAAAAAAATTATAATCCGTACTAGAAAATGAAATATAACCTAAAATTGAATACCAATACTGTGTGTGTGTGAAGGAGAAAGTAGCAGAATAACCATGTTGTTATTGATGATGATGATTAATCTAATAATCTACATACAAATGAATAAGCATAATATTACGATAACGTTTATCATGGTGCAATTATTACAACAACTACTACCATTGTGTGTGTGTGTGTGTGTGTAATGGAAAGAATGAGCGGCTAATCAAATTCTTGTATTCTTGTATGATTATCAACATTTGAACCATAGTAACCATTTGGGGATAACAATAATAATAACAACAACAACAACAAGAATAACAACAACAAGAATGTAACCGAATTTTTTTTCTTCTTTCTTTTTTCTACATAGAAAGATTATTATGATAGTAATGCCATTTTTGTTTCTGGATCAATAGTAATAAAATATATAATGTGATGATGATATGCAAATCAATTATTCAATAACAGATGATTATTATTTTTCATTTGTAGTATTCATGTTGATTGAATAGATGAAATGGGAACAATTGTCTTCTTATCATAAACGGAAAAAAAATGAAAATGAAATTGCCCGATTCGAAATCCAAAATTGTACAACCGCCAAATTTTTTAATTTGAAAAATAAAAATAAACAACTTCACCGAAGCGCCATCTGTCGAGGTTAGATGTAGATATTGCTAAAAATTTTATAAATCATCAATCAATCAAACAATTAAAATTCTTAGCTTAATTTATTAACTTACCTTAAGTATTCTCTCATTTATCAATAAAATACCAGTTGTACAATGATTGTTGAATGAAATCCATGGCCAAATCGTTTATTGATCAATTTTGATCGATTGGTATTTTGGATGAGATAATCTCCAAAGGGATCGATCGATCGATGATTGAATGTCGTATATTGTTGTAGTAAAAATCATTATATACGACCTAATTATAAAATGATGACGATGGTGATGACTTGGCGTTAAAACATGACATTTTATTTTATTCCAATTTTTTTGTTTTTGACAATTTTTAAAAAAAAGAACTAATTTCAATCACGAACGGTGGCGCCACTTGAGCATTCGATTTTTTTTTTCACATTTTCTCCGTATCAAATTAAAACACGTCAACTTAACATTTTTGAATCATCAATTAGCTCCACCCTATTAGTAGCTTGAATCAATACATTAACGTGGACGTGGTTAAACCGGCATTCAATTTTTTTTTTCGATTAAACTTCTATAGAAGTTGGTGTGCTTCTGTGTTTGTGTTAGTATATACTCCTTAAAGTTGCGTTGGTGTTTGATGTATGAATCGTCGTATTTTTTTTTTTTTTTTTTGTCTTCAATATAATCATCACATCACATTCATTGAAATACAATTTACATCGTAATCTGTTGGTTTGATATACCTGCTGTAGTTGTCGTCGACCAGATCTTCATCATCATCATCATCATCATCGCCATACATCGTCTTCGTTTTTTATTGGTTGTTGTTGTCGTGGCATTTATTTTCATTCATTGTCTTTAATCATATTTCTGGTAATAAGTTTTTTAACATCTTTATTTCTAAATTGTCATATAATAAATAAATAAATAAATTCTTTATTGACATAAACAGGATCATCATTATTTATATTGTCAAAAATAAAAATCGTAAAACAATGGTACAAATAAAGTTTGAAACTTTGGTGTTGGCCACTATATTTTTGGCATTTCATTGTACAAACGCTTCCGATGTTCTTGATTTAACACAAGAACAGTTTAATTCGGCCATTCAACAACATGATACGATATTGGTAAAATTTTTTGCACCTTGGTGTGGCCACTGTAAACGTCTAGCACCGGAATATGAATCGGCTGCAGCCAAATTGAAAAATAATGATCCACCAATTCCGTTGGCTAAAGTTGATTGTACTACCGATGAAGGTAAAGAAGTTTGTAGCCAATATGGTGTTAGTGGCTATCCAACATTAAAGATATTTAAAAATGGTGAATTTTCATCCGAATATAATGGTCCACGACAAGCCGATGGTATTGTTAAATATATGAGATCGAAAGTTGGTCCAGCATCGCGTTTATTTACGGATAAATCATCATTGGAATCAGTCATTGAAAAGGCAACCGATGTTATCATATTAGGCATATTCGAAAAAGATGGTTCATCCGATATGCAAACATCATTCATGAAATCTGCCGATAAACTTCGTGAAAATGTCTATTTTGCCCATGTATTTCAAAACGATGTAGAAGATGTTTACAAAATTGATCGATTGGCTAAATTAGATGAACAAATCCGTTTGAATTCCAATAATGTGCTTGTTATTCGACCGAAAATCTCAATGAACAAATTTGAATCAAATATTGTTGATTATTCTGGTAGTGGAGATTTGACTGAATTTATTCGTTCAAATTATCATGGTCTTGTTGGACATCGTACACAAGAGAATATGGGCGATTTCAAACCACCAATGATTGTTGCTTTTTATGATGTTGATTACGTGAAAAATCCCAAAGGAACTAATTATTGGCGTAATCGTATACTTAAAGTTGCTCAAAATTATAAAGATTCAATGTCATTTGCCGTTTCGAATGCTCAACAATTCGCCGGTGAATTAGAAGAATTTGGTGCTGAACCACCACGTGATCGTGATGCTACACCAGTTGTAACTGCACGTAATGAAAAAGGTGAAAAATATAAAATGGAAGATAAATTCTCGGTTGAAAATTTGGAAAAATTTGTTGAAGATTTCCGTGCCGGAAAATTGGAACCATTTTTAAAATCTGAACCATTACCTGAAAATAATGATAATGCCAATGTTAAGACAGCTGTTGCCAAAAATATTCAAGATTTAGTCATCAACAATGATAAAGATGTTCTTATTGAATTCTATGCACCATGGTGTGGTCATTGTAAGAATTTGGCTCCAACATATGAAGATCTCGGTCAAGCAATGAAGGATGAACCAAATGTTTTGGTTGTCAAAATGGATGCCACAGCTAACGATGTTCCATCAGAATTTACTGTACATGGATTCCCAACAATCTATTGGTATCCAAAGAGTAAAGTAGCACAGAAATATGAAGGTGGTCGTGATCTCCAGAACTTTATCGATTATATTGCCGAACATTCCACAGAAGAATTGGTCGGTTATGATCGTAAAGGACAGAAAAAATCGAAAGAAGAATTGTAATTATACAGATATAAAAATTTTAAATTTATTATTCTACACACAAACACACACACACGAATATATCTGATTCAATACCAATTTTCTGGCCCCATTTTTTTCATTTATTTTTTAACATCCCGTTTTTTTTTTCAAAATTTTTAAGAAAAAAAATTTAGTGCCTCAAATTATCATACAAACATTCATGCATATATGATTTATTCGTTTTTGTTCTGCTTGCCCCCATATATTTTTATTTTATTGGTATTATAAATTTTTTCACTTTTTCTTTTCAACAACAAAGATTGATTCTTTTTTTTTCTAATCAAAGATTCCATGAAACAAAAAAATTCCGCAACTTTTTTTTTTTGCTTTGTATATGATATTGCCATCATTCTATATTATCGCTCTATTTCTCTTGGGAGATAACCCTTTGCTTTTTGCTCGCTATTTTTAAATCACTTGTATATTTGAAAAAGTGAATAATAAATAAAATGAAATAAAAAAAATTTTAATTCGAATTTCGATTGTTTTGTTTATATCGATATACTAGTGTTTATGAACAGAGTTTGCATCTCAAGCATGTTTTTATTTTCATTTTTTTTATTGTTGATCACGAGTTCAATGTTTCAATGATATTAAAATGTTACCAGTACCAAAATTTTTACAAAAAAATCAAAATGATAATAAAAATCTGGATCAAAATCAAATATGGCGACCAATGAATATAAATATGAATAATTTTCAACGTCCCATTCAACGATCATCGATTCATGGAAATTTCAACAATCATGGAAAAAAAGAAAATGCAATCAAGATTCAAATACTATTCAATGTTGTGATTTTGATGATTGTCGATTTCGAACGGCTAATAAAGATGAAATGTTGATTCATAAAAAAATTAACCACTTTCAAATATGTAAACGTTTTAACGATGGATTTCTAATGGATTCACCTGAAGAGATATCAAAATGGCGAGCTGAACGTCGATCTAAATTTCCACGTTTATCGAACATTATCAATAATGATGATGGCGATGGTGATGATCATGGCCAGAAAAGTAGCCATCCGTATCGAATACATAATCAAAATTATCGTAGTAATAATTTTCGTGATCGTCGAAAATTTCAACGCCATTCATTTTCATCTTTACAAAAAAATCATTCGAAAAATCGTCCTCACAATCAAATTCAACGTAATCCATCGAAAAATGAACGCAAAAACCACATACCATCTACACTTTCAAAAATCTCATTGCCTACATCTGAACCTTGTTCATCATCATCATCATCACTAAATCTACTTTCCGGTTATGCTAGTAGTAGTAGTAGTGAACATTCGGATTCTGATGAATTGAAACAAAATGAACATCATACGCTAATATCATCAATGATTGATGAAATTATTGATAAAGTGGAAAAAACTCATGTCATTCAAAATAAAAACAAAAATCAAAATGGCAATAAAACTATTTCAAATAATAATAAAAAACGTACACCAAAATTATATCGGCAATCAATATTACAATATTCAAATTTAAATCTATTTCAAAAATTAATGCTACAAGATGTACGAAAAGTAAAATCTGAATTATTACAAACATTGAAATTATTGGTGGATACAAATTTCCTTGAAACAAAATAATAACTTTTTTTAATTAAATTATTATGAAATCATGTATAAATTCAATATTTTCAATTTAAAAAAAAATTCGTTTGGAAAAAATTCAGACAGCAACAAGGTAATAAATAAATAAATAAAGACAAAAAAAAAGAATGTCAACACAATCATTGAATCAATCGTGTGTACTATGTCATCAAACATGTTCAAATGATCGATTTAGAATCGAACGTTATTGTGATTGTTATTGGCATCAATCTTGTTTAACACGTTTTATTGAAATTCGTCAACAAACACATTGTCCAGAATGTCGTGAATCATTTCAAAAAAGTGGCCATTGTCGTATCATAAGAAAACGTCGTCCATTTATGGATTTTTTCTGTACACCTGGTGCATTTGCATTGTTAACAATATTTATGTTGATATTCTTTTATGGATTACAAATATTGTTGATTATTGTAACTAGTTATTTAATGGCAGCAACAATGATTGAAAATACAATTATAGAAATTTTTATCATTCTACCAGGAATTATTTATGATTTTTATTACATTTTTTGTATAATCATTACAATATCTCTTATGATTACATTGTTTCGTTCTTGGCGTGATGAAAATCCAATCGTTGTTGTTGAATGGATATCACCGAATACAAAAGCTATTAGTAGTAGTAGTACTCAGCTACCAACAGCAGCGGATGTACTATTCAGTTCGAGCAACAATAATAAAAATAATAATGGTACCAAAACCATCATACCAATCGTTGTTACTGGAATGAATGATGGCCATCAAAATACAAATCCAAATCGATTAACAATGAATCAATCATCATTACCGTCATTGAATACGGTTATTGTCAATATAACATCACCATGATGGTGTTTCCAGTGATTCCTAAATAAAAAAAAAAAAATAATGATTGAAAAATAAAATGAATAACAATTGAATAAAAATAGTGCAAGTTTGATTTTTCTTCTTCAAATGGTCTCAGACTGGGGCGATTCATAAGAATTATCATTTATGATAATCATAGGGGAATCAATCATCACTATATATAACATTTTTTTTTTCGTGATACAATGTACTAAAATTTGTGCTCACTTTTTTTCAAAACGGAAATTGAATGGCAGCCACATGGTTTTGGTGTGTGGTTCCTGAAATGATAAAATTAGTGATTAGAAAAAATTGATTGAAATTAATTATTATATAATAGAAGAAATGTGAGCACCAGCTATGGCACAATCTAAGACCAAAAAAAAACCGGCCAGATTGCTTCCTAGATGCATCGTAATTTTAATTTTGGTCATATCAAATTTTATTTGATAAAATTTGGCACAATGTATGTCGTGGTTTAATAGAGACATCATTGCGTGGCGATTGACCATTTATCGAGAGAAATTATCAATTTCATCCGATGATCAATAAACTTACCACATGAAAAAAAAACTAAAGAGAATCAAAAAAAAATTAAATTTTTTTCAAGACATGACCAGACTGAACAACAACGTGCTCGGATATGGAAGATGCATGTTGAATGCATGTGAGAATTTATAACCTGAAATGATGGCAAAATTTGTGACATGCGCATTGTAATTTTCTATAGAATCGATCTTGGCGACATCTACCAGAATAGTTATGAAAATCGTATTGAAGAAAATTTTTTTTATCCATTTTTGTTTTGTTACACATCATTTTTTCTTGTATGTCTGTATCAATTTAATCGATCTATATAACATTTAATCCGAGTTATCAATGGTGGTTATCACATTCATACATTACAATTTTTATGCATAAAAACACATAAACTTTGTCGAACAAATCATTCTTTTATTATTGAATTGAAAAAATAGTTTGATTCGAGCCGCTTATTGTTTACAATGGAACTTCAACGAAAATTACATCGAACTGATCGAATATTAATGGTAATCATTGCTGTTGGTTTTTTATTGAATACTTATGCATTTTATGTTGAATTGAAACATGAATATGATCCATCATATCAAGCATTATGTGATGTGAATTCCGTCATCAGTTGTACGAAAGTAATTACCACAAAATGGGGCAAAGGTTTCGGAATTCTACCTGAATCGGTGGCTTTTAGAAATCCAATATTTGGTTTTGTATTCTATACACTCATGCTATTAATGATCATGGCCATTAAACCTAATATAATTGTTTGTAAATCAATAATATTTTTGGCAATTCTATCGAATTTGGCTACAATTTATCTAAGCATTTTGATGATATACATCATTCAATATTTTTGTTTAATATGTATCATTTCATATATTGTTAATTTTCTTTTACTCATCTATTCTATTGTTCGTTATCAGCTTTTAAAACAATTGAAATCAAAATCTAAATTGCGATAAAAAAAATCCACAATAAAATTCTGTTCCAATTTCCAATTTTTTTTTCACTAATACGTTGTTTATGAATTGTTTGAGACACAACGAAATTTTCACGCAAACATAAAAAATCATTGAATTTTTCTAAATTTTCGCTTTTTGTTTATTCTGGACTGATTTTTATTGCCAACAATTTTGATGGTCGAATCATATTGGCGAAAATGACGAGAATGAAATCCTCATCATCATTATTCGGTCACATCTATCCATATATTGTGATCACTGTAACAATAACAATCGTATTTCATAATTCACTTGACTGTGATTTTACATTTGATGATACATCGGCTATCGTACAGAATCGTCATGTACATACAAACGAAACCGATTGGTTTCGAATATTCGATGTCGATTATTGGGGTACACCCATACGAAGTGAACATAGTCATAAATCATATCGACCATTCACATCATTAACATTTCGTTGGAATCATTTATGGTCACCGGCATTGAATCCATATGAATTTCATTTAACAAATGTATTGTTACATATAATTGTTTCATTTATTTGTTTTGAATTTCTTCGAATAATGTTGGGTCCCCAAAATCGATGGCCAGCTTGTTTATTCACCTTATATTTTGCCATTCATCCAATCAAATCTGAAGCCGTTACCAGTATTGTTGGCCGAGCTGAATTACTGTCCACATTATTCATATTGATCTCATTGTTTTGTTATTTTAAAAATGCATACATTAATTTTGCCATTACGGTTCTTTTGGCTTCATATTCAAAAGAACAAGGCATGACAACACCGGCTATTTGTATAGCCATTGAATGTCTTAAATTGATGATTCAATTTAAATCATTAAATTATTTACCATTCTGGTCAAGATTATGGCATTCATTATTGAATTTGACTATGGCAAAAATCATTGCACTTATTGCCTATACAGCAATATTGATTGGCACTCGTATCTATTTGGCCGGATCATCATTGCCCATTTTCACTAAATTCGATAATCCAGCTTCATTTGAAGAAACACCCAGTCGACAACTTACCTACAATTATCTTCTGCCATTAAATGTACGTTTAATGTTATGGCCACGATGGTTATGTGCCGATTGGACAATGAATTCCATTCCATTGGTCAAAACATTTGATGATTCACGTAATGCCTGGACAGCTATATTCTATCTGGTTTTCATAATTCTTTCTAGCCGAGCATTTTATCTAGCCACCAGCAAGCAATCAAAACGTCTTTTTAATATCGAAATTGATATCGAAAGATCAAATCTGCTTATTTCACTGATTCTCATTGTGATTCCATTCATTCCTGCATCTAATCTACTATTTCCAGTTGGTTTTGTTCTTGCCGAACGAATCCTCTATACACCGAGCATTGGATTCACCACATTATTGGCAATCGGTTGGTTAAGAATTCAAAATTATTTTCAACGATCTAGATTCATTCAATTTTTATTGAATTTTTCAACAATATTAATGCTAGTCACATTTACATTCCGTACTTATGAACGAAATTTTGATTGGCGTAATGATCTGACTCTATTCAAATCTGGTTTAATGGTCAATCCTAATAATGCAAAATTATATAATAATATTGGACATTATTATGAACGTCGTGGTGAATGGTCAGAAGCTATAAAATATTTTCGTCTAGCAGCCGATAAAGATCATGAAGATATTGGCGCTGAATTGAATGTAGCTAGATCATTGATTAGATTGAATCGATTAAAAGATGCCGAAGATTTACTTTGGGCCATTAAACCACGTGTACGTACATCGATATTAAAAAATCGTATGGTACCACAATATCTAAATATTTGGATAAATCTAGCACATGTAATCAGTATGAATCAAACACGATTACATGAAGCTGAAAATCTTTATCAAGAAGTTTTGACCATTCGAAGTGATTTTGTTGATGCCTACATAAATCTTGGTGAACTTTATATTCGTAAACAATTATTTGATCAAGCACAAGAAACATATGAAAAAGCATTGCAACGAGCACGTCATATTGATGATGGTAAAAGAGCAGATATTCACTATAATTTAGCTATTGCAAAATCATTGAAATTAGATCATCAACAACAGAAACCTAGTGGTTCGAAACTTGGATCATTATTGACTGAAATCGCCAAAGATTTAATGATTGCCATTGATATTAATCGTGAACATCGTGAAGCTATCATCAATTTAGCCATACTATTGCAACGGCCACAGTTTCCATCCAATAATCAAAATGAATATCGAACATTTGCCATTAATGCATTACGTAGTTATTCACGTAGCAATGAATTGGAATCATTTCAATTCAATATTGCCATCACATTGTTGGATATTGGTGGACCAACAAATCGTATGGATGCTATTCATCATTTTAAACGTGCTGCTGAATTGAAACCAGATTTTCGTAGTGCACTATATAATCTTGCATTACTTTATTATGATTTTAAAGATTATGAACAATCATTATTCTATCTAAATCGTACACTTGAACATTATTCAAATTATACAAAAGCATTATTATTGACCGCAGATATTTATAGCCGTATGGAACGTTTAGATGATACTGAAAAGGTAAGCTAAAGACAATATCATCAATTGTTTGACAAAAATTAATCTCAATTTTAATGTCAAATCCATTCATTCATTCATTCATTCATTCATTTTTCCCAAAAAAAAACAAAATAGACATATACCAAAGTACTTGAAATGGATCATAATAATTATGAAGCTATTCATAACCTTTGTATGATTTATAAACAAACACAAAGGAAAAAAGAACAAGAAAAATGTTTATTAATGCTCAATGATTTTAAATTGAAATCCATGTTGTGATACATCATCATCATCATCATCATCATCATCATCATCATTCCTGATTATAATATTCTTTCGTAACGAATTTCTAAAAAAAAAAAAAATTCTCCTTTTGTTTATATTGCTAATTTTATTCATTAATCATTTGTTGTAATTGTTTTATGTATTTGATAGTCATTCTGATACAAAAAAAATGAATGAAAAAATGAAAAAAATTACATTTTTGTAATTAATTTTCAATAATAATAATAATAATAAATGAAAAATCTTTTTACCTTAAGGCTTCAATTTTTGATACACGTTTTCCATTTAAATGTCTAGGTTGTATATATGGTAATCGATCACGTAACATATCGAATGCACGATTCATATCTCTCATTCGTGTACGTTCACGAAGACAGGCATTTTTTCGTTGTTCTTCTTTTGTACTACCATGTTGATCCAATGTTGATGATAATAGTAATGATGATGGTGATCCATTATTATTAATGTCATTCGATGCATATTTAGGTTTATGGTCATTTTTATTGACCATTTCCGGCCATTTTCTATTGGATTGATAATTTGCGTGATCAACATCATCATCATCATTATTATTTGACAAATGAAAAAAATTATTTGATTCCAATGTTGTCTGTTCAGTTGACATCGATTTTACTACCGCCACCGTCGATGATGATGGTGGTGGTGGCGGCGGCGGTAATATCATGGATGTTGTTGTTGTAGGTCCATGTTTCGATAACCAAGAAAGATTTTCTAACCATCGATTATGATAATAATAATGATGGTGGCTATGATCATCATCATCATCATCATCCGCATCATCATAATCATTAAGTACATCTTGATGATCATCGTGGTAATGATAAAAATAATTATAATTTGAGTAATTATATCGATTATTTGAATTGGCCATCATAATTCCGGTTGTATCCATCATGTTTGTAGCATCAGCATCATTATTATTATTGTAGGATACTGTTGTTGGTAACGGTAGATGGCTACTACTACTACTACTACTACCGTTCATGGATGAATAAAATTCGTGATGCGGATGAAATTGATGTATTTGATCATGGATCATCGATGATGATGATGATGATGATAATGGTGTTAGTGTTTGAATATTTGAATCAACTACATCATTATCATATGATAACATTGTATTATGATGACAATCGAATTGGCCATTGTTGTTGTTGTTGTTGTTGTTGTTGACTAATAATTTTAAAATGATAAAACACATAAATACCACCATTAAATAACAACAAAAAAAATATAAGAAATAAGAAAATTGAAATTAAAAAAATATAGATGAAGATAATTAGTGCATCACAAATTGATCCAGGAACAATAATAAAAATAAAACAAAAAGCTCAACCTGACATGTATGGTCATTATGGTTATTTCGTTATATATCACATATATCACATGTATGTTGGCCAGCCAGCCAGCCAGCCAGCCAGCCATTAACATCATCATCATCCGCATAATCGAATTGCTAATAATAATCATAAAAAAACGATGATCCAAAAAGGCGAAAAAAATGGACCAAAAAAAAGTGAAAGAAAAAAAAAAAATTCATCCATCCATCAAAAATGGAGTGGTCTATGGATTTTTTTTTGTTGTTCTTTCCCAAATTTTTTCCGTTGTTGTTGTTGTTGTTGTTTTTTCATTTCATTTTTTTTTATGTGAAAATTATTCACTTGAATGAACGATCCATACGAATTATTATCATCATGAATTAAACGAAACAAACGACATTTACACACACAACACACACACACACACACAATGTTAATTGCGACATTATCATCGACAACAACAAAAAGACCGGAAAACAACAACAAAAAAAAATGACCAACGAAAAATTGATGATAATGATTAGCTTATGGAAAAAAAACAATTTTTTTTTATCACATTCTCCATTATGGTAAAGAAAGATAAAAGAATGGTTCACGTGTGTGTGTGTCTATGCATATATGAATAGTTCGCATCGTACACGTCTTCCTGATGTTTGATGTTGAACATCAAACATCACATCAGATAAATTTGTTGCTGTTGTTGTTGTTGTTGTTGTTGTTGTTGGATCATCTTCATTTTCGTTTTTGTTTCTCATATTCAATGCACTCCTGCTGTTAATTTTTTTTTTGCTGTTTATTTCACTTATTAAAATCAAGTTTTAGTTTTCCAACTACATCTACTATGGTAGATGTGTGTTTTTTTTTTTTAATTGTTTGTGACCAAATCTTTTGTGTATTATTTCCTGAACAGAAAAAAAGGAGCGTTCAGTTTGTTGAGCTTTATATGCAAATTTTTTTTTTCGTCTTTTTCATTTGAAAAAAATGACGGTTTTGTTGTTGTTGTTGATTCGTTCATGACACAAATTTACCACGACAACTTAAAGGTTTTTCATCCATTTTCACGTTATGAAAATTGAAATTTTTCCCTTGTTAATTTGCCAAATGCTTTTCATTCTTTTCCTCGAAATCTTTTTCTTGCACTCATGAATTAATGATGTTTAAAAAAAAAAAATATCAGAACATTACCATTGAATAAGTTGGAGATCATTATTATTACAGTAGCAGTTGTCATTAACAACAATGAATTGATTCGGTTCCGTTACCATTGTCATCGTATTCGTTGTTGTTGTTGTGTTGTTGTCTTCTGTTTCATTGATGATAATTTCATCATCATCATCATCATCATCATTACGAATAGCCGTGATATCAATTTTTTGGTTATTGTTTTTATTATTATTATTATCATCCGGTGATATTTGTATTATCATCGACGGTATAATAGGTTGTTGTGATGATGATGATGATGATGAGATGTTGACAATGATGGATCCATCATCATCATGATGAAAAGATCCATTATCCATTATAAAGTTTGACGTTTTTATTGTCTGTTGTTCATGGATCATTTTCATTTTATTTTCGCCATCATCAACAACAACATTATTGCCATTTTCGTTGACATTAACAGCAGCATATCCAACTAAAACATCTTGATGTTGATAAGATGACATTATTATGGGTCTGACAACTTGTTGTTGTTGTTCATCATGTTCAGAATGGTAAAGATCAACAGTAGTTAATTGCTGTTGTTGTTGTTGTTGATACGTACCATCAACAGTTTCGGTTATCAAATTTTGAGCTTCTGGAATTTTTGTTTCTGTTTTGTTTTGTTTTGTTTTGTTTTGATAAAAAAAAATGAAAATTGAAAGAAAATTTTATAAAACATAAATGAAATATATAGTTGTTGATAGCCGATAACATGATATGATAATAATGATGATGATTCAAAAAAAATAGAAAAGATTTCCGGTAGATAATGAAAAAAAAGAGATGCTTACCTTGTTTTGTTTTGAATTCAACAGGTTTCTTATCATCATTCGAATATTGTATTGTATCCGATTCATCCATAAACGATGTATAGAATATTGATTGTGATTGTTCCATATTATTGTTCTTGTTGTTGCTGGTGTTTGAAAATGTAAATGATCAAATTGTTTTTTTTTATTTCATCATGAATATTTGGATTATATCAATGGCTGGCCACATATATATAATCCAAATGTCAAATTGATCAAACCAACAAAAAAAAAAAAAAAAGAGAAAAGCCAGGCAAACAGGTGTTTTTTTCAATTGAATGATTGATCGATTGTACCCATCGTAAATATCACATTATCTACTAGTGAAAAAAAAATTATTTGTAATAAATAAATTTTCCAAGTTTGTTGTGCGTATTACGAGAAAGGCCAAAAAAAAAAAAAAAACAATCATGATGTGTCACGAATTAATGATGTAGATCTACAATCGATTCGTGTAATCAGTTTATTGATATCGATACGGGTTTGTGAGAAAAAAAATTGATATATCATGGACAACTAATCATTTGTTGTTGTTGTTGTTTTTATTTATTGCCAAACACTGGCATTGAGTTATCCATAATGACAACATTAATGACATTTAAACATCCTGCTTCCAGGTAGACAAACATTTTTTTTTTTCTTCTTCCTAAATTTTTTTTTGTTCCAATTTGAGATAATAAATGAATTTATAACAATAATATATCCCATACAAATATCGGTTTGTTTTTTTTCACATTTCCTGTTTCAATTCATTCGAATTGTTTCTATTTTATCAACACACGAATTGTTCATTCATTCATTCATTCATTGGATTGGATTGGATTTGATTGTATTTTTACCTTATTTAAACTTTGATTCGATTTGTTTTCCCAATAAATTCCATTTTCAATCCAAAAAAAAATCTCATTATTGAATGAATGAATTATCATGATGATCCATAATGAGTAAACTAAATATAAGAATGAATGAATGAAACATTTACTCGATTAACACACATTTTGGACACACACAAACACACACACACACACAAACGAAATGGTAAACGCACCTTTTTTTTCCTATTTTGTAATTTATAAACCGAACATTATCCTGATTTATTTTTCTGAAACTTTCATCATCATCATCATAAGCATCATTTATGGTCATAATCAGTCATAATCATCATCTTTTTTTATATATATATAGTGAAGAAAAAAAACAAGAATGAAATAAATGTAATATAATTAGTCCATCATCAAATGGATGATGCTTCAAGCATCAATAAATAATGACGATAATCAATTATATGATGATGATGATGATGATGAAAAAAATATGGAATGAAATGTGCTATTTACACTTTCGATTTGTTTGTTGATTACACAAATCAAAAAAAAAAAAAAAAAAAAAAAGTAAATGGCAATTGAATAAGATTCAATATTCAATTGTTGTTCGATATCCATGGATCTATTTTACTCCCACAGCTGAATAAAATGGCTGTTTGTGTGTATATGTGTGTGTGTGTTTTTTCTCGTTTTTGTTGTCAAAAATTCACAATGTTGGTAAATTTTTTGCAATTCAAGCATTGTGTGTGTGTGTGTGTGTGCAAGCATGAAGTATATCATCATCATAGATATTAAAGCGGAAAATAATAACATCTTATTATCATTTGTGCTTGATTTTTTTTTTGAAACTATTTTTCATTTCATTTCACGTAAATGTATCACTACTGATGATATAGAAATAAATAAAAAATACCTGTAATGCCAGTTATGGAAACTGTTTATATAAACCACCAAAAGAAAATGACCACAACAACAATGACCATTCAGTTGATTTTTTTTTTTTTTTGGTCTATTATCGTTGTTGTTGTTGTTGTTATTATTATTGTCAATTGTTGTTAAGTTTAAACATTCGCATTTTTTATAAATTTTAAATTTGAATTCAATTCTTTTTCTTTGTTCAGTGGTCAGCTATCATCATCATCGTCATCATCATCATCATCATGATGTTTGTCAAATTGTTATAGTGACCAATTATGACAATTTCTTTCTTTCTTTTTTCTTTTTTTCTTACTCATTCAAAATTGATGATCATCAAAAGTCCGTAAAAAAAATGGACATAAATGTCACACTCGAACAGCGGTGGATATGCAACAAGTGATTATTCTAAATTTAAATTACGATTTGCAGCGCCGCCACCGTCAGATCTATTTTTTTTAAAACCGAAAAAGCGCGAAAATAAAAATTATTATTTGGCGCGAAAATAAAAAAAATGATCAAAAACAAAATTCAATTAAAATTGATTTATTTCTTTTTTTTTGCAAATAAATTGAAAAAAATACTTTACATAGTCAAAAAAAAACTCAATCAATGAATCAATTAAAATGTAGCCGATTTGTGAGAGAAAAAGAATAATAAATTAACAAAGGAAGGAAAACAAAGGAAAACTGTATAAGTGGGCGTGTGTGTGTGTGTGTACGTGAAACAATAATAATAATAAAAATAAACGGAAACGATTTTATGATAAATGGATGAGCAAATCTATCCAATATTATGAATGGTTGGAACATAAAAACAAACAAACAAACAAATTTGAATTTTGGCAAAAAAAAAAAAAAATATTCAATTATGATTACATGTGAACATGATTAGAAAGAAAAAAGACAAATCGATTGATGAAATTTGATAAAGATCGATGGTATTCATTTCATTCAATCAATCAATTGATCAACACCAAATATATAAAAAAAAAATTTGCAATCGTTTTTCGTATTTATGTTATACAGTTCATGTGTCTTTATTTGTAACTGGATGAATAATTTATTGGTAAAGCTTTGTTTCCAGAAAAAAAAATGGATTGATGATCTTTGGAGAGCGAAAAAGAGTGAATGAAAAACGGAAATGGACAAAATTCAGAACAGTGATGCTGTGTGTTTCTCTCTCTCTCACTGTGTGTGTGTGTTTGTTTGTGTGAAAAAAAACCTGAAAAGTTGATAATAACCAACAAAACAATTAAGCATTGATAATAATGATGATGATGATGATGAGTATATATTGTGGATTTTTTTATTTTTTTATTTTTTTTCAATGATTAGATATATGATTAGATGATGTTGATGAACGAGAAAAAAAAATGCGAATCTATTTCAAAATTCAATGAGTAATGATGATTTTGTCCAGTGTTGAATGACGATAAAGTAAAAAAAAAAAAATGACAAAAGAACAAAAAATTGAAATCCGGAAAAAAAGGTAAGTTATATAATAATAATATAATGGTAGTATTGGTGTTGGTTATGATGGTGGAGGTGATGGCGGTGTTAGCGGTGAGACAACAACAAAAAAAAGAAAGAAGTATTCACATAAATATAGATCAGGATTGTAATATTTAAACAATTAAACAATGAAAAAATATATATGAAATGAAATGAAAAGAAGAAAACATTGAATAGAATGATGATGATCAATCATCGAATAATGTGTGTGTGTGTGTGTGTGTAGAATCATGTCATTTGTGAATGTATCGTTTTTGGAGTAATGAATGAACGAATGAATGAATGAATATTTGTTAAAAATAACTATGTAAAATCAATGTATTTTTTTATGTGCGTATGTTTATATTGAAATGTAGATCAAACGAATGATGAAATGAAATGAATCCAACAACAAGACAGCAACACCCAAATTGAAAGAAAAATTGAAAGTGAAACAAAAAAAAAAATAACGAAAAACAAATTAAAATAAGGATGAATGAATGAATATATATATATATATATGCTGTTTATTACGTTACCGGTGTTAATGGCTAATTTGTTTGTTTGTTTATATATATTATATATCACTATATTAATGTCAATGATTTTGATTTTACATCACTACCGGAAGTTGACGATAATGAACGATCTTCAATAGTTAATGGCTTGGATGGTGTTATTGTTATCGATCCAATTGGTATCGTTGATGTTTTACTATGAAGATGATGATGTAAATTATTATTGTTTTGATGTTGATGATTGACTAATGCTCTTGCTATTGATGATGGTAACGATATTGATGATGATGATGATGATGATTTTAATGTTTTTGTTTTTATAGATGTTGATGATGCCGATGGAATTAATGGTTCAATAATGGCTTTAATTTTCGATGATTCTGATGTTAATTTATCATCACTATCAGTTGCAGCAATAATAGCTATCCTAAATTCTGTATTACCATTATTACGATTATTATCATCAACTTTAGTGGCACTATTCTGATTTGATGTCGCTGATGATACATATGGATCATCAATATATGATGTTGATGATGATGTTGGTGAATAATCGCTTTCCTGATGATATGATGATGATGATGATAATGATGGTGATGAATATGATTGATGATGAGATTCAGCATAAGAATTTTGCAATAATGGTTTATTCATTTCAATGATACCATCAGAATTACTACTACTACTACTGCTGCTGCTGCTGTGGCCGATACCGAAATTATTTCCATTTCCATTATTATAGATATCATCATGTACATAATGATGATGATGAGGATGATAATGGCGGTCAAGATTATTATCATAATGATTCATATGATGATGATGAGTATGTGATGAAGGTTGATGACCATAATCATAATTCATTGATTTCATTTCATTTGATGATATATAATTTTTACCAAATGATTCCGATTGATAATGTGATTGTTCTGGCTGATGATTATGATTATGATTCATATGATAATGATTATGAGATGGATAATCATTATGATGATGATGATGATGATGATGTGGAGAAGATGATGGCAGAGAATTATCAATGCTATATTCATTTGTTTTAAATGATGATGGTGATGATGATGATGATGTTGAGCTTGGATATTGATTTCTTGAAGAACTAATTGGTTCAAAATTATTTGATTCTCGATATGGTGTTGTTGTATAACGATCATGATTAATACTTGAAGAATGATGATAATGATGATCATGTTGATGTGCTGTCGATGATGATGATGCTGAGGAAGGTTGTTGTGAACTATCTGATCCAATTGTGACAAATATGGCTCTTGGACCAGAATCCGGATTATTATGATTATTATTATTGTTTCCACTGTAATTATTACGATATGATCGTAATGATGATGGTGCTGAAGCTGCATAATGATTTGATCCTGTTGTGAAATATTCATTTGTACCGGCGGATGCAGCATAATCGTTCATATATCCTCCTCCTACACCACTACTACCACCACCTCCATAATTTCCACCGTTTGAATAATCTTCGCCACTACTCATATCATAATTATTTCCACCACCACCACCACCATTACCACCGCCCCCAGAATCACCATTATAACCCCCTGAATCTATATATCCACCACCACCACTACCGTTATCACCACTGTAAGGCATTCCGTATGCTGTACTTCCACTGCTGCTGTATCCGCCACCACCAGATCCACTGCTTCCATAATTATCTCCACCACCGCCGCCATAATTATCATCAAAAGTGACTTTGTTAAGCTGGCCAGTGACGTATCCGCTTGATGTAACTGGTTTTGAACTAATACTGCCGGTCATGTATTCAGAATCAGTATATCCACCACCACCACCACCACTACCGGCAGCGCTGTAATCTAAACCATGCATTCCATAAGAATCATCGCCACCACCATAATCATCAATGTCGTAGGCATCATTGCTACCTTGATACGAACCCCCATAGCTATAATCAGATGTTGGATATGATGGATAACCATATTCATATTTAGGATAATCATATTCTTCACGGATTTTGAATCTATTTTATTGTTCATGAATATTAATTATGATGATGATTGTTTATTTTTTTTTATTATGTAAATAAATTATTTTTTAACACAATTCATAAAAAAATAAAAATAAAATGAAACAAAAAAAACAAAAAATACTCACTCAAATGGAATTGGAATCGGTATTGGCAATATACCGAATTTTGGTTTCATTTTTTTCTTAGCCAATGCATACATTAACATTAATGTTTTCATTTTATCTTTACTCAACATTTTCATGATCATTTTTTTCATTGCATATGTTTGTTGTACTTGATGTTGTAATAATAATTGTATGATGAATATTGTGATCAAAAAAATTGCAGCTTTACGGCTACTATTATGAATCCTATTATTATTGGCCAACATTTTTTCGATTTTTTTTTTAGCTTTTTGCTGTTGATTAAATTCAAAAGAGAATGGCACAAACACAAACACCACTGAACTGAACAACAACAAAAAAAATGAAAGAAATTTTTTTCTTCAAAAAAAAAAAATATCGGTATGTTGTTGATATTAACTGGGGTTTTTATTTCAATAAAAAAATCACCAATACCGTTGACATGATGTCAACGGACACTTTTGGTTGTTGTTGTTGTTGTTGATGGTGACATGGACACAGAACACACAATCAACACATACACACACACACACACACACACAGGAACGAAACAAATGAAATGATGAAAAATCTACTGAAAATTATTTGACTTTCGTTTAAATACCCATATATGATTGTTATTTGAGAATGATGAAGAAGAAATTTTTTTTTTTTTTTTTTTTTAATTTGCGAAGAAGAGCCAAGATTCTCTCTCTCTCTCTCTCTCTCTAACCTGGCTCTCGTTTACCTGGTTATTATATATCTACAACGGGAATTGTCCAAAGATAAATTGTTCATTGATAATTTATTTTCATTGTAGAATGAAAATTGAGAGTGATGATGATGATGATGATATAAAACCCGCCAAATAATACTGCCAATAGAAATAGACAAACGGTTATTATGTAAACTTCTTCTTTTTCTTTTCATTTTCTTTGGTTATATGTATTCGGGTTGTAACAAGTGATGTTTTTTTTGGATGATTAAACTATTTTTTTCATGAAAATTTCTCTTCTAAATATTTGAATGATTGTTCACATGATGTGCTATTGTAATGTGTCCATGTCCATTTTTATTATACATATGGTATGGTATTTATTCATATTGTTGTTTTTGTGTGTTGTGTTTGTGTGTGTGAATGTCCATTTTATATATAAATCTAAAGAGTTTACTTGAATTAACCATGTTGTTGTTGTTGTTGTTTTTCTATGGTTTTTTTTTTGGTTGGTTGGGCGCCATTTTAACAATTAACTCGATTGCTACGGCTGTGGATGATGCTATTCAGTGGATGAAAAAAGAGAGAAAAAAAGAAAGAAAAAGATGTTAGGATTGACCAGATGAACAAAAAAAAAATTGATAGTGAGAGTGTTTATTGTGTGTGTGTGTGTGTGTATCCAACAATATCCATGTAAAATAGGTGGATCATCCAAATGAGTGGAAAAAAAACAACAGAAATCTTTCCATGTGTCTTTATATGTTGAATTAACTTGAAATGAAATTATAAAATGTTGCTGTTTGTTGTTGTTGTTGTTATTCTCATAGACATTATGATTATAATGATGATGATGGCGATTATTATAATAAAAATGATGAGAACAAAACAGCCAACAACAACAACAACAACAACTAATAACCGTTCAAATGTTTGTTGGTTGTCCGGATTGGATTTTTTTTTTTTTTTGTTACATTCCATATGTGAAACAAGAGGAAAATTGATAATTTGTACGACAAATCAGATTGAATTTAGTTGAATAAAAATTGGTTTTCCTGTGGTGGAAACATACGAAAACAAAGAAAGATTTTTGTTTATTAAATTTCAGATTTTAGAAGCTACCAGAAAAAAATGGAAACCATTTTTACCTGGATAAAAAAAAAATAAATACCCGGTTGATGTTTTTTTTTTGTTTGTGTCTAGAATCTAGACTAGACATTGTTTTTTTTTTTTTTGGTTATTTTGGTGTCTGACCATTTTTTTTTTTGACAAGATTTTTCTTTTGTTTCATTTTTAGAGACATTCCAACTACATGTATATCACTCAAAAATGATATATAGTGATACATGATATATAATTGATGGATGAAGGCAAAGAGATGGTCAGAAAAAAAAATTCAAGATGAATGATTGAAATGGAAATTATCATCATCATCATCAACATGTAATCACAATGTATGAATCTGGTGGTGTGGTAACATCCACCGATCCATTCAATGAACAACAACAGGTGTGATATGCAGATTTTTTTTTTTTATTTCTTTATGGCCATTTATAATTTCAAGATTGTGTCTGTGTGTGTGTGTGTGTATGTTTTGAATTTTTTTGTGGTGGTGGTCATTTGTTTTTTTTTACATTCATTTTCTCATGCCAGTAGTGTAAAAAAAAATGTTGATGTTGATGATGATGATGAACAAAATGGATTACACTTACCAAAAATTGAAGATTATGATCAAAATTAAGAAAAAAAACATGATTATTGTTCATCCGATGATGATGATGACCCTTGAATATCATAAGACCAAAAGAAGAAAAATGTCCGAAACCTAAATGATTCTGGATGGATGGAAAAAAAGATTTCTATCATGGGGACAGAAAACAAAACAAAAACAAAAAAATTCGCTCAACAATAGAATGATGATGAATGGCGGAAAAATTTTTTTTTTGGGAAAAAAATCCATTTTCAAAATAAAAATAAAAAAAAAACAAAAATGAATAAATATAAAGAAACCAAACCTGAACATCATCATTTAGCATCAATCCATTTTCGGTCATCATAATCATTATCATACCCGAGGCGGGTCCCGATGTGGGTGGAGGCAATTAAAATGCAGTGATTTTTGTCCTCATCAATTGTCATTCATTATGGTGAATTTTATTTGAAATGTCAACTAACACAAACGTCAAATGTCTATTGACAAACGTGTTTTAATTTTAAAACTTTTTTCCAAAAACCCCGGTTGGCCACAAATAAATTTTGCAATACAATTTGATCAAATAAATGGACAATCATACAATCATTATTGGTAAGCGAAAGCAAAAAAAACCAAAAATAATCATCATCAACAACACATAGAGCATTATTGGATGGAGAAAATTATTCAATTATCCAGGAAAAAAAAATTTGAAACAAAACACCCACACACACACACACACCCACACTAAAATGACCAATTTCGTTGATTATTTATGTGATGAATGAATTTTTTTTTTTTTTATTGCATTTTTTTACGAGTTGAATCGATGATAAATGATTGTCAACACACACACACACATGATGAGTTGAATAATTAAAATGAAAAATTAAAAAAAAAATTCAATTAAAATGAAAGAAAAAATTTTTCATTCCAAAATACTTGTGGACAAACAAGCGGAAATGAAAGGAAATGCAAAAACCAAAATAATCATCATCAACAACACATAGAGCATTATTGGATGGAGAAAATTATTCAATTATCCAGGAAAAAAAAATTTGAAACAAAAAACACCCACACACACACACACACACCCACACTAAAATGACCAATTTCGTTGATTATTTATGTGATGAATGAATTTTTTTTTTTTTTTTTTTATTGCATTTTTTTACGAGTTGAATCGATGATAAATGATTGTCAACACACACACACACACACATGATGAGTTGAATAATTAAAATGAAAAATTAAAAAATTCAATTAAAATGAAAGAAAAAAAAATTTTTTTTCATTCCAAAATACTTGTGGACAAACAAGCGGAAATGAATTAATAAATGAATGAATAAATTTCATTTTTTTTCTCTTTTGTTTTGTATTCATCATTAGATTTAATCATCAATATATGATTGATTGATTGATCGATAACAAAAAAAAAAAATTTTTTCATCACGATCAATATCGAATATCGAATATCATGAAACAAACAAAAAAAAAATCATTTTCATGTGTGTATGTGTATGATAACAATCAATAGTAATCGATATTCATGTTCATCAATAATGGAGAAAAAAAACGAATCGACAATTGATGAAAACAAAACAAAACAAAACAAGTTTGTCACTATAGTATACTACTACGCCTATGTTTGCAAACATATAGCCACCACCAACACAACAACATTCTTCAATCCAAATATAAAAATGACCATATATAAATTGTAAATATGCAACAACAACAACAACAACAACAACAACAACAACAACAAAGATGATGCTATTTTTAATTTTTTTTTGCATTGTCCAATGAAATTAGATGAAAAAATGAAACAAAAAAAATTTTTTGGTTCATTCATTCATCTTAAATATTGGACCATAAATATCGGACACATGTTACAAACAAATTCAATCTTTCTCCACCCCTTTTTTTCTCTTTCTCTGACAATATTCATCCACGCCCCTTGTAGTGTGTATTTTTTGTCATTGTTGTTGTTGTTGTTGTTGTTGTTGTTATTATTGATGTTATCGTTACCATTGTGTTCATCAAAAAAAAAAAAAAATTTGATCCATATTGGTCAGTTGATGAATTCAAATGTTTTTTAGGATATTGCCTGCTGTGTTCAATAGCCTCTGTGTGTGTGTGTGTGTGTATGTGAATCAATCTCATTGTAAAAAATTTTTCATTTTCATTTTTTATATTTATAAATCAAAAGTAGAAGAAAAAAAATTTGTTTTCACCCCCTTTCCACTTTTTTTTTGCTCCTCCACTGGTTTTCATTCTCACAAGACAAAAGATCGATGATGATGATGATGATGATGATGATGATTCGATTTGATTGTCGTTGCATAAGAAATTGACATTATCAAACAACACACACACACATGTAAATGATGTATTTTGGAAATTTTGAGCAAAAAAAAAAAAAAAAATTTTTGAAATACCTACGAAATTGAATATTTTGTCTTTTCGTTTGTTTGTTTGTTTGTTTGTTGGATCAAAAATTGGCAAAAAACAAAAAAAAAAAAATTTTTCCCTTTTGGTCATCTTTAAATCATCATCACCATGGAAGACTTTCCATTGTTTTTTGGTATTCAAAATATTTTTCGCTCTTTTTTTCTGTTGCAATCCAAATTCATCCAAATTCCCGAACCATCCCCGGACAGCAAAAAAAAAAAAAAAAACGATTTACTTGAAATCAACTCTCTCTCTCTCTCTCTCTCTCTCTCTCTGTCTGTCATCAACATTTGATGGATCGTGATAATCTTTTTGATTTCATTTCACACACACATTTATTGATTTGTAAATCAAATCAAAAAAAAAAAAATTTGTTTCACATTTCAATCACTACATGCACAACACATGAATTTATAGCATCATGAATTTTATCGATCAGAAAAAAAATCGTCGATGATGACGATGAGTGATGAACAACAAATATATCTAGCGTGGGCAACATTTTTTTGAGAATAACCGGATCAACAGAAAAAAATAACATTGAAAAAAAAAGAAAAGAAAAAGAAAATTTTTGTTTGTAAAAAAATATAATCAGAACGAAACAATGAAAAAAAAATTGCGCTGTCCGGTTTTTTTGTTTTTCGTTACCGCGGTGCTTGTTTGCAACTGATTCACATCACAAACAAACAAACAAAAAAAAAAACAATTCACATCAATTGTGTGTGTGTGTGCATTTTGAACAAATTAAAAAAAAAAAAAAAACATCATCAACATCAAATGATCATAAAATGATCAAAAAAATTTTTGGTCAAAAATTTTACGATTTTTTTTCAACCTTAAAATAAAAAAAAAATTCCACATTTATGATGTGAAAGACAAACTGGAAAAAAAAACAACGTAAATGGTAAAATTAACCTAGAAAAAAATGAAACAAAAAAGCAATTGCACACACACACACTTGTTGTGAAGGAAAATTGCTTCCATGGTAAATGGAAAACAATTCAGTCAAGAAGAAGAAAAAAAAATAGATGAAAAACAAACGACAATTTCGATATGTGATCACATCAATTGTGTGTTTTTTTTGGTATGTATACATTCAAATCATATGAGAAAAAAATTTCATAAGAAAAAAAAATAAAATACAAAATTCGTCGAATTCATTGATGAAACTAAATTGCTTTTTGTTTTTTTTTGTTTAGCAGGGCGTTTAGATTTTTTTTTTTTTTTTTTGTTGAAAACTAGAGTAGAGTATATATCCATATATATTTGTTTTATTTGTTTTTGTTCATCCATCGTTATCTTTGATCGAATGTTGCCAAAATCATTTCTACAATCCATATTGTCAGTTAAGTGAAACAATTGGGTGAAAATTGGGTGAATATTTAACCACCACCACCACCACCAGCAACAACAACAACGACAACAACGACAACAATCCAAGGAATAATCATTTCCATGATGATCGATTGTCGTTGTTGTTGTTGTTGTTGTCGTTGTTGTTGTTGTTATTGTTGGTGATGCCCATTTTTCATTGTACGATATCCATCTAAAGACATTGTTTGTTGAATTGCTTTTCAGGTTGGAAAAAAAAAAAATTCGCCCAAATAAATTGCGACAAAACAAATAACCACAAGAAAAGATTGAAATCTTTTTCTTTGACACAATCTTAAATTGTTACATCCACAAACACATCTGTACATTTTCAAATGTTTCAATAATTTTTTTTTTACTTTTTCAATTGAATAATTAATAAAATTACAAAAAAAACGGAAACGGAATTGAAATATTTGAATTTATACATGATGATTAACCATTGATGGTGTGATGATGATTATGATTATGATTATGGTGATAATAACGATAACGATGATGATGATGAAAATTAATGAAAAACAAATGAAAAAAAAACAACAATAGTATACATCCGCATCATCATCATCATCATGAATGAATGAATGAACGACAGATCAGTAACATCATCTTTGAAATACTCATTAACTCATCAAATTGTTTATTATTTGATGTTTTTGTATACAATATTGCATGAAAAAAACATTTATTCAGAACAATTATCAATGAACATGAAACATTTATTAACAAAAATGGCACGCGTTGTTCCATCATCATCATTATTTTGTAATCATTATTGTTATGATGATGATGATGATGATGGTTATAATTGTTTAATCCATAGGAAATATATGATTATCATCATCAAAAACAAAACAAAACAAAATTCATGTTCCTTGATTATTAATCATCATCACACATTTAGACAACGAACAACAACAACAACAACAACAATCAATGATATATGGGGATATTATCTATTTTCCACATAATTTTTGTTATCGACAAATTAAATCTTATGATGATTGTTTGATGATATAAATGTTTCCAATTTGAATATATCACTCATCATCATTTTTATGAATGTTTGATTAATTCATAAATGACGTTCGATCATCGATGATAACATTTTTTTGCTGGTAAAGATCTTTATTTTCATTTTCTTTTTCAATATTCAAATGTCATGGATGAATCGTGCTTGTAAATTATTGCTGCACATGGATACAAAACTGGATAACCACAATGATTTATTCGGATTTCGTTTGATCGAATGTTATGCTCAGTGGTCAAAAAAAAAAAAAAAATTTTATAGTCACAAAATTTTGAATGAATGAATAGGTTATTTTTTCCTTGTTCGGGCCAATTTACACACACACTATACACACACTATACAAAATTATCAATTCATTCAATAAAATTTTCAAATCGATAAATCTATGTGTTATTATCATTTATTTGATTTGATTTGATGTAATTTCATTCAATTTCATTTTTTTTTTTTTTTGATTCGAAAAAAGCAAGACTCAATAACAATGATTGTGGCTACTTATACTTATCTGGTCAATTTGTGTGTTTATATATATGTGTGTGTATAATTTGTCAATTTTCGATCGAATGATTTTTTTTGATGTCTAAGGTAGTATTTTAATTCGTAAATATTGAAAAAAAAATGTTTTCATTTTCTTTTTCTTTTTTGCTTTCTTTTTGGACACAGAAAAAATTGTTGACAATCAAGTAATCATATCAATTTTCATTTTTTTTTTTTTGATTTTATATTTAAATCATTCATCATCATAAATGACTATTCAAGAAACATCTGTATATACATTGAAACATACTATTTATGTTCTGTTCAATTGATAATTGATGAATATCGATATGTCGATAACAATGATGTCTATACTGAGAATCACCAAAACTGGAGACAATGATGAAAATGGAAATCAATAACAACAACAACAATAATAACGAAATACAAAATGAAATCTCCCAAGAAAAAAAAAAGCAACGTGGAAACTGGTAATCTCTATTCTTCTATTCTTGTCATTTTCTAAATGAATTGCCGTTAATCTCAACGCACGAAATTCTCTTTGAATGGAAAGAATATTACTATGACGGTGAACAAATTTCATCAAAATATTTGTGTTTCAATCAAAATTTATTCGAATTGGAAATCAGCACTTGATGAAAAAATCATTCCTGATGATCAACCATATGATTGAAGATTTATTAATCTGTGAAATTACAGCAACAATGTGCGATGAAAATAATGTGTGTTGCAGTTCAAATGAACTCTTTCGATCACCGCGTATTTACGTTGAGTTTTGTTCTGAATTAAACATACAACTTGTGGTCAATTCTTGTAAATATCTTGGTATTGAATATACTAGAGATCGTTTATTGAAAACAATCTTTCTCAATCAATATGATTATCTCAATTGAAAACTGAAGATGTTTAATATGGCTGATGATAGTAGAAAAGTCGATACTCCTTTTGCTGCTGGAATTGATCCATGTCAACAATCGCCATCAAATGTGATCTATCCTTATAGACAAGAAAAAAAACCATCATTTCAAGGAAACGATAACGAAACGTTTTTGGTGAGGGAAAAAAACCTCGATTTTTATTGACCAAAATGATGATCATTTTGAGAAATAAAAGGTTCATCCATATGAATAACAGATGACGACGACGACGACAACAACAACAACGGAATATAAAAGAAAAACGGATTAGGGGATTTCTCATTCTCACTGGGAGCGGTAATCATCACAATATCTTTGTTTATATGTTAACGTTGTTTGTTTGGCCATTGTCGATGGTCAAAAATATTGTTGTGTCTCGTGATGATGATGATGATGATGGTGATGATTTTTCTGACAAACAACAACAACAACAACAAAAACAAAATTATTTTATTATCATTCTTTCTTGGCCATTTTAATATATATTACATAGTGATGTTTATTTGTTTGTTTGTCGATCTCCCGATCTTCCGATTATTATTATGATTATGATTAAACAACATAACAAAACGGATTATGATCCGGAAGAATGATGTTCAACAACAACAACTACAACAACAACAATTTACTCGAATATCATCGTCGTTTGGTCATATAATATCATCTTCATCATCATTATGGTGGTGAGCAAGAAATTTTAATTTTCATAGATCACATAATTCTTTCACTTTATTTTTTTTTTTTTTTTTTTTCATTCGCTGGCGATACATGTTGGCGTCGTTTGGTGTGTGTGTGTTTTGTCTACATTTTCATTTTCATTTCAAACTTGTTTTTTTTTCTTCTTCTATAGAGGCTCACCTGTTTTTTTTTCTTTCGTTTCGATTGTTTCACTTGTGTCTATTCGACAATCCGGTATTGTATTATCGTGGATTATGGATGGAAAAGAAAGTTTTTTTTTTTTTGGTTTAGTTTTGTGATCTAGAAAAAAAAACAAAATGATTATCCCGGCATTTACAAAATTATAATTTCATCATGAAGCCAAATTTTTTTTGTTTTGTTTTTCATTATATTATTTATTACTGATTCAGTGAAAAAAAATAAAACAAAATTCGTGATCCATCTATATATCTTTACCAGGATAATTGGTGTTGTCAATTTCTCAAATTTCAATTTTCAATTGAAAATTCGAATTTTTTTTTCTTGTTGAATACTTTGTTTCGACCTCCATCTGTCGGTGATCACCGTCAGTTTTTTTTACTCTTTCTTTAAATTTTTATATTGATGATGATCCTATCGACAATGTGATGATACCATGACGTTATCATCACCATTTTTTTTTGCCATAGACACATGGTTAACATTTTGGCAATAATCGTGCTAAAATTGTTTCAATTAAATTGCAAATATATTTTGTTCCATTCGTTTCTGATGTTTGCGATGATGATGATGTGATGATTATTTCCGTAATACGCGACAATGGTAAACAAATTTCTTTAGCTAATTCAGGCATTGTAGACATTATCATTGATAAAATAGCAGCATCATTGTAATTGGATAATATATTGGCACGAATAGCCATTGCTTGAGCTTCAGCCATGCCTATTTTTCGATTCCTATTGACCTATTTCAATAAATATGAAAATGGTTCCAATTTTTGATTATTGATTATCGATTATTAATGAATGAATGGTATCAATCAACCAAAACCAACTTACCTCGGCCATTCCAATTTGTCTGATTTTTTCCGCCTCTGCTTTGGCAATCATTAATTGGACATTTTTTTTGCCATCACTTTCAATTAGAATTCGATATGATTCAGTATCGGCAGGTAATCGTACTTCTGATTCTAATTGTTTATTTCTTAATTCAATTTCTAATTGTTCATATTGAATTAATTTATGTTTTTCAATCAATTGGATTTTTTTCTCTTCTTGCTTCAGAGATTGTTGAATTTTTGCCCATTGTAATTCATATGATAATTTAGTTTCCGCTTGTTGTCCATTCACTTCGCGATCATATTCTGATTTTTTCATTTCATATTGCTGTTTAGCTGCCTCTATTTTCTGTTTCGATATATACATTTTATCCATTGATTGTTGTTCACATTTGGCTTCAACAATTCCAATATCTCGTTCGGATTCGACAACACCCATTTGTGCATCTTGTTTTACTTGTGCCATTCGTGTTCGTCCTAATGAATCAAGATATTCAACTTTATCATAAATATCTTTGATGGTAAAACTAACAATCTCGATGCCCATATTGATCACATCTTTGGCTGCTACTTCACGAACTAAATGGGCAAATTTATTTCGATCACCATAGATTTCTTCTACCGATAATGTACCTGGGGATAAAAAATCGACAAACAATTAATAAATAGTCAACAAATCTAAATGATTTTTACTGAACCAACACAAAATAGCACGAAGATGACCTTCTAATGTTTTCAATAAAATGGCACGAATTTGACTAATTGTCATACCAAGAAATTGTTCGGCTGCCAATCGTAACCGATCCAAATGTTTGGTAATACGACATTGTGCAACAGCTGTCACACATAACGGAACACCATTGGCGGTTTGAACATTTTCACATTTCGGTTTCATAGTAAATATTTCCAATGATAATAATTGAACATTATTGATCGACCACCACACCCAAATCCAAGAACCGATTATCATACGAATACGTGTAGAATGACAACAACCAAAACCACCACCAGTCACAATTAATGCTTCATTCGGTCCGACAACATGAATGTTTCCCATTTTTTTGTTCATTGGACAAAAACAAAACAAAAAAATCATAATGATGACTGTTTATTGTTGTTATTATTATTAAATGATTACTGCACATCATTGAAACTGGAATTAATTGAGTTCATTTTACCAGTAGAAAATTTTTATAAATAAAAAAATTCAATATAAACAAACAATCAGTGAAACATAATTTTTTGAAAATAAAAATGAAAATTATTTTTAGCCACTAGGATCGCCTGCTGCTGCTGCTGCTGATTTTTTTTCTGCCAAACATCCATAGATCGATGAATTTATTCAACATTCTCGAAATGAAAGAAAAAAAGAAAAAAATTTTCAATCAAAAATTTATTTATTTATTGAAAATTAAAGAATCATAATATTCACATGAAAAAAAAAACAAAAAATTGAAACAAAATGAAATGACAAAATAAAATGATGAAATGATGAAGAAAAAATTCATTAAAACGATACTATCATGATAATGTTGGTCGTTTTGTGTGTGTGTGTATGTTTTATGATTTGACAAAATTATTAATTTTAGTTTTGTTTTGTTTTGTTTGTTTGTTTATTAATGGGCAATCAATTAATTTTTCATCATCATCATCAACTTCATAATGATCGTTTTTAACAAATAAAAAAAAATAACAGCGAAAATTACAAAACAAAACAATAAAGTATATCATCATCATATATTATGGGCCATATAATGCATCATTACGTAAACGACGCATTACAGCACAATATGTATATGAACAAATAATGACACCGATCCATGTTAGATATGTACCAATATTACCCATATTCATTGCTATTTCACCAATCAAATATAATATACTTAATGTGGCAAATATTAATGTTAAATAAAAATAATAACAACAAATTGTAAATAGGCCAATGATTGCCAATAAAATGGTTATTGTACAATGTATACGATAATTATCATTGGCCAACATATCTTTATCGAAATATTTCGGAAACAATAATGGTGTTATAGCCATTATGATGATGAATAATAATGTCAATATTAATGCCCAACGTATGATGGAAAACCATGAACTTAATTTCACCATAATTTCGCAATAATTTTCAATTTTTTTTTTTTTTTTCTTGTATTCTTTTTTTTCTTCTTCTTCTTCCGTTTGTCTGCTAGTCGTCTTAGTTGATTCGTTATGTTTTTTTTTGTTTATTTCTGTGTCAATATGTGTTGTAAAAAAAAACGTTATTTTCCGGTAAAACAAAAACAAAAACACTCACACCCACACTCATTTACATAACTATTACATACACGCAGACACAGACACACAGGCAAACACAAAATAAACACGTGTGTCAATCACATTATCAACATCGGTATCATGTCGATGTCATTCATGATAAAAACAGAGAAAATTTCGAGAAAAAAATAAATTTCTGAAACTTTTCTTTTTTCGTTTAAATTGAAGTTTAAACACAAACTAAGAACACAAACACACAGAAAGAGCGAGAGAGAGGAAGAGAATTCAATTCCAAAATCGATGATGGTTATAATGATGATGACATTTGCCACATGAACAGAATGCGTTTTATATTTCGTTTTATAAAATGTTCTCGTTGATTATCAAATGAATTTTTTTTCTACTGAAGAAATAAAAAAAAACAAAACAAAATTGCAACTCAAGACGATGATGATGATGATGATGAAAATGAGGATAAATTTCAAGTTCTGAGTGTCTAAGTTATGGATGCATATTGATGCGTAATACTATTCATTCAACGCCCATATAGAATATTCTATTTTTAACCATTGGATACAAGAAATGACGATGACGATGATGTTGAACATGAAATTCTGAAAATAAAATTAAACGAATTCTAATACTTTCTATGACAAAAGTTCAATGTTCAAAACAAACAGGAACAACGTCATTGTCGTTGTTAATTGATGGATGTGTTCCAATGACAAGTAAAAAAATGAAGAAGAAGAAGAAGAATAATTAGAAACAAAAAACAAATTAAAGTAGAAAAGACTGAAGTAGAGAAAAAAAAAATTCATTTTAATAACCATACAAATGGGTGGGCGAATATTTTGTTGTTGTTATTGTTGTTTTTTGGTGCTAAAATTATTACCGAATAACCGAATAGGCGTCAAAACGATAGAAAAGAATATTTTTTTTTTTTTTGGTAGCCGTTAATTGTTATAATAATATGACATAATCAGCAATGATATCAAAAAAAAATCGGGTAAAAATAAAATTTTTTTTACAATTTTTTTAAAATTTGTTTCATCGTCTGTAGCAGAATGGATGTGACTAGAATTTTTGAACGAAGAAAATAAAAACCATCTACCATCATCAACAACATGATGATTTAATCCCGTTTTTTTTTCTTTCATTTGAATGATTTAATTATACCGTTATCGTCATCAATGTATGTGTGTGTGTGTGTGTGTGTGTGTTTATGTTTTATGTCCACACACACACATACATATGCATACACCTCCGCATAAACCACAATATATACCATTGCCATTGGTGTCATCGTGTTTATTGGTGAATGTATACTGATTCTTCATTGGTTACATAATAACAAACCTTAATAACGGCATGATAATGATGACGTTATCAACAACTATGAACATCAACATTGATGCAACAAGTATTTTTTATATCATATTGTGGTTGTGGTTGTGGTTGCTTGCTGTTGTTGTCATCATCCCATAATCTTCGTGATGTTTCGATAATTTTTATTATTATTATTTTATTGTCATTTTCATTTCATCTTGTCATTCAAGAATTCATTTAGTTGTTTCAAGCCTTTTTGCTACGGAAATTTCATAATCTAATTTTGTGTGATTTTTTCCGTCATCATCATCGTCATAAGTGTTTACCCATCGACGAAATTGTCATCGTTAAAAAATTTCATACAATTTTCAACAACATAATGCAATCATAGACAGATCTAATTTTTTCTCACAAATTTTCTTCATTCATTCATTAGAAAAAAAACAAAAATTGTGTGGGCTACAAATGTGTGATGACCATCCTTATTATCGATAATGGTCAATAACGGTAATCCTAATAACGATGGGCACTTTTGACTATTTTTTTTGGATTTATTTATTCGTTTCCATATAAATCACCATTAATGTAATAATGAGTCATAATCAAACAAAAAAACGATACATCCTGCTTATAAAACATAAACGCACACACACACACACACAAGACCTTGGATCGAATCGAATTTTTTTTTTCGGGACATTTATACGGGAAAAAAAATCTCTCCCTTCCTGTGTTGTGAACAAGATAATCATTCATTCACCAAATACACACACACACACACACACAGACACATATCTCTCTATATTACCAAGGGTGGATTTTTTTTTTCTTTATGGTCGTTGGTGACATTTGGCCAATTATTTCTGCTAATCTTCTGTGTGTGTGTGTGTGTGCGGATTTCTCGTGAAAAAAAATGATATTCGTTTCACACACACACACACACACACACATTCAGTGGATAAAAATATTGGGTGACAATTGTTTGTGGTGCTCTAGTTTTTTTTTTGTATTAGCTTCATTTTACTACTCCATCTATATTTCAACAACAATCATATGAGAATTGAGAAACAAACGAAAAAAAAAAATTGTCACCAAACTCCCCTGTGGATGCATTGACACACCAATCACTTTCCAGTTGTTGTTGTTGTTGTTGTTGTTGTTGTTTTTTACCATACACATTTTCTAGGTCGAAATAAATTCTGGTTTTTATTATTATCATTCATGTTCCTGGAAATTGGATCAACAGCAACAACGTCAACAGCAATAAGCAATGTAGAAAGAAATGCGCGTGCTCGAATTTTATTTATATTTATTTTATATCAAGTTTGTTTTTTATATATATGGTTTTTTTTATGATTTTTTTTCTGATAATTTTTTTTTTTTTCGTCTTCTTTTGGATCACTATAGTTTCCTGAACTGAATATAATATTCATGCACGAATATAAAATTGAAATTGATACAGATAAATTTTTTGCTTTTTTCTCCGAAAAAAATGGATGAATGAATTTTTCGTTTCGTTTTCATCAAATACCAAAATTCACATCCTTGGCCATCCGTTATTTCATTTCAATTTCAGTCAGTCAGTCAGCCAGTCATCATCATCATCTGTTGGATTGGTATGTCAGTTTTTTTTCTTATTATTTGCTTGATTTTAGTATCTCAAATGGCTCGAAATCAATGAAATCGATCATTTAATCGACTCATTTTGAATTGAATGATGATTATTTTTTTCTTTTTTTTAATTCAATTGATCAAATTTTTGATCGTCATTGTCTGTCTAGGTGACAGTGGGAGAGAGAGAATGAGAGTTAGTGAGAGGGTGTATAATTTTTTGTTTTCTCCATTCAAAATGGAATCAATAGTCTGGTCTTGGTGGCTAAAGAAGACTGATGTTCTAGATTTTGTCAATGATGATGATGATGATGATAACAACGACGACAACGACGACGACGACGACAACAACAACGGCAATAACAATGAGAATCTTTTGTCAATACAATATCTTTCAAATGATTGGTAATCAAAAGAAACAAAGTGAAGAAAAAAAAAAATGATGTGAACATTGAAAATTTTTGTAATGTCTGTCTCTCTCTCTCTGTGTGTGTGTTCATGTTTATTTTAGAAAGTTTTTTTTTATCTTGATTCGATATGAATAAATGATGATGATGATGATTGATTCGATAATGTTTTTTCTATGTCTGTTTCATTTTCATTTTTTTTTTGTTTGTTTGTTGTTTATTATTTGTCATTTCTCATACACAGGATCATCATGATTGTCGATGAAATTTAGTGAAGAGGGGGGAGAGGAAAGAAAAATGGATCGATTGATTGATCAATTGAAGAAGAAAAACATGAAGAGAAACAAAAATCCATTTTTTGTCATTGTATGTGTGTGTTTGTGTATTGATTGATGTATGAATGGATCGAAATGTATTGATTTGATTTGATTGATTGATTTAATTCGACTTTAGCTGATCGATTTCAATTTGACCTCTTCCATCTTTTTTTCGTCATCGACTTCTTCTTCTTCTTCTTCTATCATCAAATAAAATTGTCCATGTACTTCATACATTTGAATGGATCTACCTCTTTTTTTTGCCAATTGGATGTGATTTAATTTGTACTCGAATTTTTTTTTGTTTGTTCCGCTTCTACTTCTCTTTTTATCACTATTTTTGGCTTGCGGCTTGATACAAAAAAAAATTGAAAAAAATTTCCCCTGTGTGGGTGTGTGTGTGTTCTGTTGGAACATTCATTTTTTTCACCATTTCTCTTTTTCTTTTAAATGTACTTTTAAGGTATGTTTTTCTTTCAATTTTTCTTGTTGTTTTTTTAAAATTTTTTTTTTTTTTAATTCATTACTCAATTCACAGTGGCCAAAAATAAAAAAAAATTTCAAAAAAAAAAATGTGGATTAAATGTCGATTAAAATCATCGATTCTTTATCGAGAATCATCATCATCATCATCATCATTATTCACATCGTCATCATTTTCATCATATTTATCAAATCATTCAGTGATAATAATAATAATAATTTCACCAATTCTCATGTTGTCCACTATGATCAATGAATTGGCGGCAAATCAAACAACAACAACAACAAAGACAATTACGCCATTCTCAACAACGAAAATTGTACGAATTGAAGAGAAAAATATAACTGCTTATAATAATAGAAATTTAACAATATTTTGTCATGCAAATATTGAACATTCAATACGCAATAATAATAATAATAATAATGATGGCCAATCATTATCATTGGAATCATTAAATTTCACAACAAATGCTCGTATGGTACTAACATTTATGACAAAACCAAGAGATAAAAAACCATTACATCAGATGCAAAGTTTTCTACATTGTCATGATCCTTATCGTAAACATTGTTATAGTGAATTTAATCTAGATCTATCATGTCTTGAAGATCAAATGACCGATAAACATTTGATTAAACAACGAAAACATTATGAAGTTGAAGCCGCTTGTCAGGTGGACGATGTAAATATTTGTTCATCAAGATGGATGCGTTCACGGCCATTTGATTGTTTTGATTTGGCCAATGTTTTTGTCATTAATGGTAAGAATTTGAATATATATATTCTGAGAGAATTATTGTTAATCAAAATTGTTTTTTCATTACAATTAGCGCCAAAATTGGGTGAAAAATGTCTTTATATTTCGGAAAATCGTACCACTGAATGTGGTGTAAATCAAGATTGTAATACCGATTTTGGTATTTGTTTATGTCGAAAATCGTATATAGCATCGAATAAACAATGTATCCGCTTGGAACAAGGTGATGAATTGTTAGCATTAGTTGTAAATGATGCCAATATAACATCATCAACATTTGTTAATGATCTGGCTTTATCACCTGAAGATTTTGATGATGATGATGATGATGGTGGTGGTGGTCGATTAAAATTATCTAAATCAACATTACGTGCAATGGTCATATTTTTATTGATTATTGCCATTATTTTATGCATTGCATTGGCCATTGTCATTATATGGAGGTATGAGTGATTGGAATTTTTTTTTTTTTCTTGTTTAAAAATCAACAAAATTCAATAAATTGAATTTTTAATAACTAAAAAATTTTTCTATTTCCATATACTAACAAATACTGTGCTAAATAAACAATAATCATCACATCCACTATAAATCACCTGAATAACGATCGATGATCAATGAAAATTTCAGATTCGATACATTATTTCCTTCATCATCGCATCGATCATCATCATCTTGATAACACACACACACACACACACACACATGATTAATTTGTCCATTTTTTTTTCTTTCACTAACCATTGATTGTATTTTATCTTTTGTTGTTCTGTTTTTTCTAAACTTTGCTTTCACTTAATCTTAAATTCTAAGTTAATCTTTATATTTATTTTCCATTCCCTCATCGATAGTCGACATTATCATCGCTTATTGAAGAATGGAACTCGTTCATCATCATCTTCATGATGATGATGATGATGATGATGATTGGATAACAATATCAACGATGACCGAGAAATGGATCCAAAATGAACGAAATCTGTGCCCAAATTATTGAATCTTTGACCATTTTATTTGATTTTGAATTTTTTTTTTTGTTTATTTAGTCTTTTGTATTTGATTTTTTTTTCTGTTTTTTTTTTGTAAAAAATTCTGTTACACATTTATTAGTAAGTTATATGGAAAAAAAAGAAAGAATGAAAAAGAAATTTTGTATTATACACATTGGTTATGTTGAATAAAAATGATAATAAATTTTTTCTTTTTCATCATTCAATGATTTGGTTCACAATATTCACTTAATTCATTATTATCGTCATGACAATAATCATGAACATCTACTGCTGACATTGATACCGATGGTGGTGGTGTTGGAAAACGTTTCGGTAATGTATGATGATTGTCATTACCGTTGTGATTATGAATATGGTGGTTTTATTATTATTATTATTAGTGGTGGTAGGATGCAAAAATGTCACCATCTGTGTACCATTTTGATCTTGCTGTGTTGTTGTTGTTGTTGTTGTTGGTGATTGACAATTCCGTTGCCATGATCAACCTGTGATTGTTGTTGTTGTCGTTGTTGCCTTAGATCCGTGGGTAATGAATCTAGCCTATTTTTTCCATAGAAAAATGATTACAAATGCAGAAAACAATAAAAAAAAATTTTTTTCGCTCAACACTTACGTCACATAATTTATAGACGAATGACTTTTCTGTCGTTTGATCCATAAACGATCATCATCACCATCATCATCATTATTGTCTTCATTTTTTTCTTGTTGTTTTTTTGAATTTTTGCTATTATTTAGACCAAATTTATTTCTATATTCACGACGTATGATCAATGTTTGTCGTACAATATAGATAATCAATATAGTCAGAACAAGAATTATCGATAAAAGAATTATAGAGAATTGTATATAAATATCATTGAATAATGTTGCCATTTTTTTTTCTTTTCCCAGGAATTTTTTGGAAAAAATTTTTCTGCTTTCTTTATTCGACGACGACGACGACAACGATGATGATGATGATGATGGATGATGATTGTTGACTAAATCGATGATTATTAATCAATAATGATGATTATCATGTAAACATCATGTAAATGATGGATGAATGTACGTGAAAATTGAAAATGTGTGAAATTTTTGTATATTTTATCAATGATTTCTATTCATTTTCGTTTTATCTTTTGATTGATTGATAAAAAAAAAGAAAAATTTCCTGTAGTAATTTTTTTTTTGATTTTGTTTGGTTTGGCTTTGAAAATAATTTTTATTTACTCTGGATATTCAATCAATCAATCAATAATCAATAAGTCGATCAAACCAATCGATATAATACGAATATAACACGCACCAATTTAGACAAAATGAGTTAAAATAAAAATGAATATAGCAACATATGTGAGTGCAAGCTACATAGAATGATGAATAATAAATTTAAAAAAAAAATGATTTTTAAGAATTTGTTCAAAATATTTCATTAAGAAAACTTACATTAAATATAAATGCATATGTTACGGTTCCCATAATAGCAACGAATGGGCCATATTTTGGTCCCCAAGTTAAACGTTGATATTGTTGTTCAATCTTTAGCTTTAAACGAAATGTATTCAAATCAATTGTTGTTGTTGTTGTTGTTGTTTTATTCGATTTGATGATTCGTTGATCATTTTGAAATTTGATACAATTAATTGCTTGTATAATTGGTATTAGATAATATTTAGCTTTATGTAATATTACATTCTGTTTAGCCAATCGAAATAGTAAACCTAAAATAAGAATCGAATGTATAGTAATTGCTGTATATGTCATTAAAACTTGTAACCAAATCAAATCTTTGACAAGTAATGCCGATACACAGATTATATTAAATGGAATACTGATTAGTATAAAACCAAGCAATACATTTGCCCATAATAATTGATTATATAAATAAATATAAACATTACACGCTAGACCATGTTCATAATGAATCATATTCAAATGTTGTCGTAATTTTATCGATACAATCGATATAATCTGTAAATGGTGCATAAATTGTTTATTGATTCGTTGACAATTAATTGAAATTTTAGATAATTTCAAATTTAATCTTTCCACTATATTACTTTGTGATGCTGAATTAATAGAACCGAGTAATGTAAAAAATATTCCACATTGTATAGCACTGTATGCCATATTCGTATATAAGATTGCATCTATCAATATGAATATATGAAAATTGAATTCTTTTCCGAATGAATTAACATTATAATGATAATAATCATGGCCAATCGCAAAACACAATGGAACTAATGAATTAAATGAAAATGAAATTAATCAACAAATTCATCAGACACAAATTTAAATATATAATAATTTACAGAATAAAATATGTATATAAAACACGATAATATCAGCTTTATACAATATTCTGATAATTTTCAAACGATCTTCCAATGTTATTGATTGTTGTATACGTAACGGTTTCACATTTCGCCATTTATTCATATCAAGCTGTATATCAATTTTATTTGTCGATGCCCATAATCTAGTCAATAGCCAACATATTGATCGAAAAATACAATCGGGTAAAAATTTTCTAATCAATTTTAAATTTTTAATATTTTTTTCATATTTTTCGCACAGAATTTTTTTCCATTTGTAATTTTGTGAAACAACATTGATTATATTGTTCAATATTGATGACAATCGTTTGATATGACAACACAGTAGTATCGATTCGTGAATAAAAAAATGCAATTCTTCCCATTAAACCAAATATAGTTAACATCAATGTAGACAATGAATAATGTCGAAATAATTTTGGATTTGAATGAATAAAATATCGAAACAATGGTTCGATTTTGTAATATTGAATGAATGGTTCATTTGTAAAATAACTTGTGATTGTGATTATCATACGTATAAGATAGAATAATGCGATGAAAATTTCAACAAATTGTTTTAAACGATACCATTTTCTATGATGACATTCAGCAATTTCTTTTAATTGATAATAGACAAATTTGTTTATTTTCAAAAACATATTGACAATGTCTATGTATATATGATATATGCAATCTTAACCAAATATGAATGTTCATCATACTTCATATAACCGAATCGAATAAAAACACTTTTTAAATTTGGTTTCCATGATGAAGCTTTTCTTTCGTAAAGAAAATTTTTCATATTTTCATATTTAAATCTAGTCTAACAGTGTTTCCAATGATAATGTATTTTGATTCAATAAAAATCGAATGAATTCCGGCAGTATATATGTCATATGATCATATTGTTTCAGTACATTCATTCATTCGTGATCATAATGTTGTTGTTGTTGGTCAAAAAATGAAAAAGTGAATTATCGATTTCAAAGTCTGAAGATTTCTTTGTTTTTATCATTAAGGTTCATTAGGTTCTTCACAACCAACCATTTTATAAAATTTTTTTGGCACATTTTTCTAAAATAAAAATAAAAAACAATGACACATTTTATTGATTATGACAATCGTGTATCTTTATCTATTCAAAAATTTTTTTTAAATTGAGCAATATTATCAAATTAGATGAAAGCAAACTGTATGAACAAAAAATTTACATTAAATTAAAATTTTAATTCAATTAGGCGATAGAAAAAAAAATACCTACATCAATCCTTTTCTCATAATCCTTGTTCACCATCACCACTAAGACGTACAGATGTTCGCACTTCATTAGCATTACCGTTGACAACCAATGGAACAACATGGATACGAATATCAGCTTGGTGTTGTGGCAATTGTTGTTGTTGTTCTTCATTACGTTGATCATTGCTATCATCAATGTCATCATCATCATCACTGCTGCTGCTGTCATTATGGCCATTTCGTTGATTTGGATCATTTGCTAGATTGATGTGTAAAGGTTTAACATTATCATCACCATTCGATTCTTTTGATTCATTATTTCCTTTTGATAAATCGGTCAATAAAGATGATGTTGATGGCATGGATATATCACCATTATTACTTTGATTGAATGATTCGTCATCATCGGATACTGATGGTTTTGGTTGATTTGAATCGCTTGCATCGGCATCTGAATTTCCATTGCTTAATTTTTCAAGGTTTTTACATGGCGAATCAGAAACAGTTTTTGTTGAATTTTCTCCATTCGCTATAGATGATGAAATTAATTTGGGTTTTTGCATTGGTTTTTTCCCATTTAAGAACGAATTGTTAACCGATTCATTGCCAGTGATTGGAGGACGATATGAAGTTTTTGGTTGTGATGAAGATGATGATGTCAACGTTGATAACATCATTGGTAATTTTAATGGTTTCAACGGGGGCGGTGGTTGTGGTTCAGTTGCTGAACGACCTTCAGCTGGCATCAATGGACGTATAATTTCTGAATTTGTTGTTTTTGAATTATTTTTCAAAACATCATTTTTTCTTTGACCATTACCAAATAAATCTATGGATGATGATGATGATAATTGTTGCTGGTATAGATGAAAATTGGTCGATTTATCCACCAGATTAGATCTATCTTGAATGGTTTCAGCATCATCTTCATCACTATCATCATTAAGATCAGCATCAACAACATCTAAATCACATTCACAGGCATCTTCCCGTAAATCTGGCAGATTTATCAAATCAACATTGCTGGTTTTTTTACGTTTTAATCCATTCAAATTTGTACCATCATTATTAGATTGTACCAAATTTTCTACAATTGAAATTAATTTGGATAATTTTCTTTCAATTATATTATCATTATTACTGATATTATTGGTACTATTTCGTAGATATTGATGATCAACATTTAAATTATTATTTTGACGTTGATTTTGCTGTGAATAAAGCCGATGATGATGATGATGATGATGAGGCGATAAATATGGTGATGTATTAAGCAAATTATTTTTCAATTGATTCTTACATTTATTACTTTCATTATTCTGGTTATTATTGTGGCCAAAAATTAAATTTGCAGCACTAGTAAAACCAGAAAATGAATGAGAACGTGAATTTTTATTACAAACATTTTGACAAAGATTATTACAGGCAACATTGCCATCATGTGTGAGAAAATTTTCACGACTTGTAAATGTTGGATATTGATGATTTGGCTGTTGTTGTTGTTGTGGCGGCTGTTGCTGTTGTAATGATACATTTGTCGATGTTTGTAATTTATTCTGGAATGATTGACTACGGAAATTATCCCAGAAATTATTTGCACGTACACCAGGTACGATTTGATTATTCAATGGATGATTGGAAATAATTGATGGTGGTGGCGGTGGACAATCCATCAAATTATTTGATTCTGTTATCGATTCATCTATTGTAGCTGTAGCCGATTGATTGATTGATGATTGCTGTAATCGAAGCCATTCCTGTTGACATTCAATCCATGCCATAATCAATTGATGTTGTTGATTGATCTGATAATTTTGTAACATTAATAGCTGATAAACTTGTTGATTGATTTGTTTGAAATAATTACTATCGAATGTTGGCGATGTTGTATCAACGATAAAATTAGCATGTTGATTGTTTTCCATATGATTTGATTGTAGAAAATTGTTATTATTCATGTTCATCAAATTGAATTGTTCATCTAATGAATTGTTTGGTACCGATTGAAAACGACGATAACTCGGACGAAAATTGTTAAAATTATTGAACTGTTTTTGGCCATTTCGATTTTTATTAATTGCCGTTTCGGCAACATTTTGGTTGTTGTTATTGTTGAAAGCATTAAATCGATATGATGATGATGATGTAGATGGATTTGATGTACTATTATTAGTTGAAGGTAGATAATTAAAATTTGTGGTTTTATTCAATTTTATATCATTGTTTGTTGTTGATGTTCTTAATGGTGATGAACGATTATTATTATTATTTGTCGATATAATCGGTACTTTTTCTCTTGTTCGAATATTAGGACCATTTATATTTCTTCGATTATTATTATTATTATTATTATTACATGCTGTTGATGTTGATTGTTGATGATCTTCAATATTCTGTTGTTGATTATTTGATCCTGTTGAAGATGAGTTGAGTAATTTTTTAAACGAATCCACAAGATCAACCATTCGATTTATATAAAATTCTTGTTGTTGTAATCGTTGTTGTTGTTGTTGTTGTTGATTTTGAGCATTTTGATTTAAAATTTTTTTTGTACGATTTTGATTATTGTTATTATTATTATTATTAATAGTGGTCATATTCATTTGTTGATGATGGCTAATATTATCATTAGTATGATCTTCATCTACATCATCAACATTGTTATTATCGTCCATTATGGTTGAATTCATTTCCATTGATTGTTGTTGTTGTTGTTGTTGTTGTGTAGTTTGATTATTTTGATGATGAACAATACCGGCATTTGTTGTTGTTGAATCAGGCACTTTAGACTTTGTTGTTGGTAATGATATAAAACGTATCATTCGATCTTCTTCACTACCATCAGCCTCATCACGCCAATTAATATTATTATTACTAGTTGTGGGAGTGTTGTTCAAATTTGTCATTGTTTCATTCATCATAATCATTTGTCGTGGACAGAATGATGCCTGTTGTTGTTGTTGTCGCTGTGATTGATGAAACAAAAGGTTTGTTGATGAATTTCGGGGAATTTGATGAAAGATCGTATGATTATGATTATAAGAAAAAGGAAAATGATTGTGGTTACTACTATTATTATGCACCATTGATGACATTCGATTATTATTATTGATTGTTAATTTCGGGGCCGTGGTTGCAGTTGATGAAGTTAAAAAAGGTGAAATCATAGATGATGTTGATGCTATCGATGATGATTGATTATTCTTCATCATCGATAGCATTTTCATGTTTACCATTGATGATGATGATGATGATGATGTCGATGTAGACGATGATGATGCATTTGTATGATTATTAACATTGATGATGCTTGAAACAGGAGCAATCGAAGCCATAGTAGAAACAGAAGCTAATGATAATGAAGATTCATCGCCAACGATATTATTATCATCAACAGAATTGTTATTATTGATATTATTTTCCCGTTGTTGATGATTAGTGGTCGATGTGTTACCATTATTAGTAGTATTCTGATTAGAATTTTGATTCTGATTATTCATTAGTTCATTGATGCTAAATTTTGTCATTTTTTAAAGATGATGATTTTAAAACCGTCAAATATAGAGATATTATTTCGAAGCAAATTGATTTTTTCACAGGATTGAAATATGAAACACAAAAAAAAACAATAACAACGAAAAAACGATGATCATCGTGAGGCAAAGAATTTTTATATAAATTATTGGATTTCCTTTTCATATAGGACGTTTTATGAGGTTTTTTTTTTCATTCAATTTTTAATTTATCCTTTATTCATGGAAACAGCTGGCCTTTAAATTCAATGACGATTTATATCATTGATATATTGTTATATATTGAAATTAAAGGACAAAATTTTAATGTAATAAACAATAACAATACGTTCTTTTTAATAAATTAATCAAGATTTTGATCCCTTTACATCTTGTTGATTTGGTTTTGTTTGAGTTCGATTGATCTTATTCATTCATTCATATAATCTAATCATCGGTAAGTGAATCAAAAAAAAAAAATAAACATTTATATTGATTGTGTTTGATTTTTTTCTTTTTTCTATATTTTTTTCATGTTTCTCCTATACCGTTGTTGTCATGGATAAATTTTCATTTTGATTATTTGTTTCGCTTTGTTTTATGACGATGATGATGATGATAGAGATTACAATGTCTTCGTCAGTCGAGTTTTTTATTTCAATAAATTTTTGGAAATAATTTTGAACAAAAACTAACTACGAGAAAAAAAATGTTAGCCAGGTTATTTCTGGTAACTGATTGTCGTATCGTTGGTGTTTTCATGCATTCAAATCACCGATTTAGCCACGTGGCACTGAATTCTGTCCTCAAATCATCCTCATCATCATTATTTTCTAATTTATCACGTTTCATCATTCGTCATCATAAATATTTATTACATACCGACCGAAAATGTCATCGCCCTCAATTAAAATTGAATTATAAATTAAAAAATTTATTCCATACAAACGCACATTATCATCAATCAAATCGTTCTTTGAATCGATGGCCCGATTTTAAAAATTCAAAACAAAATTCTGTTCTTAGTCGATCACGAACATTAAATGATGATGATCGATTGTCAAAAAATACTGATCAACAACAACGACGACAATGGCATCCAGGACATGGTGCAACTGAGATGCAAAAATTTAAAATCAATGGTGAAGTTAGTGGATGGCAGATTGTCAAACAAATGCTTAGTTATACATGGCCTAAAGATCGTCCAGAAATTCGTAATCGCGTCATAATGGCACTTGGATTGTTGGTTGCTGCTAAAGCTGTCAACATAAGCGTGCCGTTTATTTTCAAACATGGTATTGATCATCTTAATCGACATACTGGTGATTTATTGGCAATGACTGATCCGACCAATACGGTTATTACGACCGGTATTGCTTTGATGATTGGTTATGGTATTGCTCGTGCTGGTGCATCATTTTTCAATGAAGCTCGTAATGCAGTGTTTGCAAAAGTTGCACATGATTCTATTCGTCGTGTCGCAAATCAAGTGTTCACACATCTACATAATATGGATCTACATTTTCATTTGAATCGAAATACCGGTGCATTATCAAAAACAATCGATCGTGGTACACGTGGTATTAATTTTGCCTTATCAGCATTGGTTTTCAATGTCTTTCCAACAATATTAGAGGTTTCACTTGTTTCAGCATTGTTATTCTATAAATTTGGTCCAGAATATGTTGCTGTAACGCTTGGTTGTATCGGAATGTATTCATTGTTTACATTGGCTGTTACATCATGGCGTACGAAAATTCGTGTACAAATGAATAAAACGGAAAATGAAGCAGGAGCAAGAGCCATTGATTCATTGATCAATTATGAAACGGTTAAATATTTTACTAATGAAAAATATGAATCGGATGAATATCAGAAATTATTGAAAAAATATACCGATGCATCCATACATACGACTACTAGTTTGGCATTCCTAAATTTTGGTCAAAATGCAATATTCTCTGCTAGTTTAGCTGCCATTATGATATTAGCTACACGTGGTATTGTTGCCGGTGAAATGACTGTTGGTGATCTAGTCATGGTTAATGGTCTTTTATTTCAATTATCAATGCCATTAAATTTTCTTGGATCCGTATATCGAGAAATTCGTCAATCACTTATTGATATGCAAGCAATGTTTAGTCTTTTAAAATTAGAACCAAAAGTTCAGAATAAACCAGGAGCAGTGCCGTTAATTATTTCATCAAAGGATGCATTCATCAAAGTTGAAGATGTCTATTTCGAATATAATCCTAATTCACCCATTCTAAATGGCCTTAGCTTTGAAGTACCAACTGGAAAAAAGATTGCTCTTGTTGGTGGATCAGGTTCAGGAAAAAGTACTATTGTTCGTTTGTTATATCGATTTTTTGATCCACAAAAAGGCCGTATATTGATTAATGGTCGTGATATTCGTGATTATGATCTTGAAAGCTTACGAAAAGCAATTTCAATTGTACCACAAGATACAGTTCTATTTAATAATAGCATTTATTTCAATATAAATTATGGAAATCTTAATTGTTCTAAAGAACAGGTATATCAAGCGGCTAAAATGTCTCATCTACATGATTCGATTCTTCGTTGGAAAGATGGCTATGAAACAAATGTCGGTGAACGAGGATTGAAATTAAGTGGTGGCGAAAAACAACGTGTAGCTATTGCTAGAGCCATATTGAAAAATGCACCAATTCTAGCATTTGATGAGGCAACAAGTTCATTAGATTCAATAACCGAACAGAATATAATGAATGCTATAAAAATTGCTGCCGAGAATCGTACATCGGTATTTATTGCACATCGATTATCAACAGTTGTTGATGCTGATACTCTTTATGTGATGGAAGATGGTCGTGTAAAAGAAAGTGGTGATCATTATTCATTGGTTGTTAAACCTGGATCATTGTATGCATCATTATGGGAAAAGCAACATGTTTATGATCGTGAACTTGTCCAACAGCAGCAGCAACAACAACAACAACAACGAGATTAGAATCGACAATCTGAAAAAGTGGTTAACATTTTCTGTAAATAGTATTTTATTCATATTGAATGAATTTGTTTTCCAATAAATAAATAAAAAAATCGATTAAAAAATATTTACGACATTAAAAAGATTTATTATATTTTTTTTATTCAGAAAAAAATGATCAGATTTTTGTATTTGATTACAAAAGGGTTAATGGGTTTTGTTGTTTCTTTTATCGAAATTATGGAAAAAAATGGGCAATGGGTGAAGGGAAATAGTTTTGTAAATAGTGTTTACGTATGTATTATTATTGTTGGCTGATTTTTTTCTTGTTTCAATGTCCACTCATAAAACCATTGAATGGTGGTGCAATTCGTGTTGAATTCAATTCATTATTCTTAAGAATTGGCTGTATCAATTCTTCATACCATTGTGTACGATCCGAACATTTGGCCTGTAGATTCAATTGATTTACTGGTGGTAATGCAATCAATGCACGTAATAAATTTTCAATTGATTGTCGTTGTTTGAATAATGCATTGACAACATTTGCACCACGTTCAACGATTGGTGCTTTAAGCAAATAGGATAGAATGGATAAAATTGAATTGAAACGTTGAAATTGTGTTTCCTCTGTAGAAATAAATAATAATGACAAGAATTAGATTTTTATCGAAAAAAAAATTATAATTCATGACAAACTTACTATGATTATGAATCTTGAATGTAACACGTTGACAAAGTTCAGCAAGAATGGCCAAATCCAAAATAATTGGTGATGCTAATAATGAATCCTCACAGGTATTATGTACGACAATAGTATTCTTTCCGCCCAACATTAATTCACTAATGTATTCATCCATAGCACGTTTTGAATCTCCAACATATGGTACATATTTAATAACCACTGTATGATCAGGATGATGTTTACCTTGTCCATAAAGTATCTGATTCGATTCAACCATATCATCGACAACATTTGATTTGGAAATTTCTTTACTACGAAATTGTTTCGGTGCCGACAGGTTATAGCCATCATTATTGCCTAAATGATTATAGCTAACAATTGAACATGGTTTAATACCAGCCGATACAAGAAAATCCACAAGAACGGATTTAAATTTTGTTTGGCCAGATTTAAAATCATCACCACCAATGAACACCTGTTCACGTTCAGCTAATTCAATTAGACCAGGTACGAATGTATTCTGTGGTGAGCCATTAATGTAAGTAGACTATATATATAAATGAGCGATATGAAAATCAAGAAGAAAAAATCAAATTAATAAAATCAAAACAAAACAAAAAAAAAATTACTTTTTCAAGGATAGCTGCAACAGCATACAAAGCTGATGGTGCCAATTCAGCTTCATTACGTTTGATGGCAGTCAACAAATTATCAGCTGTATCATGGATGCCATCCATAACATTAGTAAAACGTTCAGTATTAGCTGTCCACAATACAATGACTGTATCGAGATTATTTTGTTTTTTAAAATCACGTATATCGGCACGAATCTGTTCCACTTGTGACCATTTATCTTTCGATTCAATTACATTATCGGCACGTTCTTTTTGATTGGCTGCAATAAAATCCAGATCATAGATTGCACGACGTGGTCGATATTGTTGCATATATGGACAAAGTTGTTCTTGTAAATTAATATCAAGCACCTTTGCTCTTGTCATTGAATCAGCAAGATTCATACCGGATATATCCCAACCATCAATGAATAAATCATTTGGATCGACCATTGGTAATATATCTTTCATCGGGATGTATAATTCTTTACCATGTGCATCATAGCCCAAGAATATTGTACTTGATTGTGTTATACTACCAAAATAATTGGCTTTCACTTCACCATCTTTTGTCATGAATGACATACGATTTTTATTGGCAATTATTGAAGCCGTAACCGTTGTACCATTATTACCACCCCAACCGATCATCATTAAACCTGTACGTGGTATTCGACGTTCAGTACGAAATGTCAAAACCGATTTCATTGGATAGATCTTTTTTTTTTTTTTTTTGATATATAATTTAAATCAGAATAATATAATTATTTAAATGAAAAAAAAAAAAAAAACAAACTGTCATTAACCTTAATTGAATTGGTTTTTTCATCTCGAATACATTTGACATTATCATATTCATAATCTGCTTCGATTGTTTCATCTGTATAACGAATATTTGGGCTTTGAACATTAACCTTCATTGTTTCGTTGCTGTTGTTGTTGATGGTGGCCATTTGTTTGTTTTTTTTTCTAATAATTATAAATGATTGGTTTTTTTCTGTAATATCAATCAATCGTAGTAGTTGTCGTCGTAGTAGTAGTATTGATATTTAGTAGAGGTTTGATGACCGGAACTGATATATATTGATTTTGTAATGAATAATTAATTGAATGTAAGTAACAAGGATATTGAAGAAAAAAATTAAATTATAGAAGAAGAACAAAGAATTAAGTTGTGTGGGCTGTATCTTTGGTTATTCTAAAAATCATTCAAGTCATTCATAAGTGGGTTGACAAACTAATACACAAACATTACAAGTACCTTATATACTAAATCATCAAGTGAAACTGAAACGGTTTTTAGTTTCGTCAATGTCACCCCCATTCCCAACAACGATCGACCGAATTCATCGACAATAATCATACAATTATGATGACGACAATGGATGATGTTTTGATTAGAAAGAAGAAGAAAAAAAAGAAGAAAAAAATCTTGCCATAGATAAGAAAAAAAAGGCAGATCGTATTTTTTCTGTTGTTGTTTTCATTCTTTTTTCTTTTTCGTTATTTGTTATTGCCTCGATGATTCGAGATTAGTATCGTATTTTTTTTCGTGAAACATTAACAAACGGCTAGGTACCTTTGTGTTCTTCTTCTTTTTTTTCATGCTATTCTATGAAGCGTTTGAAACATTTCAAACATGTTTGCTTGCGGCATTTTGTTTTGTAAATAAATGTTTTTCTTTTTTTTTAGTTTGATTAGCAGTGTCGAATGATTAGCACGTACACATCGTGTGTATCTTTTTCGAAATCAATTGATATTGGGAGCTAAAAAAAGCAGTGATTGAACACTTGTTGTTGTTGTTGTTGTTGTTGATGTTTAAAAAATGGTCGTGGCTATTCTTGATTTGTCTCGATTTAATCGGATCGATTTGGTTTTTTTTTGTTTTCTTCATTTTTTTTGTTTGTGTGTCTTTAGAGTGTAAAGTTTACACGATAAGAACAATAATTATTTTTCTACTACAAAGAAGTGAAAAAAAATTAATCTGAAAATTGATTGATTTGATTGAAAATAGAATGAAAATGTTTTTTCCCGTCGAGAAAAATAAAATACACATACCATTTCTATTGATATAGACGAATGTTTTTTTTCCGGTAATCGATTAATCGATGGAACTATTGATTGATTGATTTGATGAGCAAGAAAAAAAAGAGAAATATATAGTGGTACCTCGGTTAACGATGTATTCGGTTAGCGATTGTTCCAATTGATTTGGATTTGGTCAATATTTGATTTGGATTTAAATTTTTAAATTTTTTTTGTCACATTCAGTTTTGTTTTTGAGTTCAAATTCCACTGACCATGTTTAGTTTGGATAATTCTTATCACCACTTCTTGTTCTCGGATTTTTCATCAATCAAATATCATTTGATTTTGACAAAACTTTTTGCCAAGATCTTCATTTTTTAAATGACAATTTTTTTTCATTATTATTTTTATCATTTAACCAATGGTTATCAAGCTGATTTTTGATGGTCAATGAACAATGTTATGGTGGGTCCAAATAGCAAATGAGAAAAAAAAACAAATAGCCATGTATATATATTTACATTAAGTTTTCAAAGAACTAAAGATTTATGATCATAACGAATTAATTATGGTTTTCCATTATATCCTATGTTTCAATCAACGATGGCCAATGTTTCAGAACGGATTAACCATCGGTTAACCGAGGTACCACTGTATATAAATTAAATATATATTATGAATGAATGAATGATTAGATTAGAAAGGGGGAAATTTTTTTTTTTTTTTTTTTTTTTGGTGTTTGCGTATGAGGTAATCAGAATATCGAGGTATTTCTTTCTTTACATTTTTTTTTCTTCTATGGGTTATCTTTGTTTTGTTTTTTGTTATTTTTTTCGGGTGGAAAATAATCGAAAAAAACAACAACAACAAAGTAAAAAAAAAAATTTTTTTTTTAATCAAAAAATACATTAACCAATTGCATGTCATTCAAAAATATTATCACACACACCACCACCACATAATAATTATCAATGAATTATTATTATACGATCTAAAAAAAATTGGAAAAAGGGAAAACCAAAAAAAAAAAAAAAAAAAAAAATCTGGATTTCAAAAATAATTACCATATATATCGTATATGCCAATTCATATTGATTTCGGGAAATTTTTTTTTCTCCTCTCTTACTATCATATTCTTTTTGTCATCATCATTTTCGGTCAGAAAAAAAAAAAAAAAAAAAAATTCACGGGACAGAAATAAAATCAAGAAGCCAAAATTCATAATGTCAATGAATGTTAATCAATCGATGAATGGAAATGGTCTGTCAAGTGATTTGTGAGAAAAAAAAATCATTTTTTTTTCATTCATTTATTGCTGGTTTTCTGTTTATATTTTTTTGATCTTTTATTGATCATATATATCTTTTCAGGTTTCTCTTTGGTAAGAGAAAAAAATGTCATTTTCATTGCATTGCAGTTGTTGACACAATCTTAATTCAATCTGATTTTTCTTTTCTTTTCTTTTTTTAAATTCTACTTTTTTTTTGGACGAAAAAGAATCCAAATTTGATGACCATTTTATGTATGTAATGTAGAATTTTCTTATTACGTGAGACCGTGCAAAATTTTTCAATGAAAAATAAAAATAAAATACAATATCGATGTTGATGTGTGAAAATCAATTTTTGGAATATCGATTTGTTTCGGTGGAACGATGGTGTGTCTATGGATTTTAGACTTTGACAATTTTGGCATGTTCGGCACCATTGTTTGATATCTGCATTCATGGATTTCCAGAAATAGCGATCGGCTGCAATTTGTCGTGTTTTGTTGGCTGATTTGTGATCGTGTCCATGGTGCATAGATGAAGATTCTCTTATGAAGAGATGAGTGGTATGACTGGTCGGATTGGGTTGTCATCGACGTGTACCAAGATTAATTGATCATCGATACGTTGTAGTTTGATGCGTGGACCAAATTCTGTTCGGTATGATTCCATCTCTTCGAGTTGATTGTGTTGTTCATTTTCATGTTGTAATGATATTGGTTCAATTGATAATGATTCTGTTGATGAAGATGATGGATCGGATGATGTGATTGCTTCGATTTCTACTCTGCTGAGACAATCTGCGCATTACATTATCAGTACCGGATATGTGTCGTATGTCTGAGGTGAATTCGAGAATGTATGACATTAATCGCATTTGCATTGGCGAAATTCCACATTAAAATGTGACCATTTTATGTATGTAATGTAGAATTTTCTTATTACGTGAGACCGTGCAAAATTTTTCAATGAAAAATAAAAAATAAAAATAAAAAAATTCCACATTAAAATGTACTTGAATGATTTTATTGGAATTTGAAACTTGTTTTTGTTTTTCATTTCAAAGACGATGATTTGTTTTAATTTTTTTTTGTTTTGAAAATGTTAAAAACTTTGTTCGATTGTCAACATTGATAAACATCGAGAAAAAAAATGTGATAATTAAAAATTTCAAACGAAACGAAAAATTTGTTTCAAGATGGGATTTTTCGTTTTTTTTTTTTTTTTGGTTTAGCAAACTATGTACAAGACAAGATTAATTTTTTTTTTTTGGCATTTATACAACACGAGTACATAGCGTGTTTAGTAAAAGAAAAAAAAGTATCAAAAACAAAACAAATCATCATCATCATAATCATTATCGTCATCATCATCATTTGCAATAACATTAGATAGCTCTGATGACACTGATGAAAGTAAAGTGAATCCTGTTTTTTTTCCCTGCTTGAAATGATTGATTTTTTTTTGTGTGTGTGTGTGTGTGCGTGCGTAATGTGAATTTAAATTGAAATGAAATAATGGCGCCATAAATGTGTGAGGTGATGTATTTTTTTTCCTTATTTTTTTTGTTGATTAGATAAAAATGTCTTACGTGTGTGTCGAATATTCTAGAAAAAAAAGTCTTTGATTCAATAAATTTTTTGATGATTTTATTCGATTTTTTTCCTGTATTCTTCGATTTAAATTTAAAAAGAAAAGATAGTAGTTTGTTGGCATATTTTTTTTTTTTTTTTTTTTGAGTGCAAAGTCAAATGTCAAATGTTGAATGTCAAGGTCGAATATTTTTTGTTTTGTGTTCTATCAATAATTGAAATGGAATTTGGATCATGTACTGAATAATGATGATTAGATCCAGATTGATCGAGATTTTTCCGAATCGTTTTTCGTAGTTTCGAAGTTTTTTTTGCCTTTAGATTTGTTTTTGGACTTTTAAATTGAAAAATTGATATGACAAAAATAAAAATAAAAAAAGGAAAAAGCTTACGACACTGAGTGTTCCCAAGTGGTTCTCCCCTCCCAAGTACTAACTCAGCTCGACGTAGCTCGGACTTCGGTGATCAGACGAGAACCGAACCGGTATTTTCAACGTGATATGGTCGTAAGCTGAAAGAGTAGGGGTGAAATTTTCGAAATTTTGCACCACATAAGCTTGTAACAATATTTCAATGATAAAAAAGGGTTTTTTTTTGATTAATTCTAAATTGAAATGTTCGTCAGCTTTATTATCAATCAAAGAACATTTTCAATCAATAATTGGATAGTTCAGACTAGCGTTTCTCAATTTTTTTTTTTGGCTGCGGGCTACTTAAAAAAAACATTTATGAATAATACAGTTGTACTTCGATTAGTAAAATAATAGTCGACCAATTATTTTTTATTACATCTTGTAGCGTTGTAATTTACTATATGACAAACAAAAACATTTAGCATCTTATCATTACAGTATGAATTCTGAAATTTAAAAAAAAAATTTTCTCAATTTTCAACAATTGTCAATATAGCCTACAACTGTAATCAATATAACAAAATCAACATCATGATGATGATGATTAATTGAAAATCAATCATTAACAAGTTTTTTTATTATAATTGCAAATTTTTTCTTTTCAAATCAAGGACAAACAAAATAAAAAAAACATTTATAAGCAACCAAAAAAAATTCAATTTTTATATCAAAAATCGGATTCATTTACTGTTCAATTTCATTTTATTTCGTTTGCAGATTCTGTATACAAAATGCTTTTACAGGCCATCGATAATATCGATCAGTAAGCTTACATGTGTTTCATATTTAATTCGTTAATCAAATCTATTTTTTTTTTGTTTCGTTTAGTATTTTCGAACCATACCGAAAATCAATCGAAAATTCATATGATGATTGGTTTCGAAAACGTTTCGAAAATGATCCATTGAAACGTGATCTATATCTAACATTTATGTCACTTTTTGTTGTACATTGGATTGTTGGCGCCATTTTTACGATGGCCGATTATTGTGCATTAAAATGGCCATCAATTCGTCGTTATAAAATTCAACCAAAAG